CCTTCGGAGACAACAGTGATCAAACACAGAGAGCATAGGCCGCCGACCAGCATTCTCCAACCCACTCTGTCCTAGGCCTTCCTTTCTAGTTCTATCCAATTTTTGTTGATTTTTCTCATGTCTTCCTGGAGTCCCTCTGGGGTTACTCCCGGTCAAAAGCCCGGATAACGGAAAAGAATTGGGCATGGGGTTAGCGACTCCATCCCATAGAAAACTAACTTGCTAGAAAAACGATAACCAGAAAAAATTATTCAAACCACTTCCGTTTCCACACCAATAATTATTTGTTCTTGTTCTCTTTTCTTTGATCTTGTTAAGCTTCTTCTATCAGTCATTCGACTTTCAACTGATGATACATACTATTTATATCTGTCAATATCAGTAGCATACACTATACGCTACTTGTAAAACCAGAAAAAATTATACTGAAGTTCTGTAGTTTGACTATTAAAATGATGCTACATTAAAAACTTATTCATTTAAAGACCTAAACAATCATGATCAGTGTTATGTTCTGTCTGTTCTTTTTTTAATATTGATCATAGTATTGACTACTTTTTAAGCATCCAACATTTCAATATAGTATATATATGATAACGAATCACTGAGAATAATGGTCATATAGCAACTTAATCGGTAGAATTCAAACAAATATGATATTAATTAACGTTACTCAATGATCAATCAATTAGAAATGACATGGTTTTTCTATTGATTTAGTTGAACTTATATGATCTTAAGTTGAAAATCATTTAAATTAGTCCTTCAAATCATAGTTAGTATTTATTATGAATGAGTTTATTCTATATTATAGTGTTTTTTGGTATAATTTAGAATTCTTAGCATAAAGTATTTCAGCAAGTTTCTCATTTCTTATTTCTTGAACGAACCTGACGATAACATATTATTGGGTGGGTGCCAGTTAGAAGTTAGTAGTTCAGTCAATCGACATCTAAACAATGTACATTCTTTTCGTTGTATATTGCCAGCAACCATAATATCTGTCATTGGACTTTGTTTGCAACTTGTGAATATTATAGTAATTTTAATAGTTGAGATCATGAGTCAATTGAAGCTAGACAACCATGGAAAACCTGAAAGCACTGGATGGCTGTTTCGTCCTATTGTAGAACTCCTCAGTGGCAGTGCGCATCCATGATCCCACCTTTCAAGATTCGAACCCAAGGCCTATCAGTCTCGCGTGTGAACGCTTAACCACTAGATTACTCAGCTGGTATCCAACTGTTTTAATGTCTAACTTCAACTAATCAACGAAATTGAGCGATACATTCACCATTTTGTTCAGTGATTTACTGTCCTACAGTGCTTCTAGTTTTTCAACAGTGGTCTGGCTTCAATTGACTCATGATCTCAATTATTAAAACTAGATAACTTGTTGAAATATCAAGATGTCAGGAAACAGGTAGGCCAGATATTCAAGGAGACCTTCAAAAAATAATATTTTCACTAAGTAACTGACTACTATATCATAAGAGAGAAATGTCTACAAATTCATCTATGCGAATTGATTCCTGCTTTCTTATGGTATGGTATGGTAACTCGAATTGATGTACGTACGTACGAAGTTCTACGTTGTTACTGACTGACTAACTGACTATTTCAAATCATTTTCCCTTCATGTAAAACTACTTATACTATCTAGTAACTATTTAAAGTGAATTAAATTATCAGAAGGGGTTTTGTGGAGATTTTAGAAATTTCAGTTGTTGAAATCATGAGTCAGTTGAAGCTAGACCACCATCGAAAATCTGAAAGCACTGGATGGGCGTTTTGTCCTAGTATGAGACTCCTGAGTGGCAGTGAGCATCCACGGTCACACATCGAGAGATTCAAACCCAGGACCTATTAGTCTCGCGCGCGATCGCTTAACCATCAGACCACTGAGCTGGCCGGTATCAGACAGTGTTAATGTCTAACTTCAAACAATTCACGAAATCGCGCCTTGTACACCATTGTCTTCATTGAGCTGACATCTCACAACAGATCTGGTTGTACTCCAATGGTAAAGGCTTCTCACTAGAACTCCAGGAAATGCCTCTTGAAGTCAGTCACCAGTGAGCATATGATTATTATGAGAAGGGGATTCGCTGGCGAAACTGATAGTTTGTTGGGTTCGAAACTCACGGGGAGCGGGATCGTGAATACACACTGCTGAGAAGTCCCACAATAGGACGAAACGGTCGTTTATTGCTTTCAGGTTTTCAATAGTGGTCTAGCTTCAATCGATCCATGATTTCAACTATTAAATGTTAAATGTTTCTCAACCTTCATTGGATAATCAGTTCGTATGTTTGTTTTTTTTGTTGTATAGGAAACAAATCCTCATCAACCACAACATTACAATAATGATAAATCATTAACAACAACAAATGAATTGGCTGAAAAACTTCAACGTCGTTTAGATAAAGTTACTAAAGCAACTATTGAATAATTTCATCCTTGAATTCTGTGTTGATGACGTAACCAAGGTTTCTTGTTATTATTATCCTTAGGGTATTACATAATTCTTAACGGTGTTCAATAATTATTCTTTATTTATATGATTGATCTTTATTTTCTCTCTACTGATTGCCCTTCAGTTTTTCTTGTTTAGATAATAGTTTCAATTTATTCTGTTTCTATGGTGCCTTTTATTAAGAATTCAGGTAACTGTGTAGTAGTATTATTATTAATAGTAGGGTATAACAACTATTATGAAGTGTATACTTGTAAGAAGTACTATTATGGTATGTGCTACTGATGTTGACAGATATAAGTAGTATGTATATGGTTAATCGAAAATAGAAATGCTTGACGTCAGTAAGTTGAGATAATCAAAGAGAACAACAACAACAAATGATCGATATGGAAACGAAAGAATAATCAAATCTAAGACAATGAATGAATATCTCTACAACTCACTTATTTACTGTATGATTCTAAGATTTCAATAAGACATTCTATTATTTTGTGTATTCTTGTTCAATACACTATTCATGCTTTATGAACCCTATTCATAATCTAATCAAGATCATTGATGGTGTATAATTGATGTTTCTTTTTGTTTTGTTTTCTTTTCTCTTTGATGTTTTGAAAGAACAAAATTTCATTGATATTAAATATTGAATACTCGGTTGTTTGTTTGATCGATTCTTTATTTTGGACATGATTGATCTGTTTTTTTCTTCTCTTGAATAAATTTTACCTGGATACTATTGACAACCATATCAAATCATTAACTCTATATTATTACTTCTATATAATAATGATAACCAATGATAATAATTATTATTAAAATAATGACAATCATTTCAATGATTAAAGAACTTTACTCTTTCCATTCTATGTATCTTCAAATGACGTACATTTGTTTATTTGTTTAGTTAGTTGGGTTAATTTTATTAATGATTGTAATATTCTTCAAAGTTTATAATACAAACTGGTTGGGGACCGCGAGATGATAGAAACCGATGGTTAGATACCTCGAATGACATGGCTCAAAATCGTTTGCAATAGCACAGATGCATACACTCTTTGTGGTCTTCCAAATTCCAATCTTCTGATTCCTCCTTGTTTCTTCTTTCTCTTCCCAAGTTTATTTCACTGGATTATACTTTTTAAATAACATCTCTAAACCCTAATCTTTCCGATTACTGCTTATACTTTTACTATCTCTACCACTACGGGATTTGAATCGACAATTGTATCTGTGTGCCAATGTGGTATAGTAACTTGAACTGATGTACGTACGTACGAAGTTCTACGTTGTTACCGACTGACTATAATACAAACTAATTCAATGATAATTTATGTGATAATGTACATTTACAATTGATTAATTACTGGGTAGAGGTGATCAATATCATACGTGTCAGGTCCTTCTTAGTGTACATTGAATCCTACCGATCAAGTTATAATGTGGCTATTAGTCTGTCTAGGTGATTCGATTATTGCATGCACTATTGTTAAGATAAGATAGTGGGTGAAGGTAGTCAATAGGAAATCATGGACCTAGGTTTTTCATATGAACACATAAACATTAGTACAAGAACGCAACAAATAGATATGCGCCACATAAACCACTTGATTTGTGTGAAGGCTGGGATACTTCTGCAGTGCCCAAATCGAAGCAGGTGGTTTTCTTAAGGAGCCACACCAGGAGCCTTCGACCTATAGGTCTGATCCACAACGCAGTGGAGCAAGGTCATGACATTCACTCCCATGATAGCTGATGACCAACAATAGGTTCATACACCATTTGTTCCCCCAGGATCCTGAAACCAACCTATGTGCATCATTGGTTTGGAATAAGGGTTTTCCAACTCCCCTAGGTGGACCCTCCATATCCACCGACCCGGTTAAAGCGCCGGACATTCGGTTTTCGTCCTCTCAATTTCGTAAACAATAGTATTGCCACGAGAAGGCAGTGAGTAGGACTTGTATGGCAGTGGTTGTATGCATGTGGGAACATTTCAAAAGGGAGAGCTAGCTTTCTCTACTCTCAGCCGTACCATATCATTTGAGGGCAACTTTACCTATGACTATCATGTTGAGTTGATCCAGAAAACTCGCAAAAGACAACAAAGCCTCAGGAAACACTGAGAAGTATTTTATCCAATCAGCGTTCACTTGAAGTTTAGCCACAAGCATCAAGAAAGTGAGAAGTCACATGTAGGGTTTCTGATTGGCTAATTATTTTACTTACTACTATGTTGAGTAGCATTCCATAAATTTCGGGGAACCCAAAGACATCGAAAATACTATAAAAAACCCTAATATTTTCTTTACTAAAACGAACCATTGGAGTAAATTGCTTCTCACATATTTTGCGCCTTTTCTCTTGTGTTTAGATCGTTGTGTAGTTCTAGCTTGAGGGGTTACGAGAATAGCTTAGGAACTGAATATAGCATTCAATTAACAAGACTTATCATATAAGTAAACTTTCACACTGTTCCCTTGGAAACAAATCTACCAACGCTATAATCATAATTGAATATATATATACATAGTATAATCATTACTATATTATGTCATTATTTTACAAAATAATTATCCATAATACATACAACTTGGTAACAGAAAAAAAATTCATCCATATCTATTATGTGAAAATAAATAGTGTACAATATTATGATTGATCATAATAATCAGAAGAAGTAGGAGAAGGGATCAAAATAACTGACATAGAAATGCATTTGAATGAATAGTCATCATTTATAATAATCATAAATACATTTGATTCAAATTACATAATACCTTGTTTGTTTTCAAAAACAATGAAGGTATTCAGTAGAGAATTCAAAAAGAAAAAAAGGACTTCTTCTATCATTTGTTACTAGTACAATGAAGAACAACATAATTTCCAGATTAAACAAGCTATTTCTGTTTGGTGTTAATATACTACTCATATATGTCGATAGATATCAGTAGTATATACCATATGTGTATACATGTTACAACGATATGTCAATTATAATTGGAATGTTTATTTTTCTATTCAATTTATATGATGAGAAATGTAAACCGATAATACAGATGATCATTGAATATAATAGTTAAGTTGGATTATGAAACAATGTAACTCCATCTGTGCAGTTCTTCTCGAGTTCATACCGATTCCAAGTTTGGATAAAAGGAGGAAGGTTAAGCATAAGGGTTAGCAACTCTATCCCGTAGAAAACTAATTTGCTTCACAAAAAACAAAACAAACGCTAATGGAATAATGACCCTATCACTGTATACACAAATAAACTCTTCATGGGATAAAGATGAAAGAGAGAGATGACCAAAAAACGAAATAGAGTTTAATGTAGTTGCGTAATTCAATGAATATGATTCATTGTGAATGAAGACGATGTTGTTGGAGATGATGGTAATGATGAAGAGGATGAAGATTTCGGTCCAATTCTTAATTCTTTTTCATTAACAATAATCTGGAAATAAGTATAAAACATAACAACTGTAAGATTGATATTTTTTTATTTTTTCTATTTGAACACATAGATATTAGTACAAGGAGGCACCAAATACATATGCGCCACACAAATCTCATTTGATTTGTGTGAGGGTTGTGATATTGCCCGGGTGACCAAACCGAAGCAGATAGTTTTCTTAGAGGGCCACAGCCGGACCTGAAGGTCCGATCCACGAGGCAGTGGGACAACGTAAGGAGATGCAGTCCCATTTTTCCCTCAGTGTACTGAAGACCAAGTGCACCAATGGTTTGGAATCAGGGTTTTTCAACTCCCCTAAGTGGAATCTCCATGTCCACCAACCCAGTTAAGGCGCCGGACATTCGCATTTTGTTCTCTCAATTTCGTAAACAACACCCTTGGTGTGTGAGAAGGTAGTGAGTAGGACTTCTCTGGCAGAGGCTGTTTACACGTGGCCATGTGAGAGCATTTCGAGACGCAGAGCGAACTCTCCCCAATCTCGGCCGTACCAGGGCATTTCGGGGCCAAGATTGATATACATTCTAGGGTATAGAATAGAAGGAAACTCCTCTATTTGAAAATGATTAAGAGTTCTATCACTAATCATAACAGATCTAGTAGTTTATTAAAAAGTATTCGATAATTCTTTGAAGTAATCTTTAAAAAAATATTTCGATCAATCAACATTTTCTTTTTTTTAATTGTTGAAAGATTTCAAGATCATTCTTGAAAATTATGATTGGTACTTTGATTATACCTGATTGGATAGTTACGATTAGTGATTGTCTATGATCATAGAGTCATGTATAATCATATCAATCACCTTGTTCTCTTTAATATAAACACATTGAAAAGGATACTTCTTCAATACTTTATGAAGGTTTCTGCCCCCAAATGCTCTGGTATGGCTAAGAGTGGGATGGACCCGCCCTCCCTCTCGGAATGCTCTCGCATGGTCACGCGTATATAACCTCTGACAGGGAAGTCCTACTCAATGCCTTCTCGCACCATGGGTGTTGTTTGCGAAAATGAGAGGACGAAAACCGAATGTCCGGCGCCTTAACCGGATCCCAAACCAATGGTGCACACGGACTCCAGTATCCTAAAGGAACAAATGGCTTATGAATCAATCGTTGGTCACGGGCTATCATGAGACTACATCTCCTTACGATGCTCCACTGCCTTATGGATTAGACCTTTAGGTCAAGGGCTCGGGATGTGGCCTCCTAAGAGAACCACCTGCTTCGGTTGGGGCACCCGGGCGGTAACACAGCCCACACACACAAATACGGTGTGGTGCATATATATTTGGTGCCCTCTTGTACCAATATTTATGTGTTCAAATTAATTAATAAATTGTGAAGGTTTCTAGAATGATGTAATAACCAGTTAAGAAGTGAACATCTAAACCAATTATACATATCACTTTCATAAGCTGGAATAACGAATAATTCACATTTGTAACTTAATTCAGTTTATTACTGTATATCTATTTCATTGATGGCATGATGTCTTTTATCACAAATCATATTTTAATCTATTTTTTTACAATTAATTTATCACTGGGTAGGTGTGATCATGTATGTCAGATCCTTCTTAGTGTAGATCGAATCCTATCGATCAAGTTGCAATGTGGCCACTAGACTGTCTAGGTGACTCGACATTACGTGCACTATATTGAGATAAGATGGTGGTTGGAGGTAGTCAAGAGGAAACCCTGAACTTGGATTACGTGCTAATTAACACTTGTCAGGGAGTATCAGTTTTTTCAAGATTACGGATACACCTTGACAAGATTCCTGGAGGATTAATTTCAATTAACATGAATGAAGTATGTTGATAAATAAAGAAGAAAAAACAATTTCAACCAACACACTCACGATAACTTATAATAATGATTCAAAAACAAATTACATTCATAACACTAACTAACTGTCATAATTTTACTTCAGTCAGTCAGTCAGCTACAACGTAGGACCAGGCACATATGTGTATCGGTCCAGGTTGCCATACCTCATTAGCACAGCAAGATGAACACCGGATTCATAGGAGTGGTTAGGTCAAAGGTGAAAATATATAGGAGAAAGATTGTATATAAGGATATAGTATAGGAAGAAAGAATTAGTTAGTAGAAAGATATGAAGTGATTATAATCTTTTAGTTTAAGGGAAGATAGGGAGTGTATACACCGACGCCATTGTGATTGATTCAGTAATTGACTTTTGATCACATTGAAACCTGTTAATACTATTCAGCTAAGTAAGCCATATGGAAAAGATTGCCTAGGACAAGTTTAGATGACGAGTGCTGGTGAGCGGCCTGTGCTCCTCCTCCACGAGGAGTAACAGGCGTAAGTAAGTAGATCACATCAAGAAATAAATTTGAATGGGAGATTTTGTATCATGACAGCCAAAGTACTTTAACAACTAGACTCAAACTTTCAATTGAGATATTCATCATCTGTGTTCGAAAATACAACTCTGTCATATTACTTTCATTATGTATATCTAATTGTACTATTGATCACTTGAACTGATGTGCATACGTAAGACGTTCTACGTTGTTACTGACTGACTGATTGTATTGATTGTAACCACTTCTAAGTACTTGTATAGTGAAAGAGAACACAAGTGGGGATAATCGAATGTATTCGAACACATAAATTACAGAATCTCTTAGTCAAATCTAAGAACCATATAGTAAATACTTCAATTGCAAAATGTCAGTCAATCGTCTCAGACTTTATTGTTCCTTCGTTTCAACACCAATTACTCCGTGTTCTTGTTCTCTTTCCTTCGATCTTCTTAACCTTTTGCTATCAGACGTTTCACTTTTGATTGATGATACACATACTACTTATATCTATCGATATCAATAGCACACATCATAATAGTACTATAATTGGTTTTCCAATCTTTCATGTATCAATACTTAAAAGTTATTAGAACTAATTGTTTTTTCTAAAATCTTCCATACTATGGTGTCTTAATGTTTTGAGTTATTATTATTATTACTATTATGGGTTGTAATGACATCTATAACTTAAATAGACTGACAATGACAACTTATTCATCATCGTCACATGTTCCAGGTCCTTCTTAATGCAGATCGAATGATATTGACCAAGTTGCAATATGGCCACTAATCTAGGTGGCTTGACATTGCGTGCACTATTTTGAGAAAAGATGGTGGTTGGAGGTCGTCAACAGGAAACCCTGTATATCGGTTGTTATTATTATGGGTTGTAACTCAAATAGACTGACAATGATAACTTATTCATCTATAAGTTATTTACTTTACATCATTGACGCAATTGAGTAAAAACTCCCGTCCAATGAATGTTGTACATTGGACTAACTATATGTATATACATATGATTGACCAATGATAAGCAAACTAATGTCATATATTTTAAAACAAAGTTGAATAGTGACTAGCAGTGGAATTCAGTTTGAGACTTATCTACTGGATATACCTGCATCTCATAGTTGATGTTCACTCTGCGACTCGAACCCAGTACCGTTCGGTTCAAACACCATCGCGTTATCTATTGAACTACTGAGTCCCTCATAGTCATTTGTTTGTGCAATGAGGAAAACAACACCAAGAGATTTTAATGTTATATTTGCTTAGTTTCCTTTTATAATGTTGGATAAATTATATTGATGAGTTAGAATATGATCAACGATGACGTATTCCTTCCTTCAAAATTTCACGGTAGAGTTTCTTTACTAATGTCAATGAACATAAGCCCCAAAATGCTCTGGTACGGCCGAGAGTGGGGAGAGTCTGCTCATCCTCTAGAAATACTCTCACATAGCCACGCATATATAGCCTCTGACAGGGAAGTCCTACTCACTGCCTTCTCATGGCAATACTATTGCTTACGAAATTGAGAGGACGAAAACTGAATGTCCGGTGCTTTAACCGGTGGACATGGAGAGTCCACCTAGGGGAGTTGGAAAACCCTTATTCCAAACCAACGATGGACATAGGTTGGTTTCAAGATCCTGAGGGAACAAATGGCGTATGAACCAATCGTTGGTCACCGGCTAAAATGGGACTGCATCTCCTTACGTTGCTCCACTGCCTTGAGGATCAGACCTTTAGGTCGAAGGCTCCGAGTGTGGCTCCCTAAGAAAACCACCTGCTTCGATTTGGGCACCCGGGCAGTATCACAACCCTCACACATATCAAATGAGATCTGTGTGGCGCATATGTATTTGGTATCTCCTTGTACCAATATCTATGTGTTGAAATAAATAAATGAACATAAAGCTGCAAACTATCTTGACCTAAATTAAACTCTTAGCAATGATAAGGATATATTTATAAACAAATAGATAAACTTACTTCTTCTTTTAATAAATTACTTAAATCGACTCGATAACGATCTAATGCATCACGCATAGCACGATATTTTGCTTCATGTACACTTGACATTAGATTGTAATAATATGTAAGGAGTACCAGACAAGTTGATAAGAAATCACTATACATAAATGGAATTGAAAAGAAGAAGAAGAAGAGGAGTAGACAGTGTCATGAGAATATACCATCAATGATAAAACAATATATCATCAATCAGTCTATAAGCAGTGTAGAACCTAACATATAAGTAAATCAGTAGTACAACAAGATATCGTACCCTAAAAGCAAAGTGAGATGAAATAATCAGGATAATATATTGATGATTAAAAAGTATCAGTTCATTTTGAAACTTAATATCTAAGGGAAGACCCGACCGTTGTTACTACCTTGACGTGGTGGTCGCGCCTGCCTATCATGATGAAGCAACCGAGCTATACTGTCTGGAACAACCATTCCTCAAGGTCCTACCATGTCAGACAGGCCAGTCGAAGAGCAGTAAGACTGAGAGCAACAACCCAAGGTCCGAAGGCGAAGTCGTACTGATGACCGTACAGAGGTGTGACAGCAGTAAGGTGTTTCCTTCAGACAACCAGCACGACAGTAATTCTGCCTTTCCACAAGGAGGGGTGGGGTTAGAAAATGTCAACCCTAAAAATGCACACCTCTCTAAGACCACCTGTAATCCAATTTCCTTTTCAGATACCTATAAAAGAGCCCTTCCACGGTGTGGGCAACTGGGAAGTGATAACCTTTCTCATACCTCTAACAGCACTCCATACCACTGTATTCATAATCTAAGAGAAGATAATGAGTGAATGAATTTCTACTAATCATTAATTATGATAATTATGAGTTGTCACAACGTGATATGACTATCCTGTTTAGATTTCTTTCAACCTACTATTCAAATCGCTTTTTAGAATTATAACAAGTATAGAAGGTATATTCTCACAGTGGACCACCCGTTACTAATTACCAAAGAATAATATAGAAGAGTAGTATATAAACATTAGGCCACCAAATGCCCTGGCTTAACCGGGTGGGGAAAATCAGCTCTCCCTTTGGAAATGCTCTCACATGGCCACACGTATACAGTCACTACCACAGAAGTCCTACTCACTGTCTACTAACCACTAGTGTTGTTTATCAAACTGAGAAGATGAAAAGCGAATGTCCGGAACTTTAACCGGGTTGGTGGACAAGGGCTCCAGGATCCTGATAGAACAAATGGTGTATAAACCAATTATCGGTCACCGGTTATCATGGAACTGCATCTTCTGGTGTTGTTCTACTGCCTTGGGGATCAGACCCTTAGATCGAGGGCTCCGCCGGGTGTGGCTTCCTAAGAAAACCACGTGCTTCAGTCTGGGCACTCGGGAAGTATCACAGCTCACACACAAATCAAGTGACTTGTGTGGCGCATATGTATTCAATGCTTCTTTCCGTAGCAATATTTTTGTTTTCAAATAAATAAATAAACATTAATATTAAAGCAAACAAACTATCTAGGATCAAGAAAGTATACATTCGTCAGTACAGGGTTGTGGAGCTTGTTGAGTTTTATTGAAATCATGAACCCAACAAATGTAGATCCCCATTAAAAACTTGGAAACATTAGAAGGCCGTTTCGTCCTAGTGTACGAAATCTTCAGCAGTGCATATTCACAACCCCACTCACTGAAATCAGACCTAGAGCGTTAAGTTTCTCGTGAACGCTGAGATGAGATCCAATGGCATTAATGTCTAACTTTAACCAATCCATAATGTTGTAAAACCATTTTCCATTGTATTCAATGGATAAACTATTTCACACTCAACGCGATTGAACTCCATTGGTTACAGATTCTCATTAGATCTCTACGAGTAATATTGTAGATATAAAACTGAAAGCCCAACCCCTTTAATCAACAACCCACCCACAAAAAAACCAATCATATTCACTTACAAAAATAACTCTTTCAATCGATTAACTTTAGTGATAGGATAAAATGATTGATTTTCCACTTTTAAAAATGCTTGAGCATAAGCCATTGGACCAGCATTCACTGTAGGTAATAATGCACCTTGTAATTGCATATCCATTAATAATGGTATTTTATAAGTAGATATTTTTGAATTATTTCCATTAATACTACTATTTATAGTAGTAGTAGTAGTTGTTGTTGTTGAAGTGACATTAGGAATGTTTGAAGAAGTATTTGTTATTACAATAGGTGAATGTAAACTAAGCATATTGATAGAGACACGTTTATCTTCATTCAATGTTGGATTAGCTATTTTTTTAAAATAATGAATAATTAGAAAAGTTGGTGATAAACCTACTTACAGAAATATTCATACAGACATACAATGTGAATAGTCTTAAAAGTAAAGTAAAACCGAGACCTATACCTTCCACCAAGATCATAATGAAACAATGAAATATCAATATAGGGTTGTGGAGATTATTGATTTTTTGATTGAGATCATGAATCGATTGATGTTAGATCACCATTGAAAACCTGGAAGCACTGGGCGGTTGTTTCGTCCTATTGTGGGACCCCTCAGGGGCAGTGTGCATCCACGATCCCGCTCACGGGATCCGAACCCATTGCTTTCAATTTCACGCGCGAACGCCTAACCTACTAGACCACTGAGCCGGCATCCAACGATGTTTATATCTAACCTCGGCCAATCCACGAAATCGCGCGACCATCTTTCACTGTATTAGGGTGGTAAATAGATGTGCGCTCCCGAGGAGCACCACAAAAGGACAAAACGGCCGTCCAGTGCTTCCGGTTTTTCAATGGTGATTTAACACCAATCGGTTCAGGATCTCAATCAGAAACAGCAAATCACTAATGAAAACAATAACTGAAGAAGATACACTATTATGAATTGATGGAAGTATTGATTAATGAAACTCTTATTCAGTGATTTGATTGTGTCAGGGTTGTAAAGAAACCTAAAGAAAGTGATTTCGATTGGATACGCGTTAGAAAGTGAGTACAGAAAATAATTATCTGACCACAGATAATACACGAGTTTCGTGTACCTCTAATTTTAGTTCGTGAAGAAAACCTCCTCTCAGTAAATAACTTCGATTAAATGTGATTGTTTAGATGTTCACCTTGGAAGAATACAATCTCAGTGACTACAACCTTCATATTGACTCAAATCATGAAGCTTGAAGTATTATACCTAAATATTTAGTTCATTTACTGAATTTTATCATGTAGATTTGCACAAGCAGGATCAATATGATATTGAAAAAACACGTCCCAGAGACGAAAAATGATAGATATATACAGCTACTCAGATACGAAGTTCTCAAATACCTTCAATGGTTCAACGCAAAGATTGAATGTAGGAAAGGCCTGCTATCAGTCATCTAAAAATGTGAAGTACATGTGTGTGGACGATCCATTGGAAAACTCAAAGAACCGAACACATTCCATTCAATCATCTTTTGGAAGAATATCGCAGAATCCTTAGGTGTAGCTTCCCTATTGAGCGAAATATTTTTCTTGATGCTCCAGCAAGGCTTCAAATTGTTCAAAGGTAAATGACATCTTGATAAGACAACCCGTCACAGTTGTTAGATCTAGAGCTTAGATTCCTAATTTGCCGCGCATATCTTGAACACTCGAACGCTAGAATCCTCCCAAGTCGCAGATGAGAAGACAGAAGACTAGTGAAAGGAATGTTATTCCAGACAGTATCAATTATGGTACAAAACTGTCAGATATTTATAGTTTTTAGTAAAAATGGAATCACAACTATAGTTATCCAATCCGCACACAGGGAGTTATTAGCATTCGTTCAATAGGGAAGCTACACGTAGGGATTCTGCGATATTCTTCCAAAAGATGATTGGATGGAATGTGTTCGGTTCTTTCTGAGGTTGTTCGAGTTTACCCGTGAACCGTCTTCACAATTGTAGGTTTAATGAGTAATGTTTTCAGCCTGTTTCTCTCCGTTATGTACCATGACGATCATGTAGTGTCACGAGTAATAATAGACACACTATCAACATGATTTCAAACTCCTTGAACACATCATTACATGTAATATGGAGAAGCATTCAGAAGTAGCCTAATGAAAGTGTCAATCGTTGTTAATCAGAATTCACTTAATGGTGAACTGTATTTAATTGGGTTAATGGGTCTATTTTTAAAAAAATAGAGTGATATTTGTTCGTTTCATTCGGTAGTCCAATACACTTTCTCAATTATTCTTATGTTCTCGCTCAAGTAGTTAGTTTGGGGGAGAGGAGGGTTAGCGCAAACGATACAATGTTTTATGGACTGTGTTGTTTCGTTGTTTGTTTTACCGAAAAGTAAATCAATCAATACTGTTACGTTTTACCTGTAGTAAATGGATTGTATACATGAACAAATATCAAATTACACATTATTTCAGTTTTAATCTTTTTTATGATTTCAATGGTTAAGATCATGAGTCAGTTGAAGCTAGACCACTATGGAAAACTTGTAAGCATTGGACGGCCGTTTCGTCCTATTGTCGGACTCCTTAGTGGCAGTGCGCATCCACGACATCGGACCCAGCGAGATTATTATAATTTGAAACAGGAAGATAGAAATACTATTTGCATTGACAAAATTAAAACAATGAAAATGAGAGAAAAGAAGAATATATTCATCACAAAAACAAGTATCTATGAGAGAAAAGACCCCCCACCATCCACCCACTTGTAACTCACTAAATATACATTTATATTATTGAAATCATGAAAATATTCAAGTTAGACAACCGCTGAATACCTAGTATTGTGACTCCTCAGTAGTGTGTATCTACCAATTCGCAATGGGAAAACTGATAAAGTTTGATTAACACCATATAACTAGACAAACAATTGTAACTACTCAGTGACTGATCATTTGTACAGACTTATACATTCAACATTGAGTTACAGAGTTCGGTGTAATAACTGGAGTAATTGTAATGAAGCTATGAAAGGGGAGGGGAACCTAAAATCTGTTATTTGAAATCTGACTGCTTTAACCACTAGGTGACCATCACCAACATCATTTTAAAAAACTCCAATAACTTCACATTAACATAACAATGACTATTATTCCACTTGACGGTAGTAATCTTCATTCAGTTGTTATAATAATAAACAATAACTTTACAAAGTTCTAAACATCAGAGTTCAAACAATCATATAAGATTCATCTCGAAAAAACCCTCAGGAACGCGAATGTAGAAGAGATAAAAGACGCAAGGGCAAAACCGCACAATCTTCGAGAGTGAATGACCGCAAGAGGAATACGGTAACCAAGTTTCAGGTGGATCCAAGGAAAAAGTCTTACACAACAGACTTAAAAAGAGGGAGGTGTGAGGATGGTCCACGGGTGAACGAGAAGAACCTCATAAAGAACCGAACATAGTCTTCTGTTTTCCTATTGTGACTTGGAGGGGTTCTAGCGTTCAAATGCTCAAGTTATACGCGTCATATCAAGAATATAAGCATCTAGAGAGATATAACACTTATAAAGTGATAAATAAGAAAACTACTATACATATGATGAATTCAGATAAAATACTTCTATTAATTCTTAACAGTTTGATTAAATCATATGAGAACAAAGTCAGTATGTTTGAAATAACAATATTCGATAGAGAGACAATGTTTGTTATTTCAACTTAACTTCAACAACGCTGTAATGATTGAGGTTAACACAGATGAAATATTCAAATGAAATGATCTTTTTGTTCATTGATCTTAGCCCTGTACTTTAATTCAGGGAAGTCTCCAAATGCCCTGGTACGGTCGAAGGTGAGGAGAGTCAGCTCTCTCTCTCTTTCTTGAAATACTCTCACATGAAATTGAGACTGAATGTGAATGTCCGGCGCTTTAACCAGGTTAGCGGACATAGTGAGTCCACCTAGGGCAACTCGAAAACCCTGATTCTAAATCAATAGTGCACATGGGTTGGCTCTAGTATTCTGAAGGAATAAATGACGTATGAACCAATTATTAATCACTGACTACCATGGGACTGAATCGCCTGACGTTGCTCCACTGAGTTGAGGATCAAACCTTTAGGTTGAAGGCTCCTAGTATGGCCCCCATACGAAAACGACCTGCTTCAGTTTAGGCACACGGGCAGTATGATGGCTTACACAAAAATCAAGTGACTTGTGTGGCGCATATGTATTCGTTGCCCCTTTGAACCAATATTCATGTATTCAAATAAATAAATAAAAATTGAGGGAGAATTATACAGTCAATCCCTTAGAATATTAACTTTCTAATCTAATATATATAGGTCATTTTATATAACTAACCTGAATAATGGCAAATGGTCAGATTATTACGTAGAGTTATTACATGGCTCATTAATTCCTGAATTTTACACTGTATAGAAAAGAAATAATATAAAGCCGACTTTAATAACAATAATAATAATAAATGGTTACTCAAGGAATAAAAACAAGTACTTCTTATGTGTCGATAGCTAATCACACGATGTCTTTCGATGCTCTCTCCAACTATCACATCACACATCTTTGAAGCTTTTGGAAATGGATGTAATAAACAGTGACATATCGTCTAGTGGTGGATAATTAACAGATCGATATTAATAATCACTTTATGGTTGAACGTATATATTACATATGGATTCCAACAAAAATATCAAATTAATAAAATATATCAGAAGGGTTTTGTAAATATTATAGTAATTTCAATGGTTGAGATCATGAATCGATTGAAGCTAGTCCACCATCGAAAACCTGGAAGCACTGAACGGCCGTTTCATCCTATTGTGGGACTCTTCAGTGGCGGAGCGGACCCACGATCCTACCTCGCGAGATTTGGACGCAGGACCTATCAGTCTTACGCGCGAACGCTTAGCCACTATATCATTGAGCCGGCCGGTATTCAACAGTGTTAAGGTGTAACTTCAACCAATCCACGAAATTGAGCGACACATCCACCATTGTCTTCAGTGAGTTACTATCTAACTGCTTCTCACTAGAAGCATTGACCAATGAAGTTCAACCAGGTCTGTTGTGCTTCCAGGTTTTCCATGGTGGATTAGCTTCATTTGACTCATAATCTTAACCATTGAAATTAATAAACTATAGTTTTTTGTTAAATGACTTCAGAAAGTATATGGAAATAACAATCATTCGATTATTTCTTTAATTTAATCCATTCAAACAACTCAATTGTAAACTCACTGGGTATTGTTTGGCTTGTATCTTCCCATTGAGGCCATATCGAGGCATACGCACAGTATGCACATATGCCAATAACAGACTGATCAATTGCAGTCTTAAAAAAACTCAATGGGAAGATACAAGCCAAACAATACCAAGTGAATTTAAATTCATCCCATTGCACAAGCAAAGTGGCTATCAGGACTCAGTAGCTGAGTGGATAACGCGATGGTGTTTGAAGCGAATGGTACTGGGTTCGAGCTCAAGAGTGGACACCAATTCTAAGATGCAGGCACATCCAACTGACGAATCCCAAATAGGACAAGACGCGCGTCCTGGATTCCACTGCTAGCCACTATCTATCATTGCTGACAAAAAACTCAATTATAAACCTTTAACAAACTTTGAACCTCAAACTAGATTTGTCTAGATGATGAGTAAACTATGTACAGCTAAAATCATAAATTCTTAAAGCTTGTTAGTAATATTTTACGGTCGTTGATATACATTTCTCAAAACTGATGAAAATGACTAGGTTGTTAGTAAATGAATATTGTGAATATCATTAGAATTTTATTATTATTTTGATTTCAATCGAGTGGTTTGAAGGTTGAGGGTCTGTTGGATGCTTTAAAAGTCCTAAGTTGGACCCCTCTGAGGGAACTACACATGTTAACTGTCAAAATGAAAACCAGATGCTTCGTTATTCTTGAATTTCAATGGTTTCTTAATGCAGGTCAATAAACATGACGCAAAAATACAAACAATTAAGTTATCAGAACGGACTGATTTAAGTTTTGTTTAGTTATAACCTAATTCATCAAACACTGCCCCCAAATGTCCTGGTACGGTCGAGAGTGGGGAGAGTCCCGGGGAGTGACCCCCTAAGAAAACCACCTGCTTCGGTCTGAGCACCCGTGCAGTATCACAGCCCTCACACATATCGAATGAGATTTGTGTGTCGCATATGTGTTTGGTGCCTCCTTGTACCAATATCTATGTGTTAAAATAAATAATAAACAAAAAATCATCAAACACATACTGCAAAGTTCCCTGAAGTTCAACTGCAATTCAATATTAGTTCAACAGTAAATAAACAAGGTAAAAACACAAGAAATCTTCATCGTACGAATCTGGGCTCTTTGAAACTGATCATGTTGAGAAAGTGACATAATTATTATTCAATGTCATATAGAATAATAGTCATAACCTGGCTGAAGATGGAAATATACATCAATGACCTGGTCCTAAAGGTAGACCGTTGAAGAGTACTATAAGACAATGAACAGTTGTCTAGTGTTTCTTTATATCTCAGGATTCTCCAAATGAATTCAGTTGATAATAAAAATCATCTCTGAAAATTATTGACTAGAAATAAAAACATTTCACTTGTGAGAATAATTGAATCTTGAAAATATATCAGTATCAAAGACGTCTACAAAAAAAGGAAACATTTTATGTTCTATTTTGACTTACTTGAATAGCATCTATCGCTGAATCGATTGGAGTGAAATCAATCTCTGTCACTTGTATAATTTCAAGTCGACGACGTATATGCGGGAATGTTGCCTCAGTAGTTAATATTGTACGACGTTTCCATTGGATAGTTAAATCATCACTTTGTTTTGGACCTGGTGCTAATAGGCATTCTTCCGTAGATAAACCTATTCAAAAATTAATTATATAAAGAAAAACAAACAATAAATCAGTACAGTAATCTCGAAAAATATGAAGTTCATAAGGAGATATGCATAATGTTAGTTGGTTGAAAATAGTCGATAGGAATTCATACTTTCTGTGGAACCTGAACCCACATAAATCTGTTTAATGGTCTGAGACCTCAACATTGAGTTGTTGGGGCCAAGACTGACCTGTTATAAGAATGAAATGATTATTCACTGATTAGTGATCAATTTCATGTTTGTTTAATTTCTAAATTGTAATCGGATTCTAAGAATCAAACCACAAATTAGTGAAGAGTCGAAATAAGAAAGTCAATTTCATCTCGAATAACTTTTGAGTGCCAATGAATTTATAGTCTTTGAAGATTGACAGTTTTATATAACAAATCTTATTCAAGATTATTAAGACAGACTATATCTATCACTCATAAAGAAAATATCAAAAGTCTAGATCTTCAATACTATATCATTTTTTTCAGAAAGTAATAATGTAAAAGGTCGTTGAATTTGAATTAGCAACAGTTATATTGTTATTGACTGCATAACTAGCCATGTTAGTGATATGAACTAGTTGCTATTTAACCTGTGCACTATATTTTCTTATTAACCGGTAGATTCAGTCGTTAATATCATTATTATCTGAATCATTATGATGATTCGGATCAGGAAACAGTTTACTAAACAATTTAAAAACAATACAATTATTCATATAATGTCATATATAAACGATTTTCCTTTCCCATGATATGGAACAAGTTGTTACTATGATCATAAGATATGAGCATGTAAACAACAACCAGGTCTGTTGTGAGATATCAGCTCACTGAAGGCAATGGTATACGGTGGCTCAACTTCGTGGATTGGTTGAAGTTAGACATTAACACCATTAGATGCCTGTTCAATGGTCTAGTTGGTTAGGCGCTTGGCGCGAGACTGATAGGTCCTGGGTTCGAATGTCGCGGGGGGGGTTGTGGATTCGCACTATTGAGGGAGTCTTATACTAGGATGAAACGGTCGTCTGGTGCTTTCATGTTTTTCATGGTGGTCTATCTTTAATTGACTCATGATTTCAATCTGTGAAGTATAATTCCTTAATTAACTTTGTATATATTCATTGACCTAAAATCATATGAGTGAATAATAAGAAATAAGTCAGATACAATAGTGCTGTATATACATATTATTTTATTAGTGAGTTCATGCAGATAGATGATAAAAGATAAGAATTCAACGAGGTCAAACCTATCCACAAAGATAAATGAGTGTATGGACAGATATAGACCAGACACATAGATAAAAATAGATAAAGAGTAATATAGGCAAACAGGGATAATCTTCTAAGTATACATTATAATCAACAGAGTTACAATGAAGCATACAAAGGTCAGAAAAAGGTCACAATAGATTGTATCATACTGTCATAATAGTTTATAATATGATCGTCACAAATTTGATTACGTGTCTATAATTCAAGTGAATATGGATCAATAAATTATTAGATTGGATACTCAATCGATATGGTATACATATATTCGAATCACTTCATTCCTCCTAATAACCGATTCACATCCATATCAGTCAGTCAGTCAGTCAGTCAGAAACAACGTAGAACTTCGTACGTACGTACATCAGTTCGAGTTGCCACACCACATTAGCACAGAGATGCAGTGGTCGATTCAAATCCTGTAGTGCTAGATGTAGTAAAATTATAAGCTGTAATTAGAAAAAATTAGGGTTTGAAGATGTTATCCAAGGAGTATAATCCAGTGGAATAAGTTTGGAAAGAGAAAAAATAAAGGTACAAGAAGAACTCAGAAGATTAGAATTTGGGAAAACATAAAGAGTGGATGCACCTGCGCCATTGCAAACGATTTTCAGCCATGTCATTCAGGGTCTCTAACCATCGGTTTCTATCATCTCGCGGATCCAAACCACGCAGTCTTCACCGACATGACTAAGTCCACTTGCCAGTAACTTCATGGATTTGTGCCATTTTTTGATCTGACCACCCCTAGTTTTCTTCCAACCTATTCCTACACCATAAAACATCGCACGCTGGGGCAGTTGGTGGTTGGATATACGTAACACGTGTCCCAACCATCTCAACTCATGAAGTTTCATTACTTCATCAATTGATTTGACATCATTACCTAGTACCCGTTTCCTAACAACTGCATTACTTACTCGGTGGTTCCACGATATACGAACAATGCTTCAAAGACACCAAATATGGAAAAGTAAAGAATAGGTCAGAGAATAATTTGTTTAATACAAATATTATTATCATTCCATATACACATTAAGTTCATAGTAGAAAGGAATTAACATAGTAAATAGTTAGTAAGTCATATGTCTATCAGTTTATCTTTGTTCTATGGTCACATATCAGTTGTAGACAATTGTTAAGATTAAGATATCTTGAAGTTGTTTTAACAAATGAATCAGATACTGCTGTTAGGAACATGGCGCGATGAGTTGTAATCGACTGATAATTGTCACCACGTAAACCTCCTTCAAAGTCGCTTCATCAAACAAACTATTATCAAAGTACAACACACAATTGTTCAGGAAATAATATGCTTAATAAACAATACAATGAATATGCTTTTTGTAGGTTACTTATTGTATTATCTATCCTATTAAATAGTATTATAAATAAGTAGGTATGTCTGTTATTAACTGGCTAAGTAGATCTTAACCTACATAATACTTTAGTGAAGCCCTTTAGTTTATCAATTTTAGATTAGACGATTTTGTCGACGAGCTCACCACTTTATTGGTCCGGGATCTGACTCCAGTGAGATCGTTTCTGATTGCTATTGAAATATACATTTTGTCATTCCTCGTATATAATTATCGATTGAGATCGCGTTAGTCAATAACGTAATTAAGTCAAATATGTGAATGAATTCTGTACACTCAATGGTCTGAACAGGAAATGAGAGAGACTAAAGCGAAATGATGCGCAGTGTAGAAGGCACATAAACCAACTCGATTTCATCAAGCGTTAAATAATATTTATAGCCATACAAAAACAAGCTACAGACACGTGATGAATAGGATAAGAAGTGTATACACACACACGATCATATAAAAACAATCAGGCCAAAATGTGACTCAAAGAGGATGAATAAATTGGCCTATCCGAAGGCTAGAATAAACTATGTGAGCTTAACATAGTGTTAGGTCCCGATAAGCATAATAAATGGTAACTTTGGGATCTATTTATGGACCAATAGAATGGGTATATTTTTATCGTATAATTGTTAAGTAACTAAACTATCCATATTTATATCCCTCTTATCATGAGCTTTATTTTGACCTATGAACTATCATTATACAATTTACCATTCTTGAATTATGCCCTGTCTATCGATTACTACATCCCACATTCACATACACATTTGGCTAATTCTTGTACAAATGTTATTTTCTATTTTATGGTACGTTATGGTCTGTCTCGTTGGTATATAAACCGAGTATGTTTGAAATATTATGATTCATATCACCGAGGCTGAAATCGGTGTTCTGGACTTAACAGGCAGGGTGAGGCAAAAAGCAGAACTCTAGGCTGCTCATACGGATTTAACGCGTTATTGATCCAATCAATAATTCACTGCTCTCTAATTGGCGGTATCGTTAAATTATACATTAACAGGGCACACAGACCACATGTTATAAAACATAACAACCAACACTACATACGACATTTACAGAGTTGATAGACGCAGAACAAACAAACAAACCAATAAAACATAAGCAATCAAAAAGATATGCAAATTTCTTACCTGGTTGTCTTAGAAATGGTGCTTCAAACATAAATTGTCGTACATCATGATGTTTTTCATAAGATCTTAATGGTTTTTTATCAGAATCTTTTATTTCTTTATATGGTTCAACATAAGTAATCTATAGATAAAAATATAAAGAAATATATAATCATATTGAAGGGTATGAAGAATTCATGTATAGGAAATGTGTTAATTTATAGGTTTCACAAAAATAGTTCTAAAGTTATTTTAATAGTTGAGATCATGAGTTAATTGAAGCTAGATCATCATGGAAAACCTGTAAGCATTGGACAACCGTTAGGTCCTATTATGGGACTCGCGGGGCGGGATCGTGGATGTGCACTGCTGAGGAAACCTACAGTAGGACGAAACGTCCGTCCAGTGTTTCCAGGTTTTCAATGGTGGTCTATTGGTCTCACATTCGAACGCTTAACCACTAAACCACTGAACTGGCATCCAACGGTTCGATATAGTATAAACAATAATGCTTCCTGTCCGTCATTTGGATTACATCAAGACTGAAAGATTGAGTATATAGGACAAATCGCAATTTTTTTGGTAAAGCTGTTTCAGTGCAGAAATTTACACTGTGAACATTTTTTCCTGAATGGATAAGCTAAAATCTAGTTAAGAGCAAATACAGTTAAATATTATGTAATACGTCAAAAAATATCTGTATTCAAAACAGTAGGTTAAACTTATTTTTTCTTTCTTAACTAACCTCATTAACTAAAGATATCGAGCAAATTTACAAAAGCCAGTCACATACAAGCAAGGTAGAATCCAAGTTGTAAAACCACATCAGTACAAACGGATGGAATAAGTAAGACAAACACCATAGTTATAGAACTGATGATAGTATTAGTGGTAGTAGAAAATATTAAACAGGTGATGTGATTTGAGATTGTATTCATGGGATAGAGAAGTATAAGATAATTTTAGAACTCAATATCTAGGCGAAGAAAAAACAGTGATTGCATTTCTGGTATTACAACAGATTCTGGACTATTTCGCCCAACGTCAGCAATTGTTGGTCACGACAATCGCACGAACCAATATCAGATAGTTTAGACCCAACTCCACGGTTAAGTCAAACGCGTGGTGAGTTCGTAGATTAGTGCCACGTTTTACCTTAGACGAACCTAGTTTTATTCGAACGTGTTCCTGCCCCCAAAAACATCGGGCATCCAGGTCGGCGGTGGTTATAACACTGACTGATAGCCCGCGGATCCATGAATAGATCCTTCGTTCTAGTTGGAGGCTCCTCACCAACGATTAACCCCACATATTATCATCCTCATACAGTTTAGGTTTTGTGGCAAATATATGGTATCAGTATGATAACAGTAGTCTAGATATATAGCTTTTGTTAAAATTGAGATACAGTAGAGATGTTGTCAGTGATATAAGCTGGTAGCTGAAGACAGTCGACAGGAAACACTGGACACAGGTTTCGTGTCATTTGGCATTCATCAGCTAGGCGTTCTTGTAATCTTGAGGGAAATGATGTTCAATGGAGGGTTCGACCTCGTGTTATCCAGTTTCACAGTTACAGATGTTACAATTGAGTTGTCCGGGTCGTAAGTGATCTATTGTAGGACTGAGATGTAATTACCATTGATTGAATACTGGGATTGTATATCAATTGTTTTTTAGTGCAGATCAAATTCTATCGATCAAGTTGTAATGTGGCCACTAGTCTAGATGACTACTCAAAATCGTATGAACTATGTTGTAGGTAGTTTGTACCTCTGAATACTCCTTTATACATACCACTCCAGCTCTTTTGTAAGAATCATCGTTTTAATATTTAGTCTTTCTCACTCTGTTATTTTTGTTATGTTTAATCTCGTTTTATTCATAAGGGATGGAGATTTGAGGTAACGCATATCTAAGTCAGTTCTACTTATAGAACTACGAAAGCCATCATCCAAAAGATACAAGTGTTTATGAACAATTTTCTACGCAAAATACTTCAGATCCGTTGGTCAGACACTATCAAAAACAACCTACTGTCGGAGAGAACAAACCAGATCCCAGTAGAGGAAGAAATCAGGAAGAAGCGGTGAAAGTGGATAGGACACACATAAATGAAAGCACCAAACTGCGTCACAAAGCAAGCATTTACTTGGAATTTTAAAGGCCAAATGAGAAGAGAAAGACCAAAGAACACATTATTCCGAGGAATGGAGACAGACATGAGAAGAATCAACAACAATCGGATAGAACTAGGAAGGAAGGTCCAGGACAAAGTGGGTTGGAGAATGCTGGTCGGAGGCCTATGCTCTACTGGAAGTGACAGCCGTAAATAAGTAAGTATATATGAGACAAATTGTAAGTTGATTATGGCAGACTAACATGAAAATCTCTCTCTCTCTCTCTCTGTAGAACATTATCAGATCAAAGAAGAATAGAGATGTGTATAAGAAACAAAAGAGAGAAAGAAATGAAAAGGACAAACAAAAAAAGTATTGTCCATTTTATATTACTTACTTGAACATAAGCTTTCATTGGATCTAATATTGATCGATTAATAAAATTATCAGTTAATAATTCCACTGATTGTTCACCATATTTATGACGATATAATTGTAATAATTCATCACATTTTTCATTTAATTTTTGACATGGATTTGAACGGTAAATAAATGATTTACCAGCCATTGATTCAAATAACTATAAATGCACAGAGATAGATAGATAGATAGAGAGATAAAGAAAAGTAGTTCTTTTCTTCTCTAAAAGCTCTACTGCATAATGCATACTGAAAGTCAGGTTAATGTAAATTGAATAAAAGGAAATCTATTTCAATAGCTGAGATCATGAGTCAATTGAAGCTAGATCCATTGTAGGAAAACAAAGAAGCACTGGACGGTCGTTTCGTCCTATTGTGGGACTCCTCAGTGGCAATGAGCATCCACGACCCGACTCGCAGGATTCGAACCCAGGGGCATCTAGTCTCGCGCGTGATCGTGGATGTGCACTGTTGAGGGGTCCTACAATAAGACGGGACGGACGTCTAGTGCTTCCAGGTTTTGAATGATGGTCTAACATCAATCGGTTCATGATCTCAATCAAAAACTTAATAATCTGAGATGATGGAGATTTGTAGCTCAGATGGATGATTTTGATTGAGTTTAGTTCTCTGAGCTGGATGGTTTAGTCAAACCAATGGAAGATACAGACAAAATAAAGAAGTAAACAATGGCAAGTTTAAGGTTAACAAGAACTAATCGACATCGAGGTGTGCAGAACAAGCTGCGAAACGCAAATGGAGAAATTCGAACACTTCACTTCTGTCTGAAGTTTGTGCCGATGATGTTGTTCAGAAGAAGAATGAAAGGGTCTTCACAGCCAAACCATTCAGCTCAGAGAACAAAACTCCAGTAAAATCATCCATCTGAGCTACATACAAATCATCTCCAAAATCTCAAAATATAACTTACTTGACCATGAAATGTAACACGATAATATGCGGCAAATAATCGATGTCCATAAGATTCAATTCGATTTATTGCTTCATAAGTTCGACCAATATGATGATAAATTTGAGCTAAATTCATATATTGACATTTAGATTCATATACTGGTAAAATTAAATTATACACAGGTTGTATACATTCATATAATCCAGCGGATTCTAAAGCTAATGCAGCTTCATTCAAATCTGTTAATAAATTCTCCTTAAAGAAAAACAACATTTAAAAGAAAGTAAAAAAAAGAAAAGATAAGTACCACATCTATTCTACAAATTTCAATGGTTAAGATCACGAATCAATTGAAGCCAGACGACCATGGAAAACCAGGAAGCACTGGACGGTCGTTTCATCCCATCGTGGGACTCCTCAGCAGTATGCATGATCTTAACCATTGAAATTACTATAATATCCACAAAACTCATCTGATATTCTACAAATATTAACGACATAATGATTATAAAAAGGTAATCTGTATAGGATATAGATACAGTAACCAAGACTAGTTGAAATTCATTAGAAACTATCCAAAAAAGGATAACACAATCCCCCTTACAAATTGAATTCAAATAATGGTAGATGAGAAAACAAATCAATGTTTGGAACTGAAACAAGTAATGAGAGATATAATACTCAGATAGTAACTTAGATAGGATATATAAGACGAGTACTGAAGCCGATGGTAATTGTGAACTTTTGAATCTATTCTTGTATAAGGACATTCATATATCATTGTAAGCCCCCGAATGCCCTGCTATGGCCGAGAGTGTGGTGGGCCCACACTCCCTCTCGAAATGCTCTCACACGGCCACGCGTATACAGTCTGTACCAGGGAAGTCCTACTCACTGCGTTCTCGTGGGAGTGTTGTTCACGAAAATGAGAGGACGGAGAGTGAATGTCCGGCGCTTTAACCGGATCCCAAACCAATGGTGCACATGGACTCCAGTATCCTAACGGAACAAATGGCGTATGAACCAATTGTTGGTCACCGGCTACCATGGGACTGCATCTCCTCACGATGCTCCACTGCCTTTTGGATTAGACCTTCAGGTCGAAGGCTCGGGATGTGGCCCCCTAAGAAAACCACCTGTTTTGGTCTGGGCATCCGTGCAGTATCACAGCCCACACACAAAAGTGTGGCGCATATATATTTGGTGCCCTCTTGTACCAATATTTATGTGTTCAAATTAATAATAATAAATATCATTGTAAAGATTAGAAATTAGGGCTAATTAACGGCCGTTCAGTACTTCCAGGATTTTTGTGTTAATCTAGCTTCAATTGACTTTCAATTGATCTCAACCGTTAAAAATTAACTATTAATCTATTATTCAACTTTGTAAAGAAAACATATTAGTAAAGTACACCTATTAGAGACTAGTAAATGATCGAATGTAGTGTTATTGGATTTTACTTGTCTAATAGAGCGAATTATGAATCTAAATAATGTCAGAATGTCATGAGCAATGGTTAATCTAGCAAAAATAATCATTGACCAAAGTTTCTACACCACAAAAGCGAAGTATGATGAAGTTAGTAAGATAAATATTAATGCAAGAATATTATCAGGGATGACCAAATTAGCAGTATTCAATTATAAAATAACATGAAACTCAGGGTCTAAGAGAAGAAAAAGAGTAGTTACACCTGGACTATTACGACAGATTCTGAAACCTTTCAATCAACATCTCCAACAACTAGTTACGACACTCAAGAACACCTAACTAGGTATTCTGTACTTACTTATACAGCTCAGTTCAACAAACATAAATTGATGCCACGTTTTGATTTAGCTGCCCCTTTAAGTTTCTTCTAACCTATTTCTGCTCCTATATCAACTAACACGAGTCGTCAAAAGCGGTAGTTAATTAGGCTTACATAATAAATGCCTTGACCACCTCCACGAATAAAAATTCATCACCTTATCGATCGATTTGTCATCTGCAGCTAGTAGTACACTTCGTTTAACTTTACTGTAGCTCACTCGGTAGTCATAACATACGCAAGCAATGTTTTGAAAGTATGTATGACCGAATACTCATAACTTATAAACATTCTCTGTGTTAAAAAGCCTTCCCCCTTGTAACACTTTCTGATATTCTAGTCTGAAGATTTTTGGAACATGCGAACTCGTGTAAATGATCGACCATACAAAAAAAGATGGACGCAATAATACGTATGCAGATTATTCACCTTACTCTTTGTTAAAAAACGACACACAAAGAAAATTCACCTAATTATGGCTTATTTAATAACTTACGCATGTTAACCCTCCTAGAGGAGAACATAGACCGCCCAAGTAGGATTGTTCATCGAACTCTATTCTAGGCAATCCTTTTCAGTAATATATAACAGATTGTATAAATAAATTTACTATAATTATATGAATACTTCATTGTATTTACTAAATGATAAATAATTATATTTTTTCAATAGTTCAGATCATGAGTCAATTGAAGCTAGAGCACTATGAAAAACCTGGAAGAACTAGACGACCGTTTTGTCTTATTGTAGGACTCCTCAACAGTGCACATCCACGATCCCATCTCACGAGATTCCAATTTGAAATTAGACATTAACACCATAGGATGCCAATTCAGTGGTCTAGCAGTTAAACGCTCACGCGCAAGACCGATAGGTCCTGAGTTCAAATCTAGTGAGAGGTTCGGATATAGAACGAAACGGTCATTTAATGCTTTCAGGTTTTCCATAGTGATCTAACTTCAATTGATTTATGATCTCAACTATTGAAATTACCTATAATATCCACCAAAAAATAAAACAACCCCTTTCTGATATATTTACTTGTGTATAAGAAATTTCTAATATTGTAGAATCTGTTTTTAATCCATTTTCTTCTATGTAAATATTAGATGAGATTGTTTTAAATGCATTACATCCTTGAGGAAATTCACCTAAAACAAAATAGAGAAAAACAATAATAAATAAAAAACTGGGGGAAGGTTCATTATTTTCATAAGTAAAGAAATGAATATATAAATCAATATTTTACTACAAACATTCTATCACTAAGAGATATCATTCTGATATATATCAGGATTGATAAGATTATGAGCAAGCCTTTATATATATTAGTCATTATGCATGTACTAAACTTGAGAGTTTGATGTAGAGATGGAAAATTGAATCAAGAGAGGGTGTTACTGTTGAATTAGCATTTGTCAGTTGGACATACGTGCACAGACTTATCAATTGTAGTGTAATACACATAAATGAAAAGATCCCAACAACGAAAATATATTATTTATAACTGAGTATTGTTTGTCAAATGACTCGTATAAACTAAGAACACAGTATTGGTTATTCACATGGTGTTGTTATACTTGTATCTTTCGTTTATTGTTTAGGACCGCAATTGATCAGTCTTATGTTGGTATATGTGCATCCTGTGCGGACTGCCTCGATAGTGACTTAAGTTAAAAAGATCTTCAAGCAACGATATATAGTAACTAGGAATGAAATCCAGTTTGACGCGCGTTTCGTTCTATTTTGGGATTCGTCAGCTGGATGTTTGTTATTCTATGGTTAGAAATAGAGTTTTCAATTACAGTTTAGAAATAGAGTCCCAAAACATTTTAGGATAATATGAGTTATTGCATTCTAGCTTAAGAAAATCTGGGAAAAAGTGTTCATTATTTAGTTACCATTAAAAATTCATTTGATAAACATCTCAAATGCACATTAACCGATTAGTTAACCAAATAGTTAATTGATTCCCCTATACACGATGGGTATTAGAAGATGAGTGTATATTGAAAGAAAGTAATACATGCATCATAATCAAATGGTATACACAAAACATTCAATGAATTCGATGTTAATCAAAAGTTCCGATTTAGATACAAATGAATCAATTGCAATTCAAAATCCATAACACAGAAGTAGTAGAGTGTAAAAAGATTGAAGAATTACCGAACAAAAATTATTGATATTAACAAACGAAATCCACACAAAGGAAAATGGAAGAAAAGGGTTTTATTAAGTAAAGTAAGTGAAAAGAATTCGCTATCCCTCTCGAAACACTCTCACATGGCCATATATACACAGCCACTACCATAGTAGACCTATTCACTGCCTAATCATGAAAGGGATATTGTTTACGAAATTAAGAGGACAAAATATGAATGGCCGACTCAGAAACCGGGTTGCCTCTTAAATGGCCACATGTATATAACAACTGTCAGGGAATTCCTATTCATTGCCTTCTCGATGTGGTGTTGTTTACGAAATTGACAATCCAAAAAGTGAATGTCCGGTGCTTTAACCACATCTTGGATTTAAGAGCATCCACTTAGGATAGTTGGAAAATCCTGATTCCAAACAAATGGTTTAGGATCCTAAGAAAACAAACGGTGTATCAACCTGTTGTAAGTCACCAGCTACTATAAGACTGTATCTCCCAACGTTGTTTCACTTTCTTGTGGATTAGACCTGTGTGTAATGCTTCGGGAAGTGGCTGTCGAAAGGAACCACCTACTTAGGTTTTTTGTGTCCAGGCAGTACACCAGCTCTTACACAATTCGAATGATAAAGTCTGGCGCAATATATTTATGGTACCTCCTTGTACCAATGTTTACGTGTTTAAATCAATAAAGTCAGTAACAACATAGAACTTCGTACGTACGCAAGCACATCAGTTCGAGTTTCCATGCCACATTAGCACAGAGGTGCAGTTGTCGATTCAAATCCCGTAGTGGTAGAGATAATAAAAGTATAAGCAGTAATCGGAATGATTAGGGTTTGAAGATGTTATTCAACGAGTATAATCCAGTGAAATAAATTTGCAAAGAGAAAAAAGAGATAAGGGGGATTCAGTAGGTTAGAATGTGGGAGAACACAAAGAGTGGATGCACCTGCGCCATTGCAAACGATTTTCAACCATGTCATTCAAGGTCTCTAAACATCGGTTGCTATCATATCTCAGTCCACAACCAGGTAGTCTACACCTACCAACACGGCTCAGTCCACTTGTCAGTGACTTCATGAACTTGTGCCATGTTTTGGTCTGGCAATAAAGATATACATGCATATACATAGAAAAGATGTTTAAAATGATACATATATTTACACTAAATAATTTTCATTGTAGTTTAATCTAGACAAGATGGTAATTCATTAATTTAACTAAAAGGATCCAATCTGCTCCAAATTTTTTTTTGTTTTAAGGAAATATGATCAAATATAAAAAATGATCGAATATTACATGGTTCTCCGGTTAATTGTATACTAAAATAGATCAATTCAATTATGTGAACGCATGTCTAAAGTAAGTATTGCTGTAGTGTGTATCATACATGTTATAGTGTGTAAACTTTAAGCAATTTAGATTTAATGAATGATCTTGGTGTTTCATTTAGAGAAATTGGAACAAAGGTAGATTTGACCAAGTTATTATATCATATCAATATAGATAGATGAAATGATCGATAACAATAGTAATAGTATAAGTAGAACTAGAAAATATTAAGTATAGACAATATGATTTAAGAAGAATGAGTGATTGTTTTCAGATAGAGGTTTTTTGAAGATTTTAGTCACTCAATAGTTGAATTCATGAGTCGACTCAGTAGTCTAAAGGTTCAGCGTTCGTGTGCGAGACTGACAGGTCCTAGGTTCGAATCCCATGAGCGAGATCATGGATGCGTACTATTGAGAGAGTCCCATACTAGGACGAAACAGCCATCCAGTGATTCCAGGATTTTCATTGTTGTCTAGCATTAATGGACTCATGAATTCATCTATTAAAATAATGAATGAATTTGATGAATGAAATGTATAAAACAATTTTAAAAATAGAAGGTTTAATGGGATAAAAGTAGTGAATGCATCTATCTCATTGTGATCAATTCTGAATCATGTCATCCAATACAATAATCTTTTAGATTTATAATCAAACAGTCTACACCAACTGATATATCTCAAACTGACAACTAACAAAAATTCATCGACGTCAGATTTCAGTGACCCTAGCTTTCTTTCACTCTTCTCAAGTTACCACTATGTATTGAAGTAAGTAGTGGTTGAATATACATAATACACGTCTTAGTAAGCTTCTCCATCAATGAAGATTCATAACTTTACAAATGAGTACAGACCAAGATAATGGAACAATGACTAGTTGATCATTTGAATTAAAGCTCTTCCACATATAAACAACATTCATTCTTCTATACACATATTGATTAGTTTAACATCACTTCCTAATATATAAACAAGCTAGACCACCATGGAAAACTCGGAAGCATTGGACGACCGTTTCGTCTTCGTATAAGACTCCCTCAGTAGTGCGCATCCACAATCCCGCCCCCACCCCCACGATATTCGAATCCAGGACGTATCAGTCCCGCGCTCGAGCGCTTAACCATTAGACCACTCTGAGCCAGCATCCAACAGTGTTTTTGTTTACATACAAGTTAAAATTCGAGAGTATGACATTTATTTAAATAAACGATCAATTGGGAACACTTTTCTCGTCTCTGGTTTGATTTTGTCATTAAATTTGACAGTAGAACACTATGATCTCTAACCATCATTTAATCTTTTCATTAACATTTCAATGTATATGTAATACAAATACATAGATTATGTAATCACATATGTAAACATACACAAACATTCCATCAGAATCTCTCTCTCTCTTTGTCAATATCAAGGGGATCATATCACCCCCCCCGCTACCTATCATATCAGACATACCCTCTGAATCAACAAACAAACATACTTCGTATGAGACGATCAACATACAAAACAAAATATGCATCTAGTATATATGTAAACAGAATAGATGCATGCTCGTGTGTGTATGTGTGTAAGTATGTGTCCGTAATTGAGTAAGAATCAGTAAATGAGTAATACTGGTAATATAAGTAGTGCATCTATGCAAATAAATAATCATGTAATAGATGCGTGCGTATGAACATACACACACACACACAAACAAACAAACAGAAAAATAAACAAACAAACAAATGTACAAACTATTTTTGCACCAAGTTTAAATATTAAAACAAAACAAACTTACAATCTAAAATACCTAAATGAAAAAGTAAATATGATTACATTATATTAGACAAAGTTTATTCTTTTTCTTTCTCTCGTTTTCTCGTTTACAATCGATAAATTCAACACAATAAACATTTGACAAAACAAAATAAAACAAACAAACAAACAAGAACAAAAAATCCACGAAGTTGCGCGACCATCTCCCATTGTACTAAGGTAGACACCGGTTTCTACTCGACACGGATTAGCTCCACTGGTCACGGCTTCTCACTAGAATTCCGAGAATTTTCTCACGAAGCTAGTCACTAGTGAATGCCGGCTCAGTGGTCCAGTAGGTTAAGCGTTCGCTGTGCGACACTAAAGGCCCTAGGTTCGAATACCGCGAGTGGGATCGTGGATGCGCACTGCTGAGAAGTCCCACAATAGGATGAAACGGTCATCCAGTGCTTTCAGGTTCTCCATGGTGGTCTAACATCAATGGGTTCATGATCTCAATCGAAAACTTAACAATATCCACAACCCCTAAACTGATAAAAACAAAAAAAGCAGAGAATTTTTTTCTCTCTCAATTTTTCTAGTTGGTACTTATTGTTTATTGAAATAGAATTGTCCTTTGTCTCACTATTCACAATATGTTCACATATATATGTGAATTGTGTTGTATGACTGAAATATTGAACATTTTACTCAACATATTGGATATTTTGATTACACTATAATGACATAATACAACTCGTGATAATATCGATCAGTAAATTCAATTATGAAAATATTACAATTACTAAAAATCACCCCTCCCCTTGGTGATTAGATTCAAGATGAATTTTTTGCAGTCCTAGTAAGAAACTATGACCAATGAAGTTCAATTGATATTGGATATGAGAAAGTTATCCATTTCAGATCATGTATAAACGGTTGCACAAGAACATGGAAAAATTAAAGTTAGACATTAATATCACTGAATGCTAGATATTCACGTGTGAAATCGAATGTCCTGAGCTCCAGTTCCATACGTGGGGTCGTGGATGTGAACTGTTGAGAAGTTTCAAGGTTATTAAGTTATAACAATCAATTTTCATTCAACTAAGAATTGAAGATATTGATTGAGATCATGAGTCTATTGATGTTAGACCACCATCGAAAACCTGGAAGTATTGGATAGTTGTTCTGTCCTATTGCGGGACTCCTCAGTAGTGTGCATCCACAATTCCGCTCATGAGATTTGAACCCAAGGCATTCAGTCTCACGCGCAAACGCTCAACCTAGTAGACCACTGAGTCGGTCAATATACAACGGTGTTAATGTCTAACTTCAAACAAACCACCAAATTTCGCGACCATCTTCGATTGTACTGAAATAGATATCTGTCTCTGCCCGACACATGCTTCCAGGTGGTCTAACATCAATCAGCTTATAATCTCAATCAATAACTTAATAATCTCCACAACCCCTATACTGATAAGAATTGAAGAAACAATAGTAGTAACGCATTAAGCAAACAATGTACACATCAAATGAGGATTGTAAATATCAAAAAGGAAACGAAAATTTACCAGATCAAATTGTTTCATATCTATGAATAGAAATTAGAAATCAATCGAATTATTTGAAAGCTACTCTAAGAATTCATTCATTGACTTAGTTATTATCTTTTAATTGATACAATTGGAATCTTGAAGGGAAACGGAAAAGAGGAAGGTTAAAGAATACACTGAGTTGAGAATTGGAAGTAGATATCAAAAGGATTGGCCAGTATAGAGTATGATGGAGAATGTTGGTTGGTGGGTGGTTTACACTCCTCCACAAAGAGTAAGAGAAGTAAATGAGTAATTAAGAAAGTAAGATAAACTGAGTTCAAACGATTATTTTGAAGGTAAACTCATAGATACATCTATATATTATGGTAAAAATGTATATAAAAATGTATAAGTAAATTACCTTTACGTTTTAAATATTCAGCCATTAATGCAGCAATATGTAATTTAGTCATAGCTAATTCTGTGAAACTTCTTGAATTCATATGTAATTTGACTAATTCTTCTAACCATGTACTATAATCATTAAAAAATAAATAAATGTTAATTAGAATAGGAAATGCTCAAAAAAAGGTATATGTTCGATATAGAAAAGAAAAGCCATTTACGTTGACAATTTGGGCATCCTTCCTTCGATTTGAGCACATGGGCAATATCCCAGTCCTTGCGCAAATCGAATAAGAAGCCATTTAAAAAGATATACGTTGATGGTTTATGGTACATATAACCCCAATTTATGTGTACAGAAGAAATACGTGACCCCCCTATCCCTTCCATGGCCAGTTATAACTTAACTAACAATTCTTGTTTATTTTTTTATTTTATTTTATTTGTGTTATCATTAACCTATATTTCCACATCCATTATTTATTTGTAATTTTCAGCCTCTTTGTATTCTTCACTATCTAATTATTTACACACATCTTATTACGTAATGATTTTAATATTTTGTGATTACTATTCCTAGTCTATTTACCCATGTTTATTTGACCTTCTATTTCCAACGTTTAACTATTGATTAGAGTTTTTGTTATTGTATTTTATTATTCTTACCTACTATCAGCACACTTGTCTTCCCACTATCAGCATGTATTTTTACCTATTATGTGTAGTGACTTATTCTATTTCATTGTGATTATTGACTCATATTGCCTTGATTGGTTTAACATTTTCGTATAAATATTCATGTATATTAGAGTAAAGCCTGATGACGATCTAATTGAAAACAATATTGTTCGCTTATATGTGTTGTTCTAATTTTCACAATGGGAATCTTTAATATTCCAAACTGTTTCAGTCATGATAACATATTCATTATTGCCTAAGCCCCAAAATGCCCTACTACGACCGAGAGTGTGGAGAGTTAGCTCTCCTTCTCCAAATGCCCTTATAGTCACGCCTATATAGCTACTGCCACACAAGTCTTGCTCACTGCCTTCTCGCCACTGGGGTGTTTTTTACGAAATTGAGAGGGTGAAAAGCGAATGCACGGCGGTTTGACCGGGTTGGTGCATACAGAAGATCCACCTAGAGGATTTGGTAAACCCTGATTTCAAAACAATGGTGCACATGGATTGGTTCCAGGATCCTGAGGGGACAAATGGCGTATGAATAAATCGTTGATCACTAGATACCATGGGACTGCATGTCCTTATGTTGCTCCACTGCCTTGTGGATTAGACTTTTAGTCGAAGGCTCGGGGTGTGACCCCCTAAAAAAACCACTTGCTTCGATTTGGGCACCCGTGCAGTATCTCGGCCCCCATCATAATCGAATGATTTCTGTGGTGAATATCTGATTGGTGCCTCCTTGTATCAAAGTTTATATGTTTAAATAAATTAATTAATGAAGGGTTGCAGTACGGCTAGACCTATGACACTTTTGGCACCCAAAAAGCGAGTTTATATTACGCTACCATTTAGAGGCGACAAAAATAGTCTCATGTTGAAACGGAGACTTAAGTTAGCTATCAACCGAACATTTTATGCAGCCTAACTTGTCATTATCGAAAAGACAAGGTCTATGATTTCACCAAAAGCCAAAAAACAGCACGAAATCGATTATGTCATATCCCATTATGTCTATCAAGTTACATAAATGCATGGTAACACGTACATAGGGATGAGCAATCGTAATTTGCAATTAAGGATGACTACAGAAACAAATGGATCCCAACGATCAAATAAAACCACCGAATAGACAGACATCATCTTTCATTGCGAAACATTTGATTGAGACTAGTCATAAGGTTGACATCAAATCAGCATTCGTAGTGTAATACAAAAGCTTTCAAGGACGTATATACTAAAGTTTATTGAAGCCTTGGCTATACAGAAATTGAAACCCCCTTTATGTACCCAAAAAACAATTTGTCCTTACACTTAACCTACCCTGATAATACTGATTTCTAAATAAGCACTAGTCAATACTCTGTAATCATTTAAAATTCAATCCAATGTGTATTACCATGTCGAATCACTCACCTTATTAGCTATAAAGTGATCACTGTCTTTATTTAATTAAGCCATATAATAACGGTAATTTTCACTTTTTTTTGGTATACAATCATCTTGTATCTATGTCTTACTTATTATTTATTTATTTATTTTAACACATAGGTATTGGTACAAGGAGGCACCAAATACATATGTGCCACACAAATGTCATTCGATATGTGTGAGGGCTGTGATACTGCACGGGTGCCCAAATCGAAGCAGGTGGTTTTCTTAGGAGGCCACTCCCCGAGCCTTCGATCTGAAGATCTGATCCACAAGCAGTGAAGCATCGTAAAGAGATGCAGTCCCATTGTAGTCGGTGACCAACAATTGGTTCATACGTCATTTGTTCTTGCAGGATACTGGAGCCAATGTGCACAATTGGTTTGGAATCCGGTTAAAGCGCCGGACATTCGGTTTTCGTCCTCTCATTTTCGTGAACAACATCCCCGCCACGAGAAGGCAGTGAGTAGGACTTCCCTGACAGAGGCTATATACGCGTGGCCATAAGAAAGCATTTGGAGAGGGAGAGCGGGCTCTCCCCACTCTCGGCCGTACCAGGGCATTTGGGGGCTAAACCTTTTTTGAATTGTATAACATTTAAAAAAAAAACTTATTCCTAAACATAGATTCAATTGAAATCTAACCAATATCTAATTAGTTTAGGAAATGTCATATGATAAGTAATACATAACCAATTACAATCATTACCAACCATCCTGAACTTAATTGATTCAATTTCTAATGATATTTTGTGATGTAACATTGTCCGACTACTATCATGTCTGATTCGATATTGATTTTAATGGATAGTGATTATTACATATATACAGATATTGTTTATGTATTACAATACATTTTTACATAGACTGTAAACTAAATCATCATGGGAAAGTATATGAAAATGTCAAGAATCCCTAGTTTTAAGACCAATAATATTAAAATATTTGTGTAGTGCTAACAAATCAGCCTTAGAACAAATTGAACGGCTTCTTTAATAAAAAAAAAGTGTCAGTGTTCATTTACACTTCAGAATAATATCTTGATGAAACACTTTTTTGATTGATCCCAAATACCTTTATACGACTGATGGTGGAGAGAATCAGCTTTCTATAAAAACTATCACATAGTAACGAGTATACAGCCACTCCTACAGAAGTCCTATTTAATGCGTTCTCACAGCTTTACTGAGGAGATTTAGAAAACCCTAATTCCAAACCAATGATTCGCATGGGTTGGCTCCGGAATGCTGAAGGAACAAATGCTGTATGAACCAATTGTTGGTCACCGGTTACCATGGGACTGCATCTCCTGTGGTTGTTCCATTGCCTTGTGGATTAGATCTCTGAGTCAAAGGATCCGGGTGTAATCCCCTAAGAAAACCATCTGCTTCAGTTTGGGCACCCGTGCAGGATCACAGCCCACACAAAAATTAAATGACTTGTGTGGACTATATGTATTCGATAGCCATTTTTACTAATATTTATGTGTTCAAATAAATAAATCCATATTATCAGAAGGGGTTTTGTGGAGATTTTTAGTCATTTCAATAGTTGAAATTATGAGTAAATTGAAGCTAGATCATTATGGAAAACCTGGAAGTATTGAATGGCCGATTCGTTCTAGTATGGGACTCCTCAGCAGGACGAAATTATTATTAGTTTATTATTATTATAATTTAAAACATGATCTGTGTGGTTTAGTTTCTTGTATATTTATATTTCCAAGGTCCTTGTATTTGTCTATTTAATTTTTTAGGAAGGTTGTAAATTCGAACTCTCATAAGGCAAAAGCATAGTGTTGTGTCTTGTGGACTGCAGATTAGACGGTAGCGAACTATCGATCGGACCAAAGACGTGTAAAACACGTAAGAACGACCTAGAACTCTGATGGCCCTGCTTCCCTGTTTAGCCCAGCCAGTTGACTCCAGAACGCAAGTCTCAGCCTCTGAGATATGAATCATGTATTTCAAACATACTCTGTTTATATACCAATCAAGCAGACCACATCGTACCATAAAATAGAAAATAACATTTGACGTGAAATAGGTATCGACCAGTAGGGAAATGACACGTGAAATAAATATTAACCAATGATACCATCTCAAGTCCAAGAATAGCATTAGACTTAATAGAATAATTTTTGGGATATTTTCCTGAATATCCTGAATAGCCCATAATCTAAGAAATCACAACAAAACCCTATTTAACAACAATTAGTTGATAATTAAACTGTGAATTTATTTGATAATTTTTTTGAATATTGGTTTCTATAGAAAAAGTTACATAGATTTTTTCAATGTTTAAGACTGTGTCAGTTGAAGCTAGACCACCATGGAACGTCTGGATACACTGGACGGCCGTTTCGTCCTATTGCGGGACTCCTCAGCAGTGTGCATCCACGACCTCACCCCCTGCGAGATTCGAACCCACGACCTACAGGCTTCGCGAGCGAGCATTTAACCACTAGACCATTGAGCCGGTATCCAACGGTGTTAATGTCTAACTTCATAGATTGTTGAAAGTTTATAAGTTGTATAGAAACTTAGTATAGAGAGTGTTGAAAATGAGTTTAAAAATGTTATCCAATAATAAAGTCATTACTTATTAGGATTTTGAAGGCTTTAAGTTAAGGGTTTATTTGTGAAATAATCTGAATTGATGATTTAAGTTTTAAGAAACTGTTATGTCCCGACAAGAATAATGAATGGTAACTTTTGGAATCTATTGATGAACCAATACTAAACGTATATTTCTATTGTATAATTATTAAGTAACTAAACTATGCATATTCATATTCCTCTTATTATAAGCTTTATTTTGACCCATAAACTATTATTATACATTTTTACCATTCTTGAGTTATACCCAGTATATTAATTACTACCTCCCTCATTCACAACCACATCTGGCTAATATCTTGTACAAATGTTGTTTCACATTTTATTGGTACGATGTGGTCTATTTGGTATGTTTGAAATATTATGATTCATATGACAGAGGCTGAGATTGGTGTTCTGGACATAAATGGCTGGGCTAGGCAGGAAGCAGGATCGGTAAAGACTGTAGACTGCTCGCACGTGTTTACGCGTCTTTTATTTAATCGATAAGTCAGTGCTCTCTAATTGGCGGTAACAAGATATAACAGAAACATAACTACAGCCAATATAATATAAAGCTTCAATGCACTCATTCAAAGTTGTATACTTTAATAACTAAAACATTGATTCATGTTGACTTTGTTGAAACAACAGAAGTATGGGAGGGGGAGGTTAGTAGTAGCAACAAAAGAATATTTTTTTTATTTTGAAAGTGAAATTGAACGAATTTTACTAAGAATGTACTTTCATGAATTGTATTTCCTATGAAATTGGATCATCATTTAAAAGTGCATACAAAATGTTAATATGTCTATTAAGATAAATGCAGATAGTTTAGTTAATAAATGATTTTACAAAGTGCACACTATATTTGAACTAATGTACTCTGTTGATATACCGAAATTGTTACATTCAACCATGTTTCTCTGTGTACATATGCATAAAATGCATACATAGACATGTAAACATAATTTAGAATAAACAACGGTACAAAGATGCACCAAATATATATCTATTGCGTCACATTTCATCATTCGATTTGTGTAAGGGCTGAAATACTGCCTGGATGCTCAAACCGAAGCACGTAGTTTTCTTCGAGAGCCACTTCCTGAACCTTTAACCTACAAATCTAATCCATAAGGAAGTGGAACAACATTACGAGATACAGTCTTATAGTAGCCAGTGATCAACAATTGGTTCATATACCATTTGTTCCTTCAGGATCCTGGAGCCCATGTAAACCATTTGTTTGGAATCACAGTTTTCCAAATCCCCTAGGTAGACTCTTAGTAATGCTATAAGAAGGCATTAAGTAGGACTTCTGTGGCAGTGGCTGTATACGCATGGTCATATGATAGCATTTAGAGAGGGAGAACTGACTCTCTACACCGTCGGCCGTACCAGGTTATTTGGGACCAGTCGACAAGGTGTTTCATCGAGATACTATCCTGAAGTTAAAATGAACTTCGACACTTTTTATCAAAGAAACCGTTCAATTTGTTCTGAGGCTGACTTGTTAGCGCTACACAACCAAAATGCCTAGCTGAGTGAAGTTCCTAATCGTTTTATGTGCAACCCCTCTGGGGCTATTACCAAGCCCAGATAAAGGAGGAGGGTTAGGTATGGGGGCTAACGAATCCATCCCGTAGAAAACTGACTCGCTAAAAAACGCTAACCAGAAAAATAATAATAAATCGAAACCCACTTTTATGAAGAATCGATGTCGCCAAGAGAACAGCATGATAACAGTCACTAGAAGAAGAGGTTATCTACTACACTGCAAAAAATCTAATGAAAATGATAAAATTTCGCGCCGAATACTTTATCTTCAAATTCATATCTCCAACCACACTCATGACCTCATACAGCACAAATGGCTTGATCGTTAACAATCTTAAGGAGGAGGTTTTGATGTATCTTTACATCGTACATGTTTCGAATTTCCTCCCAATTCCAAATATTATTTAAACAATAACTTCTAATTTTTGCTCCGAACTACTGAATACTTTTCAAAGATGATTGTGGAACAGTTATATATATTTTTCAATAATTGAGATCATGAGTCAATTGAAGCTAGACCATCGTGGAAAACTTGGAAGCACTGGACGACTGTTTTTTGCTATTGTGTGACTCCTCAGGAGTGCGCATCCACGATACCGTTTCTCGAGAATCGAACCCAGGACTTATCGGTCCTGAGACTTTTCACTTCCGTTTCTAAAACACACTAAAACGATATAATTTGACGCTTGGCTCAAACAATCAAGTAACATGGTATAATCGTCTGTCGGATTTCTACAGCAGTTGAGTGTAAATAATGATAGAGTTTGATACCCAAAACTGATCTATCTAATAAATACCCAATTTTTATGGAGGTATTAACCATGAATTTTTTGAAGAAGGGGACAGTGAGTATTAACTATCATGTGAAGGTTTCCAAGCCTTCAAGTGATCGCGTACATTATACATTGACAAAGTTGCATAATACCGATGGACAGTGTAATTGTTTATTTCGCAGAGGATTCGAGAAAAAAACTTTATAAATACAATGAAAAGAAACTTACCGTCTTAGTGCTGGATTACTACTGTACGATTTAGCTAGTGCATACTGTAAGTCAACTATACGCTCAGGGTCATCACAATGTCGACGCATTTCAGCAGTAGCAGTTAATACAGTTAATATACGATGAATTAAATCGTCAATATCATCTAAGAATAAACGAATATTTGAATCAGTCCAAAACAACTTCCCAGATGCATTTGATGATGACGACGATGTTGTTGTTACTGTTGTAGTTAATGACTTTGTCGAAGTTGATTCTGAAATTCTTTGCATATCAGTTTGTGCTAAACTATGCAAAAGACTTAAACTCGCTTCAAAACCTGGACTTAGTTCACTTACAAGTTTTGATATAGCAATAATTGTCTACAAATAAAGAAAAAGAGAGGTAGAGTGAAGAAAGAATACAATTGACTACTCTGTTGTCAACATAATCAAATATTCCAGACCAATGAATTGTTGTGAACATATAAACTAAGATTCATTGACAATCCATCATATTTGCATCATAGTCATTTTAATAAAGTCAAACTAAAATAGGTTAAGGATTGATGAACGATTCTTTGATGATGTAAGAGTAGTTTGAAAGAAAGTTAAAGATGATCAAAGAAAGATATGACATTAGTCCATAAGGTCTTTGACTTACAGATTAATCTATGTTGGTAGATACAAACTATTTCTTTTCGGGTTTGGATGATTATCATGACCTAAGATTAGATACGCTGGGCGACATTATTCAGAATCGATCACAATAAAGTTAGATGTATTCGCTCATTTTATTCCTTTACTTCTATTTTTAAAATTATTTTACATTACATTATTTCTCGACAACTCTTTTGCATATTTCTTTATACTACTTATTTAAATTCAGTAAATAAATGTGTTCACATCAATTTTCTTACGCTTATGTTGTAACGCAGGTTTATCGTGTCATATACTGAAATATTTACATAGACTTATAACGTTTATTGTATTTATCATTATAATTACTTTACCTCAATCACCGTAACAGTTATCTGCAGTTTTGTGTACTTGTTTAAACGCAAAAGTTTCCATATTGTTTTACTCTTGGTTTGGATTTCGCTTGTTGATAAACTGTTACTAAGTATAGACACAACTTTATTTGCACTATCGAAGCTCTTTTTGTTTCATTTAAAAGGGCGCATTAAACGCCACAGGCACTTCATAAGTTGAGAATCGCTATTTTAGACAAATCGTTGTTTTGTTAACTTCGGTTTTGCGCGTAACTCAGTTGAGTGACTTGGACGCTTCGATAGACCTAACATTACATTTTATTCAAGAAATTCGTGTATTCTTCTTGAATCATGTTGTCTATGCCTTATATGTTTTTCAGTTCTACCGATACTGTTACTATTGTTATTAATCAAACGTTTTTTTTTGATCATTTTAGTTGGCCGTGTAAAGGTGGTGGGCAAACTTGAAGCGAAACATATATGTCAAGTTTCTATGGTTCTTCTAAGTAACAAACTGAGTGAACCTATTCTGTTGAACCTATCATCGGTTAAACAACATAGAGACCATCAAAATCACACCCAATTGAAGTTTCACAGCAAACATGATCTGGTTGAACTATATTTAGAAAAATAACGATATTTTAAATCCCCAACTGTAAACAATGTTTCGTATAAAATAATGATTGATCTCATTGTCAACATGAATACATTCCACCAGTTATAACATTTCACAAGAACATTAAAAATCCATCTTTAAGTTGAAAAATAATAGGGAAATGGTTGTTATCCAGTTATCAACTAAAATATAAAATTTTTCATCATTTTTCCAAAAATAAATATATATCAGAAGGTTTTTTTTGTAGATATTATAGTAATTTCAATGGTTGAGATCATGAGTCAATTGAAGCTAGACCATCATGGAAAACCTGGAAGCATTGGACGACTGTTTCGTGCTATTGTAGGACTCCTCAGAAGTGTGCAGCCACGATCCTGCCTGGCGAGATCCGAACCCAGGACCTATCAGTCTCGCGAGAGAGCGCTTAACCACTATAATACCCACAAAAAACTCTCCTGATGTTCATCAACATATGCTTATTAGTGACTGCCTTCAAGAGGCGTTTCCTGGAATTGTAGTGAGAAGCAGTGACCCGTGGAGTTCAATCAGATCTATTGTGAGATAGTAGCCCACTGAAGACAATGGTGGATGTGTCCCTCAATCTCGTGGATTAGTTGAAGTTAGACATTAATACCGTTGGATGCCGGAAAGTTCAGTGGTCTAATGATTGAGCGCTCGCGCGTGAAATTGATAGACCATGGGTTCGAATCTGACGAGAAGGGATCGTGGATGAGCACTGCTGAGGAGTCCTAAAGTAGGACGAAACGGCCATCCGTTGCTTCCAGGTTTTCCATGGTAGTCTAGCTTTGATTGACTAATGATCTAATATATATAATGTTATATTCACTTACCTGTAAATGTACACGATGAAATCCAACTTGTTGATGTGTTTCAAAACTACACTTCCATAAACGATATAAGAAACCGCATGCATCTAGACAAAGTCTACTTATCAATGCTTGATTATTCATATTACTATTATCATAATCATTACTATGATTAAAATGGCTAGTATTTGATATAACCTGATTTGTATCATTAATTTCAATATTTTTCAATCTAGATAGTATTGGAGGTTTATACTTAATAGATGCTGTTGTGTCAGACGACGTTGTATTAATATTATTAGTTAGAAATGATATTTGAGAATTTTTATCCGATAGAGTATTAGTATTGGAATCAGTCAAGTTGGAGACAGAGCATGCGGTTGTTGTTGTTGTTCGTGGTGGTGGTATTGATGAAACTGATAATGATGGAGAAGAGAGAACCGATGATAATGAAAGGAAACATTGATTAGAACATCTTAAACCAGCTAAGCAAAGCATGCTTAGAATATCGGTTGATTCAGAGAAGAGAGTCTAAAATTTAAATTTAAAAGAAGAAAAGAAAAGCCACACATGAAAAGTTAACAAATCATATTTGTAATAACTTTCATAAATTTGCTAGTTCAATGTTGATGAGATTTTTCTTATTTGCTGTTTGTTATAATTCAGTAGTTTCGAGGTTAAATGTTCGCGTGTGAGACCGACAGGTCCTGGGTTCGAATCTTGGAAAGTGGAGATAGTGGATGAAAACATGTTTCTGTTTGGACACCCGGTCAGTATCATAGGCCACACACACACATACACACACGAATTAAGTGACTTGTGTAGTGTATATGTATTCGGTGACCCATTGTACTAATATTTATGTGTTCAAATAAAATAAATATACTCGTTACTAGTCATAACACTATAATCACATCTATTTATTTATTTTAACACATAGATATTGGTACAAGGAGGCACCAAATACATATGCGAGACACAAATCTCATTTGGTTTGTGCGAGGGATGTGATACTGCCTGAGTGCATCGTAAGGAGATGCAGTTCCGTCGAAGCCGGTGAACAATGATTTAATCATACGCTATTTGTTCATTAAGGATACTGGAGCCAATCTGCACCAGTGGTTTGGAATCAGGGTTTTCCAACTCCCCTAGATGAACTCTCCATGTCCAGCAACCCGGTTAAAGCGATGGGCATTCGCTTTTCGTCCTCTCAATTTCGTAAACAACAGCAATGCCACGAGAAGGCAATGAGTAGGACTTCTCTGTCAGATGCTATATATGCGTGGCCATGTGAGGGCATTTCGAGAAGATGAGTGGACTTTCCCCACTCTCGGCTGTACTAGGGCATTCGGAGGCAGAAGAACACTCTTGAGTTTGACGCCTTTGACCACTCGGCCACTCCGACGTGTAAATAGGTTCTAATCAATCTTTAAACTTAACCAATCAGTGATTCTTGACTCAATTTCTAATGTTTGAAAATACAATTGGTCATTTCCCGCTCTAATTGACGATAATAAGGCGAAAATGGGTAGGTATATAAACTATTTTTTGTTTCATGTCCTTGATAATCAACTAATCAAGATGAAAGTTTTGTCATCTTACTCAACAGAATGTGTGTAGTTTATCGTCAGTCAGTTAGCTACAACGTAGGACCAGGCACAAATATGTATCGGTCGATTTTTTTTCTAATCATTTAAGACTGTTAGGAAGTTGTAGTGTCGGTTACTATATTAAGCCCACATAACTTAGTCTAGTTTTTGGACAGGCCAATTTATCTATTCTTCTTGAGTCACGTTTAGACCTTGTTAGTTATTCACTTATCAACGCTAACATTTTATATGAGGGTAACCTGGGATTTGACTCTAAGTAGATTGTATTGTAGTGAATGAGAACATACAAGTGGGGATAACCAAATAGTATTTCAATACACAAAATTACAGAATTTCTTAGTAAAATCTAAGAATTATACAGTAAATACTTCATTTGTAAAATATCAATCAATTTTCTCAAATTTGATTGTTCCTTTGTAAATATCAGTCAATCGTCTCAGATTTCAATGTTCTCATTCTTTCCTTCTCGACTTTCTGCTGCCAGACATTTTATTCCTGACTAGCATTCTATACTACTTATGTGAATATAAGTAGCATATATAATAGTATGAATGATTGCTGTCGAAATACACACATCCTGAATTTAATCTATGTTACTGAACATAACGGAATTAAATAAGTTGAATACGACAATGGATTTCGCATATGTATATTTCATGCACTCAGTGATATGAACAGGCAATCAGGGAGACGAAACAAAGAAAAAAGAGCGAAGCGAAATGACGCGCGGTGGAGCGTTAATCAATATTTATAGTCACACAAAAATAAGCTACAGATATGTGGTGAGTAGAATAAGATGTGAATACCCATACGCTCATATAAAAAGTCAGTGTTAATAAGTGAATAACTAACAAGGTCTAAACGTGACTCAAGAAGAATGGATAAATTGGCCTATCCGAAAGCTAGAATAAGTTATATAGGTTTAACATAATAAGCGACACTACAACTTCCTAATAATGGTAGGTGAGTGAAAGAAATGGACTCTAAAATAACATCGTGTACATCAAATGAATCTTATTTAATGTTTCGTTAGGCGATAAATCAAACAAGTATACTAAACTATTGATCAATGGCCTTATTCTATTAGCCTAATTATGTTCTACAGAGAGGTATTGACTATTTGAACAGCCTGAAAACGATAAATCTAGTTGTTAAGCGCTCGCTCGAGCGCGAAACTGATTGGTTCTGGATTCAAATCCCGCGAAGCGTGGTCGTGGTTGCGCACTGCTGAGGAGTCCTACAATAACACGAAACGGCCATCCAATGCTTCCAGGTTTTCCATGATGGTCTAGCTTCAATTGACTCATGATCTTAACTATTGAAATGGATACTGGGAAGCAGTGGAATCTAGTTTGACATGCATTTAGTACTGATGATAGCCACCAGCTTAAGCAATAGGGTGAAGTTTAAATTCATTTGGTATTATTTTACTTGTATCCTCCTGTTGTTATTTAGAACTGCAATTGATCAGTCTCTTATTGACATATATGCATCCTGTGAAGATTGCCTTGATATAGTCTTAAGTAGTCATAAGCTTTTTCAACAAAGATGGATAGTGGCTAGCAATGGAATCTAGTGTGAAGCGCGTTTCATCCTATTTTGGGACTCTTCAATTGGATATATCTGCAACATGAGACTGATCAATTGCAGTCTTAAATAACAATAGGAAGATACATCTAATCTAAATGTTTCAATTACAACCAATAGTAAACATAGATAATAATTTAAATGAATCAAAAACTATACATTAATTACCTGTGAATTTTGATTAATAAATACACGTAATGCAGAAAATGTATGACGTATTACATAATCAGATGGATTATTAGATAATATGCATATATATGTTTCAATTATTGAACAAAATACTGGATCATTCGGTTTACACAGATTCAATTCTGACTAGAAATAAAATTATAACAAAAAGAACAAAATAGAAAACTATTTTAGAGAGAAAAAAATCAATGAGAAAGTGAAGATTAGAAAAATCAATAATTTGTAAACCAAATGTGGGATATAGGGGTGAACTCATCGTGATACCATCTAAATTAATAATTGACTGACTACTAGGCGAGACTTTAATTTATGGACGAGACAATCAGAAACGTTTTAAACATTTCAAGGTTACGGCGCCAACTTCAATGCCTAATGCTAACGTACAATCCGTTCACAGGGAATTTTGTATAAAACGTGATAATTGAACGACTATAACAAATAAAACGGCGAGACTATAATTTATGGACGAATCAATCAGCTATAAGATAATAGATCTCGGCTTTTAACGCGAAAGCCTTTCATGCACTTGGCTAAATAGATTTCTGGCATTATAGCTGATGTCAGTTCGTGATGAAAAACCACATACATAATTTCTAACTAAAGCAAATTACGACAATTACCGCGAACTGGATAATAAAAGCACCAGTAACACTGGCTGCAGCCAGGTATTACAATATATACGGATGATTTGAGAGCGTACAGACTCCTACATAGGGTTGGTTATATGCATCGTGTCGTTATCCACAAGTAGCATTTCGTGTACTCAACAACCGGAGTGCATATAAACAATATTGAAGCTATGTGGTCGAGGTTGAAAAAGTTTTTGAGACTTTATCACGGCTCCAGAGGTCGACAATTCTGTGGCCATATGGATGATTTCCTCTACTGAATGCATTACGATTTTAGAACCTCGTTCTAGCCTTGACAAGTTTTTGAACCACATATACGGAGTGTATCCCACTTTATTTCTTTGGTTTTGTATAACACATTTCTACTCTATACTAACTGTTTGCTGATTGGCTAATATTTCTCAAGGTTACTTAAAATTCGTTCAAAGGTCGTCCACAAATTAGAGTCTCGCCGACTACTATTCAGTCCTTCATTTCGATCATATTTTATCGAAGACAGGTATAGTATAATTACGACTTTAAGCAAGTCATCATCATATTTGCAATATGTTTTAATGATCAATCGTTGAAGGTATTCGACAGAAAAAAAAATCGGTAAGATGAAAAGTTTAAAAATTGTATTAAATCATATAGTTTATTCAGTAAAGAGTGAAGGGTAACGGATAATTCATAGAGCTATTATGTTTGATATAACTAAACAATTTACATTTCAGGCAGTAATATATCATTAAACAAAATGCTCTGCTTGAAGCCTCTCTCTGGGGTTATTGTCGGTGCTAAATCGGGATAAAGGAGGATGGTTGGATATGGAGTTACCGACGACAATCTGTAGAAAATTAAATCACTAAAAAAACGATAACCAGAAAAAATAATTATGTTTAGTTGATTTAGTTTGGTCAAATGGTTTACTAACTACATTTCAATCAACTAATTTAAGCATTTTAAATGAAGGGGATGAAATCTCGAATTACCAAAGTACTTTTACATAATGATAAATTAGGGGAATTTTGCATAGAATTTCAAAACAGAATACTTATTACCACAAAAATAGAATGGGTAGAAGAAAATATAGTCGATAAACCTGGTCAAACCTGGATAATAATAGTTTTCCTAAAGAAACTGCTCTGTCCGGAGCCCCCTCTGTGGCTACTGATGGTCCCAAGCTGGGATAGAGGGGGAGGGTCGGGTATGGAGTTAGCGACCCTATCCCATAGGAAAATATCTCACTAGAATAACTCTAACGACATTTGATGATAACAACTTAGCTACTGAAAAGTATTTAAGTAGCTCATATTATTCTCGATCAAAGGTATAGGTGATCTCAGTTTCGGTGTACAATGAACGTAAAAAAACGATGATGTGAAAATTAAGTAACTGTTCTGTAAATATTTCATTCCTTTGGAGTTTAATACGTTTTCTCTGTGAGACAACCGATGAAGGGTTGAGCAAGATCACAGAGTGATTGAAGTAACACATTAACATCAATGAATCCTGACGCAGTGGCCTAGAGGTTAAGCATTTATACCCGAGACCGAATGTCCTGGGTCTGACTCCGACAAGCGGGATCTTGGACATGAACTGTTGAGGAGTCACGTACTAAGACGAAACGGCTGCTCAGTGCTTCCAGGTTTTTAATGGTAATCTAGCTTAGATGGACTTGTGATTTCAACTGTAAAAATGTTTATTTATTTAAAACGAAGTGTAACAATTAAAATGGTAAAAAAAACTTACTTTAAAAACTGTTGTAAACGTACTCAACAAATCTAAGATGATCAAGCTTGATTCAGTTGCCAAATTCGCTTTTAATAAAACTTTCATTTCTATAACAAAAATAATATGAATGAGAAACTAGAAGTTAAATTAACTCACTATTATATCCCGATGAGAATAATGAAGGGTAACTGTTTGAATCTACTTCTGGACTATTACGACACATATTTTTTTTCGTATAATTGTTAAATAACTAAGCTCTTCATATTCGTGTTCCTCTTATCATAAGCTTTATTTTGACCTATGAACTATTATTATACGATTTACCATTCTTGAATTATACCCAATCTATCAGTTACTATCTCCCTTATTCACAGCCACTTTTGGCTAAATCTTGTACAAATGTTGTTTCCTAGTTTATTGGTGCGATGTAGCTTGTTTGATTGATATATAAACTCAGTATGTTTGAAATACATGATTCATATGGCAGAGGTTGAGATTGGTGTTCTGGACTTAAATGGCTGGGCTAGGCAGGAAGCAGGATCGGTAAAGACTGTAGACGGCTCGCACAGGTTTTATGCGTCATTGATTCGGTGGATGATTTACTGCTCTCTAATTGGCGGTATCATTACGTCATACATTGATAGAGGCACAAACCCACAAGTTATAACACTCATAATCTAGATATATGGATTTCAGTTATGCTTTCTTGTTTATTACTCATACAATATGGTAACGTATTGTTACAATAAAGTGAAATTTTAAAACACAGCTGTAAAACCGTGTAATAAAACAAAAGTGATCCAATAAAAGAACTTACTTGGTGTATTATCGAGTCCTTCCTCAGGGGTTAGTTCATTAACATTTTTAGTTAACAGATCACTTTGTAAATGTTTGCTCTTTTTACGAGAAGCAGCATTACTAGCTAGTGCATTGCTAATATGAAGGAGATGACCAGTACCACCAGTTCGTCCAACACTACTGTGACTTATGTGTCTAAATTAAACAAAAAATTATGTTCTGATAAACAATTAGATCTCACATTTGAATTAACTGTACTTTCTTTAACTAATGATAATAGAATAAGTAGGCAATACTCAAAGAATGATATATAAGTCAGTAGATACCGTTAATTATCAAAAACACAACAAAAACAGTATATTCATTCTTCGTCTCGAGGTTGGGTGCGGTATGGCCGATCTACATACCTTTGACTGATTTACATATTACTCCCTTCTCAGAATACAAAAAAGTAAGGCAATGTAAACTAAAATAACTCATATCTTGTTTGGTTTTTCCCACGAAAAAGAGTATTTTGATTCCAATTTTCCATAGAAGTAAAAAACCGATTGTTAGGTGCATCGAAGCATCCAAGTAATCCAATTGAGATATGCGCAAGACCGAAGTTAACAAAACAACGATTTGTCTAAAATAGCGATTCTCAACTTATGAAGTGTCTGTGGCGTTTAATGCGCCCTTTTAAATGAAACAAAAAGGGCTTCGATAGTGCAAATAAAGTTGTGTCTAAACTTAGTAACAGTTTATCAACAAGCGAAATCCAAACCAAGAGTAAAACAATATGGAAACTGTTGCGTTTAAACAAGTACACAAAACTGCAGATAACTGTTACGGTGATTGAGGTAAAGTAATTATAATGATAAATACAATAAACGTTATAAGTCTATGTAAATATTTCAGTATATGACACGATAAACCTGCGTTACAACATAAGTGTAAAACAATTGCTGGGAGCACAACTATTTACTGAATTTAAATAAGTAGTATAAAATAATATGCAAAAGAGTGGATGAGAAGCGAGTAGGAACAATGTAAAACAAACTTAACACCGATAGAAATATAAAAACAAAAAGTTCTTATATAATCTTACTCATATTGTTGAATACAATGTTTACCACGATAATGTAGATGTTGAATAGAAAATCTATAAATATTAAGATAAAACAATGAAATATAAGAAAAATAATTGAATTCATTACGTGGTTGAATGTAATTTTAAAAGAATGTTGTTTTGTTTAACAATCTTTCAGTAGTTAATATCACATTAAAACAAAACTCATGGAATAATCAATTTTAAATAGATCACATGGATGGTTTATCTAATAACTATACAAATAGAACTTTAAAACGTTTTGTGATACTTAGGAATTTCATAAGATTTTGAGAGATACTTATGGAGATAAAAGATTGATGAAAGAAACTGAATTGATTAAGTAGATGAATAAATTCGGCAAAATTGAAAACCTCAACAACGATATTCAATCAAGACAATTGTCAACTTTTCATATATGCATCGGTCCAAGTTGCCATATATCATTAGCACACAAAGATAAACACCGAATCAATAGTAGTTACTTCAATGGTGGTAATATATAAAATAAAGAATGTGTATAAGGATATAATATAAAAATAAAGAATTAATTCGCAGAAAGAAAGATATGAAACAATTTTAATCTCATAGTTTAGGGAAGACAAAGTGTGTATACACCTACGCCATTGTGATCGATTCTGAGGCATGTCACACAGTCTCCAACCATTGGTTACAATAGTCACGCGGATCCCAACCGAGTAGTCTGCATCTACCAACATGGCTGCGAATAGAAGTTAGTGACGTCAATGACTTATATAACTAGCACTGACCAGTGCTTCTTCTTAATATTATCGCGCCGAGAATACTCATTTTTGCCTTCAAATTGTATGTTCCACTTGGAAGAACATGAAATGTTATTGATTTGTTACTTCTTTTCATACTCTATTTTAAGCTTTCAATAGTTTGTGGAATATACTTTTCCCCTCATTTGAACATAGTCTTCTCTTCCTTGTTAGCAAGTCTAAGGCGCAGTGAACAGCTTAACTTATCTTGTTGTTATTGTCTTAATGATCCTTCATTCCCTTCAACAATTTCAGATGATCCTATAATAATCTTTTCCAATGTAGCATAAACTGAGAATATAAGATAAATATACAACTGTGACATTTTAAACGTTTGCATTTAGAAACATCATCAGAAACAAATTCAAGTACAGAAATCAACAAGAGGATCAGCCTACCATACTATAAAAGGCATATTAGAAACTACAGCGAGACTGCTGAAAACTTTCAGAATACGAATTGAACACAAACCAACAAAATCTCTACAATCAATTCTATGCAAATCAAAGGATGAAATGACAAAAGAAGACAAATCAAACATCATCTACAAAATAAATTGTACCAACTGCAAAAAACATTACATCGGACAAAGCAGATGCCTTCTTCATCTTCGCCTGCATGAATATCAATTAACTGTCAAACGCTGTGACATATTCTCACTTATATCAATGCATGTGGAAAATTGTGAAGATTTTGGATAGAGACAATTCCAAAAACATCAGAGAACTTTATTAGAAGCTTAGCACTCAGGTCAAAAATCAGCAATCAACAAACACATTGAAATCAATCCAATTTATCAACCAAACTTCAAAAACGAAAATCAAATCAATGGAACACAACCAAAACAAAGAAGTAAACAATGACATGTTTAAGGTTAAAAAGAATCAATCAACATCAAGGTGTACAAGATAAGCTGTGAACCATATTGTGAAGAAATTCGAATAATTCATTTCTACTTATTATTTGTTTAGTTTAACACATAGATGTTGGCACCAAATAGATAAGCACCACACAAATCTCATTCGATATGTGTGAGGGCTTTGATACTGTCCAGGTGCTCAAATCGAAGGAGGTGGTTATCTTAGGAGGCCACATCCAGAGCCTTCGACCTGAAGGTCTGATCCACAAGGCAGTCGAGCATCGTAAGGAGATGCAGTTCCATCGAAGCCGATGACCAGTGATTGAATTATACGCTATTTGTTCTTTCAGGATACTGGAGCCAATCTGCACCAGTGGTTTGGAATCAGGGTTTTCCAACTCCCCTAGATGAACTCTCCATGTCCAGCAACCCGGTTAAAGCGATGGGCATTCGCTTTTCGTCCTCTCAATTTCGTAAACAACAGTAATACCACGAGAAGGCAATCAGCAGGACTTCTCTGTCAGAGGCTATATATACGCGTGGCCATGTGAGAGTATTTCAAGAGGGTGAGCGAACTCTCCCCACTCTCGGCCGTACCACGGTACTTAAATTTTATACTGTTGATATCGTTCAGAAGAATGATGAAATCTCCACAACAAAAATGTCAATTAATTCAGAGAACAAAACTCCGTCATCAAAAAAAACAAAAATAAACCCATACAAAAACAAGATTTACAAGAGATGTAACTTACTTTAATATATTCAAAAAATGTAATCTTTCTTGTATAGTAAAACTATGAAATAAACATTTTAAATGTACTAATGTTATAGTAGACATAATATGTAATATACAAATATATAAATCACGTTGACAATTATCAGTTAAACGACGTGGAGCATCTATATTATTTAATTCATATGGACGACGATGAATATGTGGACGTATAATAGGTTGTTTAATTAATAATAATTCAGGAATAAATGTCTTTTGATGATTAGATCGTATATTTTGATGAAATGGTAAATGATTATGATAATGAGAATATTGATGAACATTGTCGGAATTTCTATTTAGAGAGAAAAAAGAAAAAAAGAAAGACAAATGATTACTCAATACAGAACTTAGTGTTTCTTTTTTGGATAGAGTTTTGTTCTGAGTTGGATAGTTTGGTCTTCTGTAGAATAATGAAAGCTTCATAACCAAACACTATCCAGCTCAGAAATGTTAGATCCCTAGAACTCATTTGATAAATGCCTTAATTTTGTAATTTTATTTTAAAAAATTGAATTTCTTTGCTTTCGCGCCAAAAGCGATCTTTTCATCTTCATGTTGTATTAGCCACATGGAAGAATCTTAAACACTGTTGATTTGTTGTATCTTTTAGTATGCTGTTTTGTAACGCTTCCCAAATGACAGTTTTATGTTGTATATATACGTTTGATTTGTGTCTGTTGTTATCATTCGTGCTTTTGGTTCTTTGTGGAATATAATTCCCCGTTTAAGACTTCGAATTCTCCCTCTAGTTAGCGGGGCTAAGAGGCAATAGAATAGATAGTTTATTGGTCTTTGGTCACAAGTCTTTGTTCCGTTTGCAGACTAAGTGAACTCATAACCACTTCAAACCTAGCAAAAATTCCATCAAAATCATTCACCTGAGCTACAAATCTTCTCCCCTATCTCAGAACTGCGTCTACAAATTGGATTGTGTCGATTGTGATACCTTCTATATTGGAGAGTTATCTAGTGAGATCTTGAATCAAGCCAAAGAATATGAGACAAAATCTCGGAATACCTGTGCCTCGACCCTCCGTAAGTCTAGAAAGTTGTACGAAGAAAAACTTGTTAAGGAATCTATAGAATGTCCTAAACGTTTGTATTCCTATATAAACCAAAGGACAAGGAGAAAAGGAAATATTCCTGCTCTATGGGGAGACAGCACTGTCTCATCATTAGTGGAGGACGACTTTGGTAAGGCTCAAGTGTTCTCGAACTACTTTAGCAATGTATATACCATAGAAACACCCTTCCCGTCAGTCCATAAAAATCTCCTCAAACAATCACTTAACAGCGTGACCATTAAAGAACTCGATGTATTTGGTCTACTAAATAAGCTTGACATAGCTAAATCCATGGGGGCCCGATGAATTGCATCCTAGGGTACTAAAGGAATTATCTAACTTCGTTGCGAACCCTTTAAGTATATACTTTAATCTATTCGTAACGCAGGGTCGTTTACCAAAAGACTGGAAGAACGCCTGTCTTCAAAACAGGTACGAAACATAAACCTGCGAATTACCGACCCGTTAGCCTAACTAGCGTGATTGTTAAAATCTTAGAAAAGATTATTCGGAAGGAGCTGTTTAAGTATCTCCATAAAAACCGGATCTTCTCGGAGAAGCAGCACGGCTTCAGAATAGGTTATTCATATCTCACTAACTTATTAGTGGCTTGTGAAAGCTGGTGTGCTCTTAAGGATCAAAAGCTACCTGTAGACGTAGCCTACAGTGACTTCAGCAAAGCTTTTGACAAAGTTCCGCACAACTGGCTGTTATATAAGCTAAGAAATGTCGGAATTGGAGACAATCTATTGATGTGGATAAAAGACTTCTTAGTTGGGCGCCAACAAAGGGTACGGGTGGACTCAAAGTTGTCTAGCTGGGAAACTGTGCTTAGTGGAGTGCCCCGGGGTACAGTCTTTGGGCCAGTGCTATTCCTCTTGTATGTAAATGACCTTCCTTGTCTCCTATCATCAGCGGTCTTGCTATATGCTGACGATGTCAGGATATGGAGAACGATACGATGTAAGAGTGATAGCATAGAACTCCAAAATGACCTGAAGAAATTATCTGAATGGTCTCAAACCTGGCAGTTGCCGATAAATACATTCAAGTGTGTTGTGATGCATATCGGTCATCAAGGTACAGATACATACACGATGAATAACACTGAGCTACCTGCCGTCCAGACATATAATAACTTAGGAGTCATCGTTAGCCAAGACTTAACGACTACTGCACACTGCCGTGCAATAGCCGCCAAAGGTTTTAGAACGTTATGGTCAATACGTAGTGCTTTTAGTCATGTCGACGATAAAACGCTTTTGACTTTGTATACAGTGTTCATACGTCCTAAACTTGCGTACTGCACACAAGCGGCTAACCTCTGCCTAAAAAAGACAGTGAACTTTTGGGAAAGGTTCAGAGAACAGCAACTAAGCTGATTCCCGGAATAGCGAAACTTCTGTATGATGCTCGAATGGCCAAGCTAAACCTATTCCCGTTGTCACATCGAAGAACTAGATGCGACTTGATTACAGTTTTTAAATTGCTTAGTGATAAGTTTGCACCTGATATGCCCTCATTTTTCTTGTCTTCCAAAACAGAGAATTTACGAGGACACTCCAAAAAGGTTGACTATCGGCTTTCCCGTCCAATCATCAACGAGTGGAGTTCATTACCTCAACACGTGGTTGAGGCTCCATCCATCGACTTTTTCAAAAGAAAGTTGGATCAACTGAGAGACCACTATTGCTAGGACTAACACAGACCATCAAGCCTACTGTCCTTTCCAAACTGAAACTGAATATATTACAGTTAGAACTGAATAGACTTCAAATTAAATAGGCAATAGCAGTTCACGCCAATTTTAACAATCACCAAATCGATTTCAAAAATATCAAAATATTATTAAAAGGTTTTTCCAATTACAAAGAAAGGAGAGTTAGCTGAATCGTACTGCTCTCAATAGAAAAGAAGGCCTAAGTAAACATCCCACTTGGACTATCTATCCAAGCTACCATGTCAAATATTATTTATACTCCACACTATTATCGTACAAATAAATGAAACTCTATCCTTTATCAATATAAAGGTCACACATGTTTTCATCCCTGACCTTGCGCACATACACACAAATTGATGAACATGACACTTATAAATTATCTAGACTGAAAGGACATGATATTGATTTATTCAGACCTGTTTTTTGATTAGTCGAGCGTAATATTCTTACTTTGTTCCGTCGTACTATTTAAACTTGGATTAATTTTGATCTGGTTATTTATACGTTGAAGAAGTGGCTTACACTGAGTCACGAAACGCCAGAAAATTTAATTTTTCTAATCATTGTGATATTACAAATAATGGTTGAGACCATGAGTCAATTGAAGTTAGACCCACCATGAAAAACCTGGAAGCACTGAACGACCGTTTCGTCCTATTGCGGGGCTCCTCAGCAGTGCGCATCCATGATCCTGCCTTGCGAGATTCGAACCAAAGGCCTGTCGGTCTCGCGGGAGAGCGCTTGACCACTAGACCACTGAACTGGCACCCAACGGTGTTAGTGTCTAATTTCAACTTCGAATCTCGCGAGGCGGGATCGTCTATGCGCACTGCTGAGGTGTCTCACAACAGGACGAAACGGCTGTCCAGTACTTCCAGGTTTTCCATGGTGGTCTAGCTCCAATTGAATCATGATCTCAACCATTATTATGATATCCATAAAATCACTTCTGATATTATTTATTTATTACTTAAATAATATGAGATTAATTATTCCTTTCATAATATTCAGTAATAGTGAGATAAATTTAGCATTTAGTAAGTGAGTATAATTCTTACTGGGAATTTCTCATCAATCATCCACAGTTATCAATACCGATAGTAGAGCATCCAATTTAATTGGATGAAACATCCTTTGATAACATAAATATGTTGAACACTGAAAAATAGATTGATACATATTCGAGAACATACATCCTATGTCTTTAATTAATAATTCTTAAATTGATTCCACTCACTAATCAACTATAATTGATGAAGATATATGTTCAGTAAGAAAAAAAAGAAGAATTCGATAAATTGTTAGTGGATCTTCAATAAAGGTTCCTGAAAACCTTAGTAAAAAATGACATTAGATCCAAGCAAAAGAATACATACTTAAGGCCAAGTTTTTAAGCTACTTCAGTACAGTTATTTATTTATTTGAACATATAAATATTGATACAAAGGGGCACCGAATACACATGAGCACACAAGTCATTTGATTTGTGTATGACCCATGATACTTTCCGGGTACCCACATCGAAACAGGTGGTTTGCTTAGGAGGCCACACCCAGAGCCTTCGACCTAAAGATCTGATCCATAAGGCAGTTGAGCATAGTCACATGGTAGTCGGTGACCAATAATTGGTTCATACTCCATTTGTTCCCTCAGGATAATGAATTCCATGTGTACCATTGGTTTTGAATCAAAGTTTTCCAACCCCCCTAGGTAAATACTCCATAACCACAGACCCGGTTAAAGCGCCGGACATTCGCTTCAGTACAGTAAAATGAAATTACCAAGATGAATACAAAATATAAAGTTGAAATAGTATGAGAACCTTATTTCTGAGCATAAAAATAAGGCTAAAATCTCGTACTTATATTAATATACAGAATGAATAATATTCAAATACTTACTCCATCTCTGAAACATTCATTTCTAATGGAATTCCAATAGAAGGATTAGATATAACAGATTGTGGACTCACTGAACTCACTGATTTTACATCATTAATACGATCTGTATAAATACCAGCTAACGTAAGAACTTGCTTTGCCCAATCTTGATCGTTATCTATAATTAATCATATTGAATAATAACACTATATATATATATATATATATATATATATATTTCATACAAGTCTGGAATTATTTACTTGAGAACTGAATATTCTATAACTATTAGGATGGGATGGCTTAATGATTACAGTATTCCACTTCTCGTCATTATGTCATAAGTTTAAAACCTGTTCTAATTACTTTGATCTAAGTATCTGGATAGTGCCGCTGGGCTTCATGGATAAAAAATGTTAGTCAGTCAGTCACAACGTAGGACCAGGCACATATATGCATCGCTTCAAGTTGCCATACATCATTAGCACAACAACATGAACATCGGATTCATAGAAGTAGTTAATTCAGTGGTGGTAATATATAAAAGAAAGATTGCATATAAAGATATAATACAAGAAGAAAGAATTAGTTCGTAGAAAGAAAGATATGAAGCGATTTTAATCTCATAGTTTAAGGGAAGACAAATAGTATATACACTGACGTCATTATGATTACTCCATAATGTAAACTACAAGATTATCAACTGATTAACTACTTATTACACCTTTTATTCCCTACAACAGCTGAGTATAATACGGAATGATAAAGTGTAGTTAGAACTGTTAAAAGCATCAATTTATATATTACAAGACCAATCACAGTTTTACATTCAACTTACTTAGTTCATTGTGATTCTGGTTGATTTCATTATTCTTGTAATCACTGGTTAAATTATTAATGCCATCATTCTCATCGATATGATTACCTCCATTTAGACCATTTATATGATCTTTATTATTATTATTATCCACATCGGGACCAGTTAATGTCAGTGTACTACTACTTGTATGACTTGATAAAACACAATTTCCACTTTGTGCACTATCCACAGAATGAATTGAATGAGAACGTGGACATTGATTAGATATTATCGATGGTGCATTAGATTCGATGGATGACGTGATAATTGTTGTTGATGGTGGCAGTATAGATGAAATGTCCTGATGACGTATTCTTTGTACACGTTGCAGAGCGCCACCTGATAAAAGTATTATAGGCATTTAACAAGTACATATTAAAAAAATTCGTATAAAGTGTTTTTAATCAGTGATTAGTTGCTATTCATATTGAACTGAACATTTTTATGATTAGTTTTATTTCCAAGATGTATAATTTTCGATTATTTATTTATTTGAAAACATAAAAAATTTGGTAGAAAAGGGCACCAAATGTATATGCGGCCACATAAGCCACTTGATTTATGTGTAGGCTGTGATACTTCTCTGGTGCTCACACCGAAGCAGGTAGTTTTCTAAGTGGGCCACACCCAGAGCCTTCGACCTGAAGGTTTAATCCACAAGGTAGTGGAGCAACGTCGGGAGATACAGTCCCATGGTAACCGGTAACCAACGATTAGTTCATACTCCATCCGTTCCCTCAAGATATTAGAGACCATCTGCACCAATGGTTTGAAATCAGGGTTTTCCAACTCCCCTAGATTGATTCGCCATATCCACAACCCGGTTAAGCTCCAAAAATTCGCTTTTCGTCCTCTCAATTTCATAAACAATACGCCAATGACGAGAAGGCAATGAGTAGAACTTCCCTGGTAGTGGGTGTATACGCGTGGCCATGTGAGAGTATTTCGAGGAGAGCTGACTTTCCACACTTTCGACCATATCAGGGCAGTTGGAGGCATCGTAAACTATACCAACCATCATGGTGATATATTTTGAATTTCTAGTTAATCAGATTCGACATAAACAATTTATGGAAGCTCGTAAGTACACGCAAGTATTCATTAAAAAAAGCTTACATGCAGTAATCCATAAATGATGTTAAGATGAATCTTGATAGAAATGTTAAAACAACACCAAAATAAATCCAGTTACACTTACAGAAAACAATATACAGTTTGATTACTACTGATCTTATTCAAGTCTTAATGAAGCTGAGAAATATTTAAAATATACTTTCATGATCCATTTGATTATACAGTTCATTGATTTGCAATACACATTCTGGATTCATTTCATAAAATTATTGGACAGTTGTCACATTAAACCAACTCATTAAATGGCCTAGTGTTTTAGAAAGTTTATAAAATAAACAAAATGGATGGCATCTCTGTGCTAATATGGTGTGGCAACTCGAACTGGTGTACGTACGTACGAAGTTCCGAGTTGTTACTGACTGACTGACTGACTGAGTTGAGTTCATGAGTTAATTAAAGCTAGGTCATCGTGGAAAACCTAGAAGCACCGGAAGGTTGTTTCGCCCTAGTATGGGACTCCTCAGTAATGTGCATCCACGATCCTGCACGTCACACTCGAACAGAGGACCTGTCGGTCTCATGAACAAACACTTAACCTCTAGACCATTGAGTTGGCGTTCAACGGCGTCGATGTCTAACTTCAACCAATCCACGAAATTGCACTACCGTTCATCAATGTCTTTAGTGAGTTGAATAAATATGTCAGTAACAGACAAAATGAATACAACATAATGCAATGAGAAGACGAAGATTATCAGAACTATGTGATATATCACATAGTTCTGATAATCTTCGTCTTCTCATTGCATTATCGAAATTTATCAAAGGGACTAATTGTTTTGAATACAACATAGTTAGTGGAATTAACGAGGTTATAAATACTGCTAAAATGTACCAATCTATTTTATTGATCACATGATATCCATTACAACAGTGTTGCCTATTAGTCATATATGAAACAATGAATCACTCTAATTCCTACGACGCAAAGTAAAAACATAGAAAACTGGTACAAGTATAAACTTATTTCGATAGAAATAGCTTTTCGGTAAATTTTAAAAGCAGATTGGTTACATTATTACTTATTCAAGTATATTAATTGGAATTCATTACAAGTAGTCTTCTCAAAACAATTCACTTAAATATAGAATGTAACACAAGTTCCTTTATTAAGTGAAGAATTTCGACCAAATAAAGCTAAGGAAAAGCTTTTATTCTCAATCAATAACATACATAAGATTCAGTCTTCTATGAAAATGAAAGATGTACGATTGTACCATAGCAATTACTAACTGAAAGGGTTTGCTTCTTCTACACTTGCTCTATTATCTAATCGATTAAACCTTCGATTAAAGATTACTGAAGAGGAAACTTCAAGTAAAAAGGCCGTTTACTTCGGTTTGTGCAGTTAGGTAATATCAATCACGCCGTAAACGTAAAAAGGATTGATTATGATCACTTACCTTGATTAACTCCAGCAATTTGATCTAATATATGCTTTTGTACTTTGCCATCTTTAGTTAAATAAGCAGCATTAGCAGTAGTAGTAGCAGTTGCAGAACCGCTGTTTGTTGACCGACCATCACTTTGATCACTTGATAAAGAAGATTTTCTACCGCTACTACCAGTTTGTGAAAATGAATGACTACTACTAGTTATGGATAAATAAGAATCATGTGATCCATTGTCAGAATTCATTGTGTTCTGTTGTTGTTGTTGTTGCCGTGATTGATTGTTATTATTAATTGTTTCTAATGAATAATCACTAAGCATACTTTGTGGTCGATAATGTGATATACTGTTAATATGACTAGTTAAATTACCTGAAATATTGGATTTATTTAATTTATTTGATTTATCAATAGAATGTTGACGACGAGATGTATTCAATGTACTAGAATTACTATGACCATCAGTCAGTTGTAAAGATTCTTCATAATCTCGACGTACTGCAGCTGCAATAACAGCTGTTTGTAGAGCACCACCTTTTTTTAAAATAATGAAAAACAAGCAAAATATTGTGTTTTTAATTTAAAGCTGATGTTTCATTATAAAGTATTGATAGTTGGAGAAGCACTGAAACTGGAAAAAGTTCAAGTTAGTGTTGTTTCCGACGAAGATTAAAGGGATGGTAACGGACAGGATTAATTTAAGGCCTATTATTATACATATTAAGTAGTAGTTTCCCATACTCACAGCTCCTTTTTGGCTTGATCATTGCTTACTTACTTACGCCTGTTACTCCCAATGGAGTACAGGCCACCGACCAGCATTCTACAACCCACTCTGCAATCGGCCATCCTTTCCAGTTCTATCCAATTTTTGTTCATTTTTCTCATGTCTGTTTCCACTTCTCGGTGTAATGTGTTTGTTGGTCTTCCTCTTTTCCTTTGGCCTTGAAAATTCCATGTGAGGGCTTGCCTTGTGATGCAGTTGGGTGCTTTCTTCAATGTGCGTTCTATCCACTTTCAGCGCTTCTTCTTGATTTCTTTCTCCGTTGGGATGTGATTTGTTCTCTCCCATAGTAGTTTGTTGCTGATAGTGTCTGGCCAACGGATTTGGCTTAATCATATATGAATGTTATTTCCTATTTTATAATGTGATGCGGTCTGATATGCCTGTATAAAAATTACGTCTGATTGAAATATATCATATAGTCCAGGATGATTACTCTGCTCTGGACTCAACGGGTGGAGCAGGAAGACGAGCTACCGAACCGAGGACCAGTAAGAGCTTTTCGTTGACTCAAGATCATTAACGCTGGAATGGATTTCGGTTGGTGTTTATGTCATGTGAATATTGTCAATAGCTGTAAGTCGTAACAGTCAGCACTTATAGCTTCGCAAATGTGTCTACATTTTAAGCATTAATGTTTTATGATCAGCATAATTATAACCCATGTCATGCAATTAACTCAAGATATAAAAAAATAGATTTTTATGACAGAAGAGCTTAAAACTGAATGGAATTTAGTCGTTTATTGGTTTCAATTAATTAAGGTGGTGATTCAGAGAAGTCGACAGGAAACCCTAGATCTACGTTTTGTGCTCATTTTAGAACTCGTCAGCAAGATGTACCTGTAATCTAGAGGAAACCGATGTTCCTTGATTGAATTGACACTGTATGACTCAGATATACAGTTAAAGACTTTACCACTGGGCTATCCGGGCTACGAATAGCCTCTTATAAGACTGAGATATATTTACAATTGATTGATTTCTGAGAAGTGACAAATACCAAATACGTCAAGTCCTTTACAATTGATTGATCACTGGGTGGTGATCAATGTCATGTGTGTCAAGTACTTATTCGTGCAGATCGATTGCTATCGACTATGTTGCAATGTGGCCAGCAGTCTAGGTGACTCGACATTGCGTGCACTATTGTGAGATTAGATGGTGGGTGGAGGGAGTCGACAGGAAGGTTGGTCGCGGCCCGGATCGCCCAGTGGTAACGTCTCTGATTGTGGACCTGGGTGACATGGGATCGAATCCGTCTGGGAGCATCAGTTCCCTCAAGATTACACCTTGCCGACGAGTGCCAAGTAGCAGGAAACCCGGGTCTAAGGTTTCCTGTCGACCACCTCCAACCAAAATCTAATGTCAAGTCCTTCTTTGGTGAGTACTACAAAGGAAGAAACGAGAGCAATTGATTATATTACTACCATAATCAATATTAATCGTAGGAAACATGACGCTACGAGTGGATAAAACAAAATCTACCGACTTTCGAATAAATTGAGCATTGGGTTGATTGTTATAAATAAAAATAATATATTTGTGATATCCCAATGAGTAGAAAATTGGATTTTCTGACGTTTCGTGACTTAGTGTAAATCACTTCTTCAGAGAATAAATAACCAAATTAAAATTAATTCAAGTTTAAATAGTACAACGGAACAATGCAAAAATAATATTTGATCAATCAAAAAACAGGTCTGAACAAGTTGATGTCATGTCATTTCTGTCAAGGTGATTCATAAGTGTTATGTATGTTTTTTGGTGGAGTTTTGTTCTCTGAGCTGGATGGTTTGGTCGTGTCATGGAGAAAATATGTTATGTTATGTATGTAAATTTGTGTGTAAGTATATGTGCATTGTTTAAGAATGAAAACTTGTGTGACCTTTATGGTAAGAAAGGATAGAGTTTAAATTTGTAATATGATAGTGTGAAATTGTAAATACGATCAGACTGAGTTGCTAGGATAGATGGTCCAAGTAGGATGTACAGTAAGACTTTCCTTTCTATTGAGAGAAGTAGGATTAAGCATTATATGGAACACCTCTCCTTTCTTTGTAGTTAGAAAAGCCTTTTTGCAATATTTTGATATTTTTAAAATCGATTTGGTGGTTGTTGAAAATGGCATGAACTGCTATTGCCAATTTGATTTGAAGTTGGTTCAATTCTACAGGATTGTTAGGAGGTTTCTTTATGTACCTAATATGTTCTTTGGCTCTAGTCACGATTTTGCGGGTTGACTCTCCAATATAATAGGCATCACAATCAATACAACCTAATTTGTAGACGCAGTTCTGTGTGGACATGAAAGGGATTTTGTCTTTCATGCGAACTAAAGTATTACGTAGTGTGTCTGTTGTTTTGTAGTACACTTTGATTTTGTGATGTTTTAAGATTCTTTGGATTTCTTCTGTTGTGCCATGACGGTATGGTAGAACTACAGTACCAATCCATGGCATTTCATTCGAATCATTATTAGAATGTAATAAACTGTTTTGTTTTAATATGCTTCTAATAATCTTCATAGGAAAATTATTAAATTGTAAGACGCTAACTATATTCATTTGTTCTTTTTGTTTGTCTTCCTCTGATGTGATGATCTTGTTAGCTCTTCTAAAAAGATTTAAGGCTAGCGAGATCTTTGCACTGAAAGGATGTGCTGAATGGAAGTCAATATAACGATTTGAATGTGTCAGTTTTCGGTAAATGGAAAGGTTTAGACTTCCATTTGGATTTCTTTTTACTAAGCAATCCAAGAATGGTAGCTCACCATGTACATTTTCATTTTCTTCATGACCTTCATACAAACATATTGCTAAATCAAACATGACACTTGTAGTTCGTTTTTAATACCTTTAAACTACTGGAAAATTTCGCATTGATAGCTATAATGTTAGGTTTATATATCCTTGTTAGGTCCCAATAAGCACAATGAATGGTAACTTTGGGATCCATTTATAGACAAATACTATACGTATATTTTTATTGTATAATTGTTAAATAACCAAACTATTCATATTTCTCTTATTATAAGCTTTATTTTGAACTATGTACTATCATTATACGTTTTACCATCCCTGAATTATGCTCTATCTACTAGTCACTGTCTCTCACATTCACAGCCACATTTGGTTAAATCATGTACAGATGTTATTTTCTATTTTATGGTACGTTGCAGTCTGCTTGATTTGTATATAAACCCCGTATGCTTGAAATAAATGACTCACATCGCAGAGGCTGAGATTGGTGTTCCGGGCTTAACTGGCTGGGCTAGGCGGAAAGCATGACCAATCAGGACTCTAGGCTGCTGGTACGCGTTTTACGCGTCATTGGTCCGATAGATAAGTAACTGCTCCCTAATTTGCGGTATCATTACTTATCCATTAACAGGGCTTACAGACCATAAGTTATAACAACCCTGAATAGAAATTCTAGTCACATAACTATACAATTGTAGAGTCCAATAATAGATTACACTGAAATCAAACAAGTCTTATCAGTTGTCACACTCATTTAAAGCAATTAGTTCAATTTGATAAATTTCAATAGATGTAATAAGAAAAGGAAAAGTTATTAGAACTATGTGATGATAATTTCACTTGGTGTTGTTTTACTTGTATCTTTCTATTGCTATTTAGGACTGCAAAAAAAAACACCAAGTGAATTTATACTTCACCTCATTACACAAGCAAATGGCTATCAGAATCATAGAATAGAAATGGGTGTAATAGTTGTATCAGTGACGGTGAAAAAAAAACCAAACGTTCAGAATATGATTTGGGATGATATGAAAAGGTATGTGTAAGTGAAAAAGTGTAACTCAAAATCTTGGAGACAATAGAAATCTACACCATTGTGATTCCTAGTCTCAAACTGCTGATTATCCAGTAAACTGAAACCAGGGATTTTACACCTCTTCACATAGCTCAGTTCAATGGTAAAGATTAAAGTGATAATAAGTGCAGCGGTTCTACTAGAAACTAATTGTTACTTCAGAAATATAACAGTGGAATTAAAATGAATTCTTGAAAAAAAATGATGGGTTCCATCAAGATAACGAACTCATTTTAATGATGAACCAACATCAAAATGATTTGAATAACATTAATAGTATTAAACACTTTACCTGGTGGTCCAAATGAATCCCAATGATCCAACACTAAACGAATCAATGGAAGATATAATGTACAAATTCTAGCTTGAATTACTTTAGAATCACGATAACGAGGATCAAGTGTATGTTTAATTAATAGATTACGTAATATTGTAATAGGTTGTTTATAATGTTGACTTGATGTTGATCTAAGTGTTGCCCAACTTCCAGTATTTATACAACCAGATAATAAACAACTAAGTTGATTCAATAGAATTCCAATTGGAAAATGTTGTTGACAAAATTGATCAGTTAACGATAATTCAAGACCAACATCTAAGGATTCGTTTAAATAAATGCAGAAATGAAGGGAAAGCAAAGAATTGAATGAATGGTATATATATATATATATATATATATATATATATATATATATATATATATATATGATGGGATTCTATAATTTGCTACAACAAACCAATAGATTTGATAAAATAACATTATAATAACTCACTTAGTGTTGTTCTACTTGTATCTTCCGATTGTTATTTAAAAACTGCAACGGATCAGTCTCATGTTGGCATATGTGCATCTTGTGCGGATTGCCTTGATATAGCCTTAAGTCGCAAGCTTTTTTTATGCAAAGCTGGATAGTGCTTAGCAGTGGAATCTAGTTTGATGAGCGTTTCAAGACTCAGTAGCTAAGTGGATAATATGATGGCGTTTGAAGCCAAAGGTATTGGGTTCGAGTCGCGGTATGAACATCAACTCTGCGATCCAGTTACATCCAGCTGAGGAGTCCCAAATAAGACGAAACGCGTGTTATACTGGATTCCATTGCTAGCCTCTATCCATCTTTGCTTAACATCACAATACTTAATTTCTAAATGGATATAGTTATCAGATTTTCAGGAACATTTGAATAACTAACATTCAGTTAATGAACAAGAAAGGTATATAAATTAACGACAAAAACTACATCTAAAGTTCTATGGTCATAGAAACAGAATTCATAGATCATTTTCAATGATTAAACATTTAGATTATCTATATTCTTGGATTATTACAACACAGAGCATATTTCACAGAAACATTTTGGGAATATTATGCAACTAGCACAGATCACTCCTTACTGTATGAAATAAAAGTATATTACAACTAGAGTTACTATGATAGATAATCGATACTATGAAAACATTTAACAATTAATGATCTTTGATATGACCGATTTAATTAGTACAATCTAAAAATTGATTGGATGATTTATGCTGATTAGTTCGACGACTAAATCTATTAGCCAATAAGATTATTCAGACTATGTAACATTGTGAAATACAAAATCTCAAGTGGAAAAAAATATCCTATCGCATTGATCAATAACAACAAAGTGTTGACTTCTAAAAAGACTACATTCTATCAATAGTAAAATTTCTTACAAACAAAGATGGATAGCAGTGGAATCCAGTTTCGTCCTATTTGCTACTCATCATCTGGATGCATGGTTTGCTTCAAACACAATCGCGTTATCCACTTAGCTAATGGGTTCACATTCCAGAGTGAACATCAACTCTCTGAGATGCGAGTACATCCAGTTGACGAGTTCTAAATAGGACGAAAAGCGCGCCCTGGATTCCACTGCTAGCCACTACCCATCTTAGCTTATAATGCTTATAATTAAGGCAATACGCACAGTATGCACATATGCTAATAAGAGGTTGACTAATCAACTAATCAACATCGATGAAAAGATTCAAGTAAGCAATACCTAGTGAATAAAAATCTTTATATCAAAAGGCAACAATGACATTCTTTATTGATTTAGTTTTCTAACTACTGACAAGTATAATGGGATCATATAGTCATTGATTTACAGTGTGATATACAACAATAATACGGATCGACAAAATAAAACCAATTACTCCACAAATTACAAAGTTTATTATTATTACGGTTGGTGATAGTGATATAGAGAACCAATCAGAAGTAACCTAATGAAAGGGTCAATCAATGATAATCAGAAGTCACTTAAAGGTCAATCGCATTTAATTAGGTCAATGGATCAACTTCCTAAGGATAGGGTGATATATATGAACATGTGTGTATTTTATTCGGTAGTCAAACACATTTTCTCATTCAAGCAGTCAGATGGAGGGTTAGCACTTAGTACAACATGTATCAGCATCAAATTTTGGACATAGCACGTCACAACAGACAGTAACAATTGAAGTTATAAGATAACTGTTGAACACAAACAAACAGACAACACTCAAACAGAAACTCAGATGTTATAACTAAAGAGTATAATGTGAATTATGTATAATGAAATGAATGATTGTCAGAATTGTGCTATGAATAATGCAAATAATAGACAATTATACACCAAAAAGGAAGGATTTTATTGATATACAATACAAATTATTCAAAAGATTGAACAATCAGGTAACAAACAGATTAACACAAAATGAAACTCATTTGAAATGTAATTAATGAAGGAATAAGAATTATATTTTACGTTTAATGAAAACGACGAATCCCTAAGTTTCTGATTAAGATCATGAACCGAGTAATGTTAGACCACCATGTAAAACCTGGAAACACTGAACGGCCGTTTCGTTTTATTGCCGGACTCAGCACTGCGCATTCAGTCACGACCGTTGGATGCCGGCCCAGTGGTCTAGAGATTCAGCGTTCGTGTGCGAGATCGAAGGCCCTGGGTTCAAATCCTGCTAGTGGGACCACGGATACGCACTGCTGAGGAGTCAAGCAATGGGACGAAACTGTCGTTCAGTGCTTTCAGGTTTTCCATGGTGTTCTAGCATCAATCGGCTCATGATCTCAATCAAAAACTTAATAATCTCCACAACCCTAAACTGAGAATCCCTATGTGCTTCACAATTACCATAATTCTCTTTTACACTTGAAATCCAAGAAAAATAAAATAAAACAGAGAGCGTAACGTGTAGAAGACGTTTTAAGTACATGAATGGAAAACAAATGGATTTATATGACAATATATGATAGTGATAGTTTAGAAGCTTTTAAAATACATGCTAAAATTGTTAACGATTTTGATAATTCAATGAGAAAAAGGATAACATAGCCTATCGTCTTCTAGAATTCTTTTACAAGTTTCTGATTAGTTAGGTAAATCAAAACTTTCTCCAAGAAGCTTACAACATAAACAATCATAATTGAACTAGAAATACCAGGGAATATTGGATAGATTGATTTGTTCGAAAATTTTGCAATTGAAGTAATTAAGGATTTATGTATATACGGTACAGAAGTAAAAATTGCACCAAAAAATAATCATAGAAAAAAGACAATTATATCACTGGGTATCAACTTAAGACTTTTATGAACAGATACATACAAACACCCCCGATCGTTGTTGCTATCTTGACGTGGTGATCGGGCATACCTATCGTGATGAACCATTCGGGCTATACTGGTTGGAACAATTTTCTAAAGGTCATGCAATGCCAGATAGGTCCGTTGAAGACCGGTAAGACTAAAAGCAACAAACCGAAAGTCCGAGGGCGAAGTCCTACTGCTGACTGTACAGAGATATCTTCTTCAGACAACCAGCATAACAGAGATGCTGCGAGGTGAGATTGTGGATGCACACTGACACTGATGAGTCCCACAATAGGACGAAACGACCGTCCAGTGTTTCCAGGTTTTCCATGGTGGTCCATCTTCAATTGAATTATGATCTCAACTACTGAGATTACTGAAATCTTCACAAAAGTCCTTCTGATATACGGATTTTGTTAATCTGAATTTTATTTTCATCATGATTTGTTACCCAACACTAAAATTATCAAATATGAGCATACTATGAATGGTTGTTTTCTCTATAGTGGATATACTCACAACCACACATGCGATCATACTAAAACAAATCAATTTTCAAAGTATATCATACACTACTAGAAACCAATGACTAAGTGCGCACAAACAACCAATTTAGCTACGTGCTATACGTTTCTGAAAGGATAGGTAACATAATTTGACTGATCAAGTTAACACGTACATATTAAAACACTTAGATTTGAGCTATGTTGCTTGTGAAATAACTACTGATATAACCAGGTAGCTCAAAACAACAAAAATGGAGGTAAAGAGGTTTAAATCTAGTATTTAATTATCTAAAACCGATTACTTTCACTACTGTGCTATCACTCTCTACTTAACTACCAAAGTTGTCCGAGTAAGGTCGGAATGTCCAGATGACTGATTTAAATTCAAGTACATTTTAAAGAATTAATCCTCTGCTATCTTTTCTACAATATAAAAAAATATACATATCCAGAATTGACAAACATATTGTAAGTGAATAGTTGTAGGAAGCTCTTGAATAAATTTTTAATTCAAGGATTAAATAAACATAGAAAAGTGATATAACTAACTAGCAATCATTAAATGTTATCTTAATGATTGCTAGACAATAATTAGGTGTTGTCTTGCTCCCAAATGCCCGGCCGAGTATAGGGAGAGTCAGCCCTCCCTCATATGGCGACGAGCATGCAACCACTGCCACACAAGTCCTACTCACTGCCTTCTCGTGACGTTACCGTTGTTTACCGAATTGACAACACGAAAAGCGAACATCCGGTGACTTAACCGGGTTAGTGGATAACAACATAAATTACCTTAACCAAAAACAAATTCTCATTTCGAATAATGAGATGAAATAAAGAGTATTTCGCTTATATCCATATACAAAATACAATGTACCGTTTGATTGTAGAAAGAATATATTTTCAAGGTTTTATGAGGTGATTCAAAGTTCTAGTACATTAAACGTAAAATATAGGTACGTGTGTATGTTTGCATGTGCGCGTGTGTGTGTGAAGTTCCTAAATCTAAAGTACTATTATTTCATTAAAATCATGCATTTATAAAAACAATTCACCGAAGCAGACACAAACACACACACACACAAGAAGTGAGTACAATTATAATCATAGTCATTAGTATATAATAATCATAAAAACTAATGCAATGCAGTGCATATATATATGGAGATAATCAAGTATATATATATAGGATAGCAGTACACATAGTGATTCAAACAAAATTACATACCTTGACTATGCTCAATATTTACAATATACAGTCTGCTAACAGAATATTGTTCAGCTATTATATACAATGGGTAAATTATAGAAGTGATAATTGTTTATATGTAACTTGAAAAATGAAAATAACTTAATAGTTTTTAATAAGATTGATAGAGTAAGGATTAAGTTTTCTTTTTCTATCAAGATTGCCAGTAGCCTGCTTTAATAACTGAGCTACCTATTCCTGTCATTTAGATAGTTCAACAAGTTTGACGAAAATTGGGCGCCAAGTATAAAGAAAATTATATTTAAGATAAACTAGGTGATTGAAATTTAAAATAATTCCAACGTTTCGTCCAGAAAATTTGTCTAGTCTTCTTCAGGATAATAATATCAAAATCAAAGATTTGATTATTTAACGTTATATATTCCTTGATAGTTTTGATTGTTCTACTCTGAAGAATTTCAGACAAGTTTCCTGGACGAAATGTGGAATTACTTTAAATTTCAATCACTCGGTTTATTTCAAATATAATTCTAACATATAACGCATATATTACTTACAAAATATTATGCATAATAATATCTAATATTTCATTTTATGATTAACAATTTTAAGCCTCCTAGTAACCAAATATTTGGTAGGTTTTAATTAACTTTTAAACAAAAGTTAAAAGTGCCCCCAAGTGACTGAGAGTGGGGAGAGTTAGCTCTCTCTCTCTCTCCGAATGCTGTCACATGGCCACGTACATACAACCACTCTCAGGGAAGTCTTACTCAATGTCTTCTCGCCACTGGGTTGTTGTTTACGAAATTGAGAGGACGAAATGTGAATGTCCGACGATTTAACCGGGTTGGTGGACACGGAGAGTTCACCTAGGTGGGTTAGAAACCCTGATTCCAAACCAATGGTGTAAGTGGGCTCCAGTATCCTAAGGAAACAAACACCGTATCAACTAATCAGTGGTCCCCGGCTACCATAAGATTGCATTTCCTGACGTTGTCCCACTGCCTTGTGGTTTAGACTTTTAAGTTGAAGGCTGGGGGTATGGCCTTCTAAAAAAAACCACCTGCTTCGGTTAGGGTACCAAGACAGTATCCCAACCCTCACACAAATCGAATGATTGATGTGGCGCATATCTGTTTGGTGCCTAATTGTGCTAATGTTTATGTGTTTAAATAAATATATAAATAAAAATCTATCATTGAATTTTGAATTGTATGCAAAAACTAAACACTCACTACAAACTATGAAGGAAGGTAGATAGGAAAGTGAACTTACTTAAACCATCGGATATATTTAACATGGGTAAATTCAATGGAATAAAATGTTCATGTTCACAAATACAACGTAATAATTCAAATCGTAATTCATTTAATTGATCAATTTTATCAGCGGACTAAAACAAAGGATAGAATTTTCGTTAAAAAAAACAAACGGATTAGGGGGAGGGGTACGAATCATAATCACACTAATAAAAAGACAAAATATGCATTATTATTATTATTATTATTATTATTATTATTATTAATGGCTTTATTCAATATTATATTTTTGGTACAATATAGAATTCTCAGCACATATTGGTACACTACTAGAAGTAATGGTCTGTTAATGTAGAAGCAACATATAGTGATTAACTGATCTAACGAAATAAAATTTATGTTTAAACAACCATGAAACTTAGATTCATGGAGTCCTGCCAATGTTAAAATAAACATCAGTAAAACTCAATTTACATTAAAGAATTAAAGAATACATGATTACTGTCACTACTTAATCATTCATCAATTGAAAGCATTTCAGTTTTACTACAGACCGGTAGCTTTCCTAATAACTCAACAGTATAAAATCTTATGTTATAAAGCTGGGTGACACGAGATCGAATCACATGAGGTTTTTCAGTTCCCCCCTCCCACCCGTAAGATTACCGACTACCTTTAACTATCTAATTCTTTCGTGTTGATATTCGTAGACGATGAAATCTGAGTTAAGGAAAGAAGAAAAGTTGTAAACAAGAAAAAAGTGTTGTTATATGGATTTATATAACACTATAACAATGAATATGGTGAGACTATAATTTATGGATGACCTTTGAGTGATTCTATACTGATCTTAAGAGTGTCCACTTAGTAACTAGGACTAAAATCGGGTTATAAAAAAGTGTGGAGAATTAGAATTATGATTTGCAGTTGATGGTTAAGTTTAGGAATTAAATTTGTGGGGGTTTTCATCATGAAACGACATCAGCTATAATGCCAAAACACTATTCATCCAAATGGGTCAGTGAATTTCGCGCCAAAATCCAAAACCTGTTATCTTATACGTGATTGGTCCGTTCATAAATTATAGTCTCGCCATGAATATTTACAATATGGAAGTTGTGGAGAACGTTTCATTTCATTAAAATCATGAACCAATTCCAAGTTGGACCACCAGTGAAACTTGGAAGCACAGGGCATCCAATTCGTTTTAGTATAAGCTAATTTGGGTAGCGTGTGAAGCAGTTATCTGCCAAAGATAATGTAAGATGGTCGCGCATTAATGTGGATCGATTAAGGTTGATTATTAACATCGTCGGATGCCGGCTCAATGATATAATGGTTAAATATCCACACAAGAGATCGAAGAACCTGAGCTCGAGCCCCGCGAGTAAAATCATGGAAGCGTAGACTTAAGGAGTCTTATACTAAAGCAAAATAGCCACCCGGGAATTTGAGTTTTTCAGTGATGATCTTACTTGAAAATATTTAACGATGTTGTGTTTTAAAGCACCACCTTTAAAGCACCAACTTAATGTTGAAGACAGCCCTGAAAACATTTTCACCTGACCGCTGGTTATACAATCCGACCTTAATCAAAATAGTTGAAATGGCGTTCGGACCTAAAACCATCTGGTTCCAACTCTTATTAGAAAGTCAGTACTATATTGAGCTCATCTGCAATTCATACACTGTTTGCTGAACAAGAATGCGTTATTTGAGAGAAAGAACGTGAAACTGTAAAACAATTAATCACATTTGTATTCTTGAAATGTTAGGTGGTTTTAAGAAGTTGATAGGAAACCTTGGAAATAGCTTTTACATTCGTTGGTATTCTTCACCAAGATGTACCTGAAATCTGGAAGAAACTAACGACCACTTATGAATTGGAATCTGAGTATTGTGGATGTTTGATCGCCAGAAATCCCTTGATCAGTCTCACATTTGTAAATTTATTATGCAAATTTGAATTTCACATTTTCGCGCCCATTTTTACCTTCAGTTCGCATTTCGTATCTGGAATGAACTTAAATGACACTGGTTTGTTTCCTCTATTAGTACGCTATTTTGTTACATTTTTCAAAGATACTTTTGTATTTTATATATATGCATGAGTTGCTTGCTTTTCGTTCGTTTTTCCGAGCTGCTTGTGAGATATATATCTTATCCAGCTGAATATGATTTTCTCCGAATAGTAAGCACAACTAGGGCTCATTGTAATACATTAGCTTGTCCTATTGTTACGTTGCTAACTTCGTTCCGTTCGCCGGTCCCAGGTAAAATCATCAAACCTCTCAAACACAACACCGAGTTAAACAGTTCCGCAGTTTGAAATGTCATCAACGAGTTATTCGGATAATGAGTGACCTCCTGAAGGATTGTGATATTTACAACTGATTGGTTATTTTAAGCATTATTTACCGATATTGGAATAGGGTAGAAAGATAACAGATGGTCAATTTAGATATACCAATGTAGGATAAAGCATAGTAACTTTGGATTAGCATCAAGTGCTTTATCACAAATAGATGGATTGAATCTGAAAAGTCAAGCAACCTAACAGACCGAGATGTCTGATGTGTATTAATCTAAGTAATTTAACGTACAATTCTCGATATCTAGTTAATTTCTTAATAAGTATATATACACACACACGTCAACTTACCATTCTTGGTGATATTTCAAGGAACATTAACAAATCACGAACACGTTTAAAAACATAACCTCTATCCATTAAATTGAATAAATGACATAAAAATTGTCCGATTGCTGAGATCACATCAATTCCATTAAAATTAATTACATTATTATTGGTATGATGTGGATTAGATTTAACGCTGTTAGAATATTGTTTAAGTTGAATAGATTCAGAACGAGGTGAGGTTTTCCGTGTTAACGATTGATTGATATATTTACTTGCTTGTGAATTCGTTAGAGAATTGAATGGTTCCATTTTTGTTGATGATCCATTAAGTGATGTAATAACTTGATTATAAGTGGTAGTATCTAATTCATCAGTTTTATTAGATTGATTACATGCTATTGATGTGGTTTTTGTAGTACCAAGAGATGTAGATAATAAATGTGATCCAATCAATTGAATAAATACAGTTAAATCTTCACAGAATAATGATGAAAAACGTGTTTCACCTGATCGTTCGGCCTAAAACAAGAAAAAAAGACAGATGATATTTATACAAACATGGTACCTGGGAGATAGTCACATAATATTGTGAAATGATCAAAGCTAGTGATGTGCACCATTGGATGCCAAAAAACCGAACACTTGCCGCGAGATTTGAAGATCCACGATCCCATCGCTAGTAATATTACACAAGTGCACTACTAAGAGGTTGCGAAATAGGATAGAACAACTGTTCGATCCTTCTTCATTTTCACTGATTGTCGAACAACTAAAGTAGGCCTGTGATGTTATGTATCTTAAAGTTCTGTCTTGAATATCAAGAACAAGATAATTTAAACATTAACAATGATTTAAACATCGTATCCGTTGCACAAATTAGCCGCTGATGCACTGCACTCGAATCTCAATGTGAGTGCTAGATTCCACTGCTATACACAACTCATGTTAAATTTTATGATATTGAAACAGTATAAGATTTTTACATGACTGCTCTCTTTAATAAATAATAACAATCAAGTATACAATAGTGGTTGATTTTGAAATGGACTTTTAATCATTTAATAGTTGAATACATGAGTCAATTGAAGCTAGATCACCATGGAAAACCTGAGAGCACTGAACAGCTGTTTCGTCCCATTGCCGGACTCCTCAGTAGTGCGCATCTACGATCCCGGCTCGCGAGATTCGAACCCAGGATCTATCAGTCTCGCGCGCGAACGCTTAACCACTAGACCACTGAGCTGGCATCCCACAGTGTTAATGTCCAACTTCAACCAATCCACGAAGTTGAGCTACCGTCAACCATTGTCATCAGTGAGTTACTATCTTACAACAGACCCAGTTGACACACCTCTGGTCGTGGCTTCTCACTAGAACTACAGAAAATACTTTTTGGAGACCGTCATTAGTGAGCATACGGTGATTATAATCAGAAAAGGGTTTCTGTAGATATTACAGTAATTTAATAGTTGAATTCATGAGCCAATAAAAGTTAGACCACCATGGAAAACCTGGAAGCACTGGATGCGCATTGCTGAGGAATCCTATACTAGTACGAAAATGCCTTCCAGTACTTCAAGTTTTTCAATAGCAGTCTAGCTTTAATTAACTCATGAATCCAACTATTAAATTACTATAATATCCACAAAAACCCTTCTCTGATTTTAATTATTTCTTAATGATAATCTATGACTACTGAATTCAACGAAATCAGTATCAAGTCAAAAATGACTGAAATTGGGAAGACTGAGAACTATTATGCTCATTATACATGAGAGACCTTTGAACTAGGAAAAAAACATTTCTTTAGATTGTTTCATGCATTTTTTAAACATTCTCTCCAGATGATAAGTGTTAAACCAGTGAGTAAGTTGAAAATATTTATGACTAAGAATAAAAATTACTCAAAAGAAACTCATACCATACATTTTCTTTTATACTCCCACAAATAAATTCATAAACCTAATAGGATTCGTGGAAATCAACAATGTATTGGTATTAGTGTGATCAGTTCCAGAAAGTGAATTTTCTGAAATCAATTCCTCTTTGTTAGTGTACCTATCAAAACTAGGACAATACAACTGTTGATTGATTCCATCTTTCTAGATCTTTTGTAGATGATCTTATCTAATTTATGCTATAAATATAACCTTTGAAATATTAAATTATATCCCATCACTAAGAGTTCAAAACAGAAAGCAAAACAGTTCATTAAGTTGAAAATTTATACTACACCAAAAACTAGTCACAAAAAGTCATGTAACCGAACTCAAACAGTAAGTAAAGTAAAGTAAGTAAGTACTTTCCTTCTGACAAAATAAACGTGTCCCTTAATGAAAGACGATAATAGAATGAATATTTATCGCATTCTATTAACCACTCAGTCAGTCAACTACAATGTAGGACCAAATACATATATGTATCGGTACAAGTTGTTATACCTCATTGACACAACAAGATGAACGTCAAAATTCATAGAAGTAGTCATTTCAAATGGTAAACACTAATAAAAACAGTAAACATCTATATATACATACACACAAATATACAATATAACTGAATACTTACCCATATTTTCTTACTAATACATAAATATTGTGTCATTGATTTAATTATCAATGTTAATAATAACCAAATATTATTAAATAAATGTATTAATATATTATTTGGACAATGAATATCAGATAAAAGTAGAATTAAACCACGAATAATAGAATGATGTAATGAGGATAAAGGAAAATATTGATTAATTGTCGATTGTGATATTGATAGTTTATTAGATCTTGTTGTTGTTGTTATAGATGGTGATGATGATGGCGGAGGTGAACGATTTGATCTTTTATGATGTATTCCTCCTTCTTCTTCCTTTCTTGGATCATTAATGAATTGTTGATTCTCATTTAAATAATGATTTATACATGTTGTTAACAAATGATCAGGATTGAATACAAACTATAAAATGACAAAAAAATATACATATATATTGAGAGAGTGTATTGACGTCTATTGTTTACTGACTCAATGTCTTATAGTTATTCTAGTCATAATGATATTTAAGTGAACAGGTTACTTACTTACTTACGCCTGTTACTCCCAGTGGAGCGTAGGCTACCGACCAGCATTATACAACCCACTCTGTCCTGGACCTTCCTTTCTAGTTTTATCCAATTGTTGTTCATTCTTCTTATGTCTGTTTCCATTTCTCGGTGTAATGTGTTCTTTGTTCTTCCTTTCTTCCTTTGGACTTGAGGATTTCAAGTGGGGGCTTGCTTTGTGATGCAGTTGGGTACTTTCTTCAATGTGTCCTATCCATTCCCAGCGCTTCTTCCTGATTTCTTCCTCCACTGAGATATGGTTTGTTCTGTCCCACAGTAAGTTGTGTCTGACCAACGGACCTGACGTATTTTGCATAGACAACTGTTAATAAACACTTATATCTTCTGGATGTTGGCTTTCGTAGTTCTCCAGGTTTCCGTACCAGGTACCAGGTGATATATTCCAGGTTAGATACAGAATTCGAGCTTGTAGTCCAGTAACCACGTGATTATTGTTAGTTAACCTAATTAACCTTACTCAAAAACAACTGAATTTTATTTCATTTTTTTGTATTGGTTGTTTGAATCTTCCTACTGATGTTTAGAAGTGAAATAGGTAAGTCTCACATTGGCATATATACATTCTGTACGAACTGCTTCGATATTGCTTTAAGTCACAAGCATCATAAGTCATGATGTATGATGGCTAGTAGTGGGATCCAGGACGCACGTTTCATCCTATTTAGGACTCGTCATTTGGATGTACCTACATCTCAGAGTTGATATTCACTCCAGAACTCGAACCCAATACCGTTCGCTTCAAATACCATCACGTTATCCACTTAGCTACTGAGTCGTGATAGCCACTAGCTTGTACAACGGGGTAAAGTGTAAATTTATTTTTGTATTGGCTAGGACAACAATTGATCAGTCTCTTATAGAACGAAACGCCTGTGCTGGCCACTATCTACCTCTGTTTATAACTGAATTTTATACTTACAAATATCTTTAACCATTTTATGAAGATAGTTTTCATTACAAAACGTCAAAAACTGAAAAGCATTGGTCAATGGTTTCATGCCAATTTATTGGTTTTAACGATCATCAAACATTACAAAATGATAGAATATACAAATAATACCTGGCACAACAATTGAAAGATAAGGCTCACTATTAAATCCGATTAGGGCACGGTTGATAAGTTCAGACCTAGTATTAGGTATTGTACAACTGTTTACAGTGGTACCATAGGTTATCTTCTAAAATGTGATAGAAACTGGCTTAAAAATATAAAACTTTAATCCAAAATACAATGTACTATACATTAAGCAACAAGGGAGTTAAATGTTAACATCGTTAAATGTCGGCTCAGTGATATAATATTTAAGAGTACTACAGGTAAACAAAAGGTCCCTTATTCATACCCCCCCCTGAGTGGAATCTGGATATGCACTTCTGAGAAGCTCCACACTAAAGTAAATCAACCACATAGCACCTTTAGGTTTTCAATCGAGGTCTAACTTAAATCAATTCAGGATTTAAATGATTTTCAGTAATCTTATTATCAGATCCTACACATTTATCAATCCGCAATTAATTACAGTAAATTAAAATAACCATGGTTAAGTGAACTAAACAATGTTAAATTAGTGAACTTTAGCATCAATTAAGGCTGAAATACATTAAGAATAAATCATTTATAAATTTGGAAGGGGTAAAAAAGGCCATTTTAGGGTATCGATACAATTATTATGTAAATAAAATGTATACTAGAAGTAAATGTACATCAGATTAAAGTAATGGTAATCATAATTACATCATATGTATATGTAATAAGAGAAATATACTTCTCTGCAGGTCAACATGACAAAATAAAGGTCTAATCCATAAGGCAGTGGAGCAATGTTAAGAGATGCAATCCTATAATTGATTCACACGTCATTTGTTCCTTTATGATACTGGAGCCAAACGTATGTGCACTATTGGTTTGGAATCAGAATTTTCCAACTCACTTAAGTAGATGCTCTTTATCTACAAACCCAGTTAAAGCGATGGACATTCATATTTCATAAAAACACCCCCATTATGAGAAGTCAGTAATTCGGACTTATCTGACAATGGCTACATACGTGTGGTCATGTGAGAACATTTGGAGAGGGAAAGTGCACTCTCATCACCTTCGACCGTACCAGGACATTAAAAATAATAAAAAAAACTTTTGAAAAGAAGCTCACTATTTACCAAATATATAATGAATTTAGTGAATCTTTTTTCCCAACCATGCTGGTACCTATCTACCAGGGTATATATATATATATATATATATATATATATATATATATATATATATATATATATATATATATACTTAAGTGATTATGTATTCAAGTTTGTTTATGTCTATAAATTGAAAATTGACTAAGCAAAAACAGTAGGTTGTTGTCTAGCTTACAATGTTTAAAGTATTTGACAGATATGAGTCATTTTCATATATACCCTGATATAAGATGGTCACTATCGGTCTTCATAACAATAATTTAAACAAAACAAATCAAAAGAACAAGAGAAGAAAGGAAAGAAAACAAACATGAAGGATATTAGACGGGTGAACATTTACTTATTTGATTCTTTTCACTGAATAATTACGAATAATTAGTGAAATAATAAACCATTAATACGGATAGACTCCTTTTGGAGTCCCTCCGAGGGCGACTGCCAGTCCCAAGCCCGGACAAAGGAGGAGGGGTGGGCATGGGGGTTAGCGACTCTATCCCGTAGAAAACTAAATCACTAAAAAAACGCTAACCAGAAAAAAATTATTCAAACCATTTAAACCCTGTCCTAGGAGTCAGAAGGTCTTCATTTAGAAGAGTTATGACGCCTCATGAGGCTGATGCTCCTTCTGACAACCAGAGCAACCATTTACTTAGGTACATGGAATGCTCTTACAATGTGGGAGACTGGGAGAGTCTTCCAAATTGCTGCACGGATAGAGTTGTTTGAAAGAGGAAACATTAACAAATTACAGAATACAAGGAAAAGTAATGTATGTGATGGAAGTTAAAAGGTGGATATGTCATGCCAACCACATACTGGGATAGTCAAGAACATCACAGAAGACTGAAAAACTTGGCTCAATGTGAAGAACCCTCATGGACAGTCTCAATGCAGAATATGTTCAGTGATCCAGAAAGTGAGGAAGCGAAGAAGACCAAATTTCATCCATATTGAACCAAAAAGATCATACATTGTCTCCGAAGGAAGCTATCAATGATGTCATTTTAGCTATTATTTTTAACAAGTAGTTAATCATTATTCTTTTTTTAGTTTATTCCAGTTAACTAGATTGTTCACATCTTGCAAGGATCACAACATAAGTCAGTTTTCTTAACCTTTTTTGTTAAGGGGAAAGGTGTGTATAGAGAAATAAAGTAGACATGATGAACACCTGAAGCTATTTTTGGAAAAATTGCTTCATTTAATTTAAAGTCTATAAAATATGAACCTTTCGTTTTGTCTCTGGTTTATTCTATAGACCACAAGCTTTAAGTTGATGTAGGATTCACGATTACACTTTTTTCCATTGGAAATAATTGTAACTTACATTTAACTTTTTGCACATAAGTTTTCTACCCTAATTCGTAGTTTAAGCATAATTCCTTGTGTGTCGTAGTTGTGTTAGTCAGATCTTTATTCCTCTGTCTTTTTGTGTAATTCTGAATCCGGAACAAACTGAGTAGTGGTCTGGTCAATTTAATTTTATTACCAGTCCAATCAATGCTGGTAAACGAAAAAAAACTTGTAGGTATTTAAAGAGTTTCTTGGGGTGTCCTTGAAATCAACTACTGAAGAAGTGAATTTTCCAGAGCTGAATCCAAATATAAAAGTATGCTTCAACGATTCAAAGTGAAGAGTATGGAAATACTTCTTATGTTAATTTGAGTAAAATTCCAAGAAACTAATACATTTGAAATAAGTGGAAAACTCAAACTTCAAAACAATATAAGTCGCTTCTTTAAAGAAACAATATAACCACTTTCGCAAAGATAAAATTGGGTCGAATAGTAATAATAGATCATGAACCGATTGATGTTACATCGCAATTGAAAACCTGGAAGCACTGGACGGCCGTTTCGCCCTATTACCGGACTCCACAGCGGCGCGCAACCATGATCCCGCTCACGGGAATTAAACACAGGGCCTTCGGTCTCGCGCGCGAACACTTAACTTCTAGACCACTAACCTCAACCGATACACGAAATTGTGTGACCATATTCCATTGTACTCAAGTAGATACTGTTATAACTTGTGACAACCGATTAGAGGGCAGTGACTTAGTGATCGGACCAAGGACGCGTAAAACACGTGCGAGCAGCCTACAGTCCTGATTTCCGCCTAGCCCAGCCAGTTAAGTCCAGAACATCAGTCCGAGCCTCTGCGATATGAATCATCATATTCCAAAAAATTGTACAAGCACTAGCCAGATATGGCTGTGAATAAGAGAGGCAGTGACTAATAGACAGGGGATAATTCAAGAATGGAAAATCGTATAATAACAGTTTATAGATTAAAATAAAGCTTATGATAAGAGAGACATGAATATGAATAGTTTAGTTAATTAACAATTATACGGTATAAATATACGTATAGTATTGGTCCACAAATGGATCCTAAAAATTACCACTCAATATTCTTATCGGGACATAACTGATACCTAACTCTATCCAACACGGATTAGCTCCACTGGTCACGGCTTCTCACTAGAACTCCAAGAATTCCCTCACGAAGCTGGTCACTAATGAGCACATGGTAATTATCAGTATGAGGTTGTAGAGATTATTAAGTCTGATTGGTATTAGACCACCACTGAAAACCTGGAAGCACTGGAAAGCCGCTTTGTTTTAATGTCGGGATTCTCAAAAGTGCGCATCTACGACCCCGATCGCGTGATTCGAACCGAGGGCCATCGGTCTAGCGCGCGAACGCTTAACGCTTTCTACGTCAGCAAAATCAACACAAAATTCAATTTACTTAGAAATTCCAAACTGTAGTTTTGACAGCGATACTCATAACGTGTCTTTCAAACGTTTTCGAGTGGGGTTGAAAAGTTAATTTCGTTCAGTGTATAAATGATGAAGAATTTTGAGGAAGTTCTCATGTAATGCTTACATCGCTTGGAATTGACAAACGAAGCCTGAGAGTTTATCACACATCCATCTAACTTTTTATTTAAATTGCACGTTGTGATACTTATAAAAACAATACGGCTGAGTTAAGACAACATAATCAAATAGAAAACAGCTCCTTCGTACGCCATTTGACTCTTCAATAAACTACAATATAGAGTGAAAAGAAAGAAAATCGAATACCAGCACTTAGTTGGATATTAGTCAGTCGACTAATTTTACAAATTAAACGAAACAATCAGTGGAGTTCCAAATCTTCATGATAACATTTCTATTTACTTATGAGTAGTAACAACAAAGTGAATAAAACTTTTGAAAACCGAGAAGAATTTTTTACAACTTACCTCTACATAAGTTTTCAATAAATTGTGCTTTACACGTTCACCACTTGGTATGTTTGAATCGACTGCACTATCCATATAAGCTGTATCATTCGTTGACTTGATTGGATAATAAAAATTATCATTTGGAATTTGTGCATTCAATTCAGAGACAAGCATAGCTAATGTACTAGAATTGGAAAAGTACAAAATTATATTTACTAGAATCTAAACAACACAGTATTCCATAACAACAAGAAAAGGAATTTTAACAAACAAACTCAATCAATGGCTTATAACAATGAGTTGATTACAGGAAAATAACGCCATTTTCGCAACGTACAGTTGAATAAAATGAGATTCAGTATGATGTCATGTAACACAAATCATTGAAGGCACATGATAGTTTGCATTCACTCACTGTAAATCTGCATCACCGCATCACATAGCCTGATATATCACCAATGAGGTATTCGGACAGCGAATAATCTCCGGTAACACTAAGATACTTGAAACTGACTGGACATTAAGTACTGATCAATATCGTCTTTGTCTCACTATTTGGTGCTGATAGAATCATATCGATCACTATGCAAATGAAACCACTAGTTCTTGACTTGCTGTTTTGTGTACTACATTGAGCTGTTAGGTGTTTGGATGTAGTCGGAAATTTATTAATCAAGACCATTTATTTATTTAAACATATAAACAGTGGTACAAGGAGGCACCAAATAGATATGCACCACACAAATCATTCGATTTGTGTGAGGACGAGGAAAATACTCGGGTGCCATAAACCGAAGCAGGTGGTTTTCTCAAGAGACCACACCCGGAACCTTCGACTTGTAGATCTGATCCAAAAGGATGTGGAGCAACGTATGGAGATGTAGTTCCATGGTAACCGGTGACCAACGATTGGTTCATACACCATTTGTTCCTTCAGGATCCTGGAACCAACCCATGTGCACCATTGGTTTGGAATTAGAATTTTCTAACTCCTCTAATTAGATGCTGCATATCCACCAACCCTGGTAAAGCGACGGACATTCACTTTTCGTCCTCTTAATTTCGTAAAAACACCCCCCTCCACAAGAAGGACTTCCCTGACAGTGGTTGTATTCACGTGACCATATGAGAGCATTTCGAGAAGGAGAGCTGACTCTTCTCACTCTCGACCGTACTAGGGCGTTTGGGGGCCATTAGTAAAACAAAATAAAAATCTGTTTAGTTATGTGTAGATTCTTAAATCAACTGCTGACAAAGGTGTAAGCTAATGTGAATGAGATATAAAAAGTAGATGAATGATTGTAGATATGTTAGCAATGATGTATAGTGGCTAGGAGTGGAATCCAGGACGCGCATTTCGTCCTATTTGGGACTCATCAGCCGGATGTACCTGCATCTCAGAGAGTTGATGTTCACTCTGTGGATTAAGGCAATATCGAGGCATAAGCACAGTATGCACATATGTCAATAACAGACTGATCAATTGCAGTCTTAAACCTCAATGGGAAGATACAAGCCAAACAATACCAAGTGAGACTAAATATGTTTAAGTAATTTCTATTACGTAAATGCTTCAGTGAATGTGACAAGTTTCTGTAATTCCATACATCCTTATATCTTATAAACTATGAATTCAATATGTCTTAAATTTAATTTATGTATACAGCACTCACAATTATGACTTCTGGTTTATGAACATTTAACACAATAAATCTGGATTTGCAAATACCAAGAAAGTCAGTCAGTCAGTCAGGTATGTAGGACGTAGAATTTGAGAAATGTATATCAGATCACATTACCATACCACATTAGCATGGCGCAATAAAATAATTTCAAGACAAATTTTAAAGTAAAAGGAATAGTACCAATAGAAAAGCATAAGTACAGAGGAAGAAAAATAAAAAGTATAAGTGGATTTCGGGAACTATATTCTAAAAAAGAGACAAAATGAAGAACGCATCTGCATCATTGTAAACGATTATGATCCATGTCACTCAAAGTTTCTGACTAACAAATTCCCTAACAAGTAAACATAGAAACACTAAGACTTCTAGAAAATATGTCGCGATGATAACCGCCCCACCTTTAAAACTTTATAGATGAAATTAGAATAAAACAGAAACATGTTAACATTTGAATTGTACCAAGTTAACATTAATTAGTTAAACATATTTCAGGTTTTTCTTATGTATTTACGATTTGAACTCCCTAATAAATTTTTCACTCTTATATCAGTTGATCCCTAATTAATTGAAGTGTTTCCAGATTTTTATCAATTTACTAATCAAATTACTTATCATAAGATTAGTAAATGGAGTATATTGACAAGGATATCATCGGGTCATTAATAATAAGTGTGACTTATTTGTCTTACGAATGCCGTCCCAGCTACTTTTATTTCAGGGAGTTTTGATAACGCTAGAATGATTGAGTAGAGTCAGTCAGTCACAACGTAGGACCAGGCACATATATGCATCGCTCCAAGTTGCCATACATCATTAGCACAACAACATGAACATCGGATTCATAGAAGTAGTTAATTCAGTGGTGGTAATATATAAAAGAAAGATTGCATATAAGGATATAGTACAGGAATAAAGAATTAGTTTGTAGAAAGAAAGATATAAAGCAATTTTAATCTCATAGTTTAAAGGAAGAGAAATGGTGTATAGACCTACACCATAGTGACCGATTCTGAGCCATATCACACACAGTCTCAAACCATTGGTTACAATAGTCACGCGGACCTCAAGAAAGTAGTCTGTGTCTACCAACATAGCTCAGTTTAGAAGTTAGTGACTTCGTGGATTGGTTTGGCAGCTCCTAGCTTCCAGTCGTCTTCAACATTAGTCAGCATTGCACGTCGTGGTAATTGGTGTTCAGGTATATGTAACACGTGACCCAACCATCTCAGTCGATGGAGATTTACAACTTCATCAACTGATCTACCATCATCATTCCCTAATACTGTGAGTCTCACCTCACTATTACTTACCCGGTGATCTCAGCGGATGCGAGAAATATTTCTAAGACATCTGTAGTCAAACATTAGTAGCTTACGAATATCTTCAAATCTTAATGGTCATGTTTCGCAGCCGTAAAATAGAACAGAACGAACTGCTGCACAGTATACTCGTCCCTTAAGTGATAGGTGGGTAAAGAAGCGGAGAACTGTTTAGCTCATGACATAGCACTATTGTATGAAATAAATCAGTATACAAGTGACATATATCGACTGATCACGACTTTATGTTTTAGGTTTTAGAGATGGTGCAACTCAATAGTTCAAAACGTTGTCAGACATGACTCAGTAGAAGTTAATGACTATCTCGATGGAGCTTTCTTTCACGTTCAATGATAAAAGTGACAGGGACTTGCTTAATTGAAGGAGGTTTCTTCTTATTCCATTGTTAACATGAGCATCTTCTGTTGTGTACTGTTTTTATTCAGTCAGTTATTTGTAGTTGTATTCTCTTTGTGTGCTTTATTCCTCCTTAATGTTAAATTTGTTTATTTAGAACACAAACTTTTGGGTGCTTTAATCGTACTAAAATTCACGTGTATTGAATAATGTAAAACCTTGGAAAGTAAAGTTCAGTTATTGATTTACTCAATATATACAATTCAATTGATCAATTAATCGATAGAACAAATCAAAATATTAACCAAGTCGGTTCATTAAACGTGATAAAAAGGGTAACAAGCGTGACAAGATCTATTACAGAAAAACATGTGAAGATACACCACAAGCTATTAGATTATATTCTAATGAATTAAATTGATATATAATTGAAGCAAACGAAAGGATAGATTGGTATTTAAACAAAATGTATAATTTAGTAAAGTATAATGTAATCAACAATATATAAACAGTTTTACTCCCATCCACAATCCCCCCATTAATTGATTATAAATCGGTGTAATACAATGAAGTCCTACTCACTGCCTTCTCGCACCACGAGTGTTGTTTGCGAAATTAAGAGGACGAAAAGCAAATGTCCGGCACTTTAACCGGGTTAGTGGATACGGAGAGTCCACCTAGAGGAGTTGGAAAACCCTGATTCCAAACCAATGGTGCACATGGGTTGGTTCCAGGATCCTAAAGGAACAAATGGTGAATGAACCAATCGTTGGTCACCGGTTACCATGGAACTGCATCTTCATACGTTGCTCCACATCCTTTTGGATCAGATCTATAAGTCCAAGGTTCCGGGTGTGGTCTCTTGAGAAAACCACCTGCTTCGGTTTATGGCACCCGAGTATTTTCCTCGTCCTCACACAAATCGAATGATTTGTGTGGTGCATATCTATTTGGTGCCTCCTTGTACTAATGTTTACGTGTAAATAAGCAGGTACATTGGTTCAAGTTGTCAAATCCCATTAACATAGGTAGATGAAACTATTAGAGAGAATCCAAAATTAGCAAAATTAGTCAGAGTAACAGTGATAATAGAGAAAATTAGGCATCGTAGATACGATTCAGGAAACTATGAGTGAAATAGCAAAAGAATATGAAGAGTCCAAGAGTTCAGAATTTAAGGAGAGGAATGCACCTATGCCTTTGTAAACGGTTCTGAGCCATGTCACTCAAAGTTTTCTAACCAATGGTTATGATTGTCATGCAGAACTCAATCAGGATGTCCACACCTACGAACATGACCCAAGTTCGATTGTCGATAGCTTCATGAACTGACTTGCTATCTTTGCTTAGTACCCTATCCCTAACCAGGTGGTCTCGAAGGACATGAGCAATGCTTTGAAGACACTTCTGATCGAACACAAGTAGTCTACGAAAATCTTCTATTCTTAATGACAATCCAAAAGAAATTGAAACAGAGAGAACTGCTGTACAGTAAATTTGTCCTATGATTGATAGACGGATATTTCGCCTACACAAAAAGCGACGCAAGTCAATCGAGATTTCTGCATTCATGCCAAGATTTCATTAGACACCAAACCATCAGAACTGATGAGACTTCAAAGGTAAGTGAGAGTGTCAATAAGCTCAACTACTTCAACTCTATAGATAAAGCCATAAAATAAAAGATAGAAAATTTTATACGTAACAATGTCAAGGTTAGACTTGATAGTTACAAATAGATTGAGTTACCACAGAGTTAAGCGAGTCTAATATACATTTCATGACTAATTGTTTAAATACAACATACAAATGATCATATTCCCTCCTGATTATGGAAGTTACTTAAATTATGTAAAGCAAAAAAAGATGTACTTAGTGTACAAGAAAACAACTCACCTAATAGCTGTTTTCAATACATCATCCGGTGTACTATTATTACTACTAGTAATAGTAGTGGTAGTAGTAGTATAATTTGTTGTATTTGCACTAATCATATTATTATAATTATTTTTTAAACTTCTAAACCACAAATATTCCGAAGTATCAGCAGTATTACTAAGATCTTTGTTGATTGAATCTGATAGTTGAGCTATTTGCTGCTGCTGCTGTTGTTGAAAACATTTTTCACTTGTTTCAGCACTAAGAATAACGATCTCCATAAATTGATTAAGAATAACTGGTAGAAATTGTACTAATGCAGTTGGACTAATCAATAATAATGCCTTCATAGCATTACATAAATGTAAATGAATTGATGTTGCATTATGTAATATACTGTTACTAGAAATATTACCCCCTGTAATACTGATACGTTTTGAAGATGATAAATCAATATTATTAGATTGTATTACAACAGTATCATCACGAAATGTAACATGATTTTGCTGTGGAAAGTAAAACAAACATAAATGAATCCGTAGAAATTTTCGATTGTATATTATGATTAGAAAGAATTTGTTAAGTTTTACGAGAAGTGATAGTTTATTGATTAAAACATTATTCTGGTTTATATCATGAACTGAGTTTAGCTAGACAATAGCTGGAAACCAAGAATCACTGGTAAACATTTTCGTTCTAGTACAGGACTCCTAAGGTTATGAGTATCTAGAGGCTCTATCGGAGACAGAACTCATAACCGACAGCCTCACACCAAGCGCTTCACTTCTAAACAAATGGACGGGTACTGAATGCTGTACATATCTAATCTTAACCAATTCGCGATATTGTGCATCATCTTCCATTGCCTGAGCTTCAGTGATCGTAAGTCTTCAACGCTTGTCTAGCTAAGATCAGTCAATGATGCAAACTATGTGAATTCTAAAATCTCCACAAAATTCATTCACCGATGTTAAAACATTTTATTAACACAACAACTGGTTATGCAACTGAAGTATTAAATTTTGGGTAGGTAAGTACTATTACTAATTGTCACTGGTAAAAGCTTCTCCAAGAAATGCAGAAATAGCAATTAATGGATAATGATAAGAGGAATAGTAATAATTAAGGACACCATTTATTCAATGGTGACTGATAAATGAATTACAGAATTTTCAACAATAGAGGAATACAATCCCGCATAATTAACAGTAAATATTACAACCCTTAAACAGGTTTCGTAATTAACATGAATTAGTGCTATGCAACACCATATAGGTTGAAACGGTGTACAGTGCAGGTTTCGAAGTCAGTATACATCAGAAGGTAACTATGCCACGTTGAAAACACCGGTTCTCTTCCGATTAATGAAGTTGGGCATGATCAGTACTTTCACGGGTGACCGGGTGAGAATACCGTGCATCACAGGTTTTTTCGACAGCAAAATTCGACCTGGTCCTCCTTCTGAAAAAATCTCTACCCAGTATCTAATAAAATCAGAGGCCTGACCTTTCACTTCGAAGATATATTAAAAATGATATGGTAGCAGCTACAAGGGAGAAGTGACCATCAACCTTCCCTGGGTTCTTGTATTTATGTGCGTGTCATGGAGTGCAGGAGTGAAAGTCTTTGTACCAGTGATACGCATGTAAAGTGTACGTGATATTCAGCTGTAACAAATACGTTCAAAGAAAGCGGCGACCATCTTCCCTCTCAGATAAATAAATATACTTATGTGTATGCCAAGGGATCCATGGATGTAAACTTGTGCTATCGCTACGCATGTAGATTACACTTGCTCCTGGTGAGACGCCTTAGAGCCAACACCTAGGCGGTTTCTGTTATGTTTGCTACTTCATTAACACTGAATACCATATGCAACTACGGCACTCGAACGTATAGGACCCCACAGTCGAAAAATCAGAAGAAAGCTGGAGAAATGCTTGTTGAGTAAAAATCAAAATGTACAGAAAATCATAGGTATTTATAGATATTAGCGTTAGTTATCACATCATTATAATTCAGAAAATCTGCGAAGAGGCAAGTTATGCTACTGTCCAGTCGTAGTATGCCATGTTGAAATTCTAGAAAGCTCCATTAAATTATGATTGAATGGAAACTCCCCGGCTCCTTTACGGCTTCTGAAGGCTCCATTTTAATTCTCAGAATCTGTCCCAACAGTTTTCAACGACTTCTCGAGGGGAAAACACCCCCGCGGTGGTTCTGTATGGCATTAAATGTATTCTTCCTGCCAGAAGAGCCAATCGGCTTCACTAAGCACGAACATGGCTGGTGCATCGCACAAGAGATGCAGGTATGTCCAAATGATGAGTCAGAAACTGAACGAAATACTTATCTTGGTTTATATTATTCAAAATACAATCAACTAGCTACAGTAGGTAATATAGAAAAGTTCGTCCAAGGTCCCAAATACGAAACAATGCAGACATCTAAAGAAGTTTTGAATATTAACAATAGGGGAATATTAATATTTACTAGTAATAATTAAATCAAGACTGTTACTGCATTGTGATCAATATACTAAACTCAGGGGTTACCAAATATAAATTACTCCTAAATTAAAATATATAATATCGACAGAATGAAATTAACCAGCAAGGTAACGATATTTCCCAAAAAGAGAGAGACGATGAGCGATAGCGTTGTGATTAAAACATTCAACGTCCAACAGTAGTCGGTCAAAGGTTTGAAACTGACTATAATTGATGCGGTTTGGGAAACTAAGTAATAAATATTTCTAACCACCACAAAAACAATATGATTGCTATATAAGTTAGATAGATGGAATTTCAACGGTGAGACACAACAAGGCATAATATAAAATAGAAAATTACACTATAAGGAATCAATTCAGCTAGCAGCAGTTGAAAATAACCCTGGAAACAAATAAAGATACCTTCTGTTTATCTGCATTATTTGTTTTCGAAGATGATAAGTACAACATCCGTGGTAGTAGATCACCACAAACACGAAAGAATTTTGACAATATTGGATCATGTGTATATATAGATGATAAAGGTTTCAGATCAACTTTAAACAAATATTTCCCATTATCAATCCAAGTGAAATCAATGGAATTACCACTATTATTATTTGTAGGGTTTGAATTGCCAATATTGAATGGCAAACTAATTCCACCACTAGTGTCATTTATATTTGAATGACGAAAGTTCTAAAGAAATTCAAGACAAAATGATTATCGTAAAAAGAACAACCTGAAACTATCAAATTTGAGTGTTGGATAAAGCGTTCTCAAATGAACAAATAATGATAGTGACTGGCTGGACCAAAACATGGCACAAATTCATGAAGTCACTGACAAGTGAACTGAGCCATGTTAGTAGGAGTAAACTACCTGGTTGGGATCTGCTAGATGACAGAAACCGATGGTTAGAAACCTTGAATTACATGGCTCAAAATCGTTTGCAATGACACAAATACATCTACTCTTTGTGTTCTACCAAATTCTAATCTTCTGAATTCTTGATGTCCCTTTTTTTTCTCTTTCCGAATTCATTTCATTGGATTATACTCATTGAATAACACCTTCAAACCCGAATCTTTCCGATTACTGCTTATACTCTTACTACATCTATCACTACGGAATTCAGATCGACAATTGTATCTGTGTGCTAATATGATATGACAACTTGAACGGATGCATGTACGTACGAAGTTCTACGCTTTTACTGACTGGCTGGACAGTGAAACGCACGGGACTATTGAATAATTCTATTCTTGACTGACCTCCTGTAGAAATGATACTTTTAAAACTGATGAATCTATGAATAGTAACTGCTGTTTTTATTTCTCCAGCTTCTTTATTAATCATTTAACTCTGTTGATAAAGTTACAAAATGCAATCATGATCCATAGAATCCAGTCATCAATAAAAATATACACAAACATGATAGTGACTATTACTCGGATAAGTGTAGTGTTATTTCCAAACAGTGAACCAATGCTTCAATTCAATAAAATCTGATCATTTTTTTCACCATACAAATAATAAACATGAGGAAAACTGTATACTCCTAGGATTGCTAAATCTGTAGTTTACATAGCTGGGTCTTGTTTTTTGTTCCAGTCTAGGATTCCTCGACAGTGAATAGCTTTGTGATCTCACATCCATCGAACGCCTCACTCTCAGTAGTTGTCGAATATTAGTAAAAAAAGTGATATACACTAAATAATTCGATAAAACCTTTTCGACTTACTGTTACCATAACAATAATTTTCAGTGGAAAATGTTGATTTGATTGAAAAATAGATTTTTTGATGTAAAACACAATCGATAATTACAATGAATGGTAGTGAATAAACCATTTTCACAAAAATAACTTCAACGATTATCGACAAAAAATGCGGACGAATAAACCTATTTTGATTGAGATCATGAACCGATTGATGTTAGACCACCACTAAAAACCTGGAAGCACTGGAAGGCCGTTTCGTCCTATTATGGGGCTCCTCAACAGTGCATATCCCCGATCCCGCTCGCAGGATTCAAACTCAGGGCCTTTAGTTTCGCGCGCAAACGCTTGACCTGCTGGATCACTGATTCGGCATCCAATGATGTTAATGTCTAACCTCAACCAATCCACGACGTTGCGCGACCATCTTCCATTGTACTGAGGTAGATACCTGTCTCTACCTGACACGGATTAGCTCCACTGGTCACGGCTTATCACTAGAATGGTAATTATCAGTTTAGGGGTTGTGAAGATTGTTAAGTTTTTGATTGAGATCATGAACCGATTGATGTTAGACCATCATTGAAAACATGGAAGCAATGGTTAGTTAATGGTACTCAGTAATCAAGTACAAGTTTAAGTACTTGACCTTTAGATATATTATCTGTACATGCCAACGTGAAGATAGTAGATATTGGTTATTTATTTGAAGATGTATATTGACTTGAACTAAACATACATTAATGGAGTACCTGATTGATTGAACAACGTTTTACTTGTATCATGAATTAAGACTAACTGATAGGTAGGAAATTTGTTTGATTTTCGACTTTCCCCAGGTCATTTGTCTGTACGCTCCAGAAAACAAGATCTTCGTAAATCCCTAACAATAAAGTCATTTTTTGGTTTACACACCCATTTTTTTACAAGCCTGTTTTCGCTAACGTTAACATTGGGAATAATGGAAATTGCTTATTCATTCAACATTAATCTGTTGACGACGAGTACTACATCTGCATTCTGAAAATTCCTTTACTGTGTAATCTATTTATCTCGTACTTAAAGAATAGTTACATACTTCTCGAGTAATTCTTTCCAGAACACCTCTGATAAGTGTTGCACCTGTTTCCAGCTTTTAGTAACATAGTCATGTTGATAGTTAACTACTCAGAATCCTTCGTTACATATATATAAAAGTAGTTTATTCAAGTTTATAACTGAGTAGTGTGGCAAGCACCACCTTAAAGGTATTTCTACAGTGGTATTTTCAACAGTATGACATCATCTAGAAATAACGCCTTTCTCAATCCCAAATGTGAGGGTATTAAGTTCAAACTCTATCGTTAACATCAAGAGTGAGATGCAGGTATACTCAGCTGAAAACATCCAAATAGAACAAAGCATGCATCCTAGATTTTAATACCAGTCACATATCAAATATTATAAACACTAATGATTTACATTGACGAGTAGTCAAAAACACAGGAGCATTGATAAGCATCACAGTATTCCACATCAACTCTGAGATGCAGTTACATCCAGATGACGAGCCCCAAATAGAACGAAATATACGTTCTGGATTCCACTACCAGCCCCCATCTATCACTGCTTATAATTCCCAGATAGCTGAGTACATTATTGGAAATTTTAAGCTATTCAGTTATAATTTAAGACAAAATTAGTATATTTTAAGGCTTCTCATCAGCTACATACAGCCTAGATGTTACATACTATAATCAATGAAGTTTAGTTCAAAACGACTTCAGTAACAAGCGAGAACAACATATCAAGAAAAAAATAACAAACATTGAAAAGTACTTTATGAAAGATGTATATACAAAGAAAATTATTATTAAGTATAGAAAAATGACTACTAAAAGTTCAAAACAAACAACTGTTAATAGTAAACCAGTCTTTATTCGTTTGGTACTCAAAGGTGAAGAGGTTTCACATAGAATCGATAAAAGGATGAAAACTGTTAAAACGAGAAGATTCCTTGCAGTTCAACTATTTTCAGTGTATAATATTAGATATTCTTTAAATCAATCAAAAGTGGATCTATATCCTTCTGAGGTCTCCTTATGAAAGCAACATATGAAATACTAGTCAATTTGAACTATTATGTTTTTTCTCTCTCCTTTATTTACAATAACTACTTACTTCACTGCTGAAATTACGATTTGATCTAAGATAAACTACCATTGTAAACCTGCAAGTACTGGACGACCGTTTCGTCCTAGTATGGGACTCCTCAGCAGTAAGCATCCACAATCTAGCACGCGAAGCTCGAATCAGGTTTTCAATGGCGTTCTAGCTTAGATCGGCTCATGATTTCAATTGTGAAAATAGTACAATCTCCATAAATCCCCATGCCGATAATTATCACTTCATTTAATTGACCTTTATTACTTTTCATACAAGATGCCTTGATAAGTATATGTGTGATCAGACTGTTTGAAATGGATAACGCAAATACATCACATTTTTCAGATCAACTCCGTCTTCTCATTGTTCTATCGAAATAATACTATAAATATTATATTTAGGTCATTTGAAGCTGATGAGAAGTTATAAAGTAGAATGAGATCATGTTATTCCGAAAATATTGTATCTCTCGCCTCTATGTGAACCTATCAGTTGCCCTGCTTTTATGGAGCAAAGTACGTAGGCCGTAGCCAGCGCCTGCTTCTAACTTGGATACAAGAACATTTTCCAGTGTTGTTCTGCAAATCTGAAAAGAAAGCAGCTAGAAGTTACATTCTTAATCGACTCTAATCACTCCACTGATCCAAAGGTTGATTTTAAGGTTAGTTATGTAATTCATTCAAATCTACTTAAATTTCTTCTAATGCAATCCCTTAAAACGGCAGAAGCTCTTTTCATTCATGAGATGAAGCGTACAAAAGAAGTACTTCCTATGCTTAATGTTACCTCGGCCTTAAACTATTAATATTATTATCATTACTATCATTATTTTATTCCGTATTAGAAAATATTCCCCTCTCATTTCCTCATAAATTATTTCTCATATCCTAATGACTTTATTCGTAATTGTTTAGCCCTTGCTCCTTACGGGATTAGCACACACACACACAAAGCTTCATATAAATATACGATTGTACAATTTGATAATAGATTTGTTGAAAAGAGATCGCTTCGTTGAAATTCATATTACGATTTTGACTAACTCATCGGATGAAAATGAAGTTTATGGAATAATGACCGATCATAATGAAGCGAAGGAGAACGTAAGTGGGGACAATAGAATAGATTTTAATACAACATTGCAGAACATCTTAGTAAAATCTGAGAACCATACATTAAATACTTCATTTGCAAAATGTTAATCAAATCGTCAAATCGTTTTCATTTTTACACCAATCACATCATCATCTCTTTTCCTTTGATCTTCTTAATCTTCTGCTGTCAGGTACTTCACTTTTTATTGATGATACATACTACTTATATCAGTACTACTTATATACTACTTATATATCAGTAGTATACACCACAATAAGACTTCAACTTAGTTCGTTGTAATACGTATTTATTTAGTTAAAAGTTTTACAGTTTTCATTAATTAACTAGATAAAATATTCCAGATATGCATTTCAATTCTCTAAAGCCTATATAGTGAAGCAATTTAAACTAAAAGCATATATATGTTATATTTTTAAGTTGCTTATAGCTGACTGAGCGTATTCTATCATTACCATCACGATCAATAATATACACAAATAAATAGGATAAATAAAAAGGTGAATTACTTGTATAGTTGATTGTTGTAAATAACCCGGGTGAATAGTTGATGCAATACGAAGTTGAAATGTGCCAACATTTAAACTGATAGATGGAAAGTAGACAGAGTAGAAGATGGGGAAAAAAAGTAGACAAATCCAATGTGTATGTAATGAAAGTTAGGGGGACTAAAAGTTTATAATCATCAATCACACTATTCATCGAACGATGTCAAGCATAAGCAAGTAACCGTTATTGATCGTTAACAACAGTAAAAATGAATATGTACTTTATTCACACATTGTTCATTTCAATTCAATATTGGTAATAATTGGAATGGAGCTTCAGTAAATCAACAGTTTGTAAATCACCAACGTAGGTGAACTGTGTCGATGATTGAGGGCCTAGTTGTGTTTGATGAGAATGCTATGACGTTCTAGCATACATCGGCGTCACACCTCGCGATTAATATTTATATTGATTATAGATTCCATGGTTCATAAGGGTCTAAAGAACCAAATATATTTAAACAAATAATCGACATCTCAATTGTTTTATATGTCGCCCCTAGTAAATAAACTTCAACACAACAGATAGCTTTCCTACGGAAGATTTCAAAATGCACAATATCTCATTATTATTATTACTGAAGTAAATATCTATATGCTAATTACTAACATTGAGAATAAATATCTCAAGTTTGGAATGAATCGATAACCTGAAAAGTCGGCTAAAATAGAGTTGACTTAATAACTTTGTGCTTAATCCATAGTTTACTTAAATTGTGAAAAATTTATTCACACCACGTTGTTTGAAAACTATGGGGTCAGTGCGTGTGTGCGACACCGACGGTCCTTAAAATAGAATGTAATAGCTGTCAATTATTCTTCAGTTTTCAATCATACCTATACACAAACTGATGTTAGTTCGTTAAACAGGTTTTGAAAAATAACTTACTTTCCATCTGTTCCAAGTATTGGAATCCATGAATAGCCTGTACTTGATTCAACAGGTTTTTTATTATTACTACTACTACTACTACTGTTATTATTACTACTATTAGATTTCTCTTTGGAAGTTAATAAATTTGTTGAAGCCGTCTCACAGCTTACATGATAAAAACGAAATAGTAAATGATGTTTTGAAGTTAAATTTAATGGTAAACAGATTTTAGCCTAAAGAAATAAAAAAAAGAGAAAAAAAACAACAATGATGAAGAGAATGTGAAAATGATTAGAAGCAACAACAGTGAACAACTATTGTTAATATTAGTAAGTCATTTGGAAAAAAAATAACACAGAATGAACTTTAATGTCAGTAGACGACAGCGTGTTTAACAAAGATTTACAATATAAACTTTCACCTAACGGATATATGATCGGTTGGCTAGGAAGATTTTTCTTTCCAACCCCATCCCCCTCCTTGTGGGAAAGCAAACATTGCTGTTATGCTGGTTGTCTGAAAGAAACACCTTACTACCATCACACCTCTATACAGTCAGAAGTACAACTTTTCTCTCCAACCTTGGTTTTACTACTCTTCAAACGACCTGTCTGGTATGGTAGGACCTTGAGGAACGATTGTTCCAGCCAGTATAACTCGATTGGTTCATTGCAATAGGCAAGTGCGACCACCCCGTCAAGGCAGCAGCAACGATCGGGCTTCAACTGGATGGACAAATATATATATATATATATATATATATATATATATATATATTCTGGTTTGTAAAACAATGTTGATTATGTTGGACTTACGTCATAAAATTTCTACAAATCTCTTTCATATTCAGACTTCTGAACGGCTCTCATATGATAAGTTAAATTACTGTCAGCTACATTAAATAAGTTTACCAGACTAATTGGTTTGGACAAATTTCAATTAAAACGATTTTTAAAATATATATCTCCGTAACTTAGAAATGATCTGTGTATTTGGCTTTAACTTATGTCTAATTATGTCAGAGTACGATTATTTATTTGAACACATAAATACTGGAACGAAGGGGCACCGAATAGATATGCGCCACGCAAGTCACTTCATTTGTGTGTAGACTATCATGCAGCCTGGGTGCCCAAATCAAAGCTGATGGTTTTCTTAGGGAGCCAAACCCCCAGCCTTCGACCTGAATGTCCGATCCACAAATCAGTGGGGCAACGTTAGGAGATGCAGTCTCATGGTAGCGGCTGACCAACAGTAGGTTCATACGCCATTCGTTCCCTTAGGATTCTGTAGCCCATGTGCACCATTAGATTGAAATCAATCCGATTTCCCTAGGTGGACTCTCTTTGTCCACCAACCTGGTTAAAGCAACGAACATTCACTTTTCGTGTTGTCAGTTTCGTAAACAACAGTAATGTCGCGAGAAGGTACTGAGTAGGACGTCCCTAGCAGTGGCTGTATACACTTAGCCATGTGAGAACATTTCTCGAAAAAAAGAAGAATCTTCCCAACCAGGGAATTTGGGGGGAGCATCAAAGTACTACCTAGTTGTTGAAACTGAAACAGGATTTAAACACGCAGTTTCCTGGTTGAAATTACAATTATTTTTATTCAATAAACGGCCGGCAATCGTGGAGGCAGCAATACGAATAAAACCAAGATGTTGATATAACAACTATTAGTCGTTGAGATCTGATTCTCTCACTCTTCATGAGAGTCGAACCAGTATCAGAACGTCCCATAGTCAGAAATATTACCACTGGGCTGTTTAGATCATAAGTTTGAAAGCTAAGGAAAGATAACTGATTTCGGATAAGAATACTTATTTCTGCGACAATTTCCTATGCAATAATCCCAAGTTCATTTGTTTTCACTTTATATATATTCACCAACAAACAATGTTATTATCAGCATTGGGTTGTGGAGATTCTTAAGTTTTTGATTAAGATCCTAGTATTGGACTCCTCAGCAAAGTGCATCCACAATCTCGCACGTCACACTCGAACCCAGAGCTTTCGGTCTCGCGTCCACGCTTAACCACTAGACGACTGAGCCGGCATCCAACGATGTTAATGTCTAACCTCAACCAATTCACTAAATCGTGCGACCATCTTCCATTGTACTGAGGTAGATACCTGTCTCTACTTGACATGGATAAGTTCCACTGCTTATGTTATTAGTTTTGTTTCGTTAACCTTCTATAATGAGAAATGCATTCATTAATTTAATATTTCCCAAATATCAAGATCATTGATGACTATACAAATAGGTCAAAAGCTACCCAACTGATCAACCATGGACTAAAATATAAGCCAATTTTGTTGTCTGAGAGTGGATTGAAATAAATAGGGTGTTAAATTCAAGAGATAGAATCAGATTAGAGCTAATGATTTACTGAATGATATTTGAGTGCAACAAACACAAAGAAACGATTTTAATTTATTGAACTGAAAGTAGTTTTGACCTTCAATCTACCTACTTCAGTTTAGACAAATACAATATTATCATCAATAGTCATCATTAATTTAAAAAAATTATGGCTTTATGGACCTGTAACTAATTGCAATGATACATTCATTGATTTCTTGTTTAGTGTAGTATAGATATGATAAGACTATAAGAACCAAGTTGAATAAATATTACAGATTTGTCCGCCTGAAGCCCCCCTGGGGCTACAGACGTTCCCAAGACCGGACAAAGGAGGAGGGCTGGGCATGGGGTTAGTGACCCTATCCCGTAGAAAAACAACTCTCTAAAAAAACGCTAACATCAGAAGAAACTTACCGCAAGGTTTGTAGAAACTGCCTACAGTCTGAAATGTTGATCATACTTTTAGTGAAATTATTAATTCGATTAAAACTAATTGATTTAAGTATATAATTGTAAAAATAGCGAATTACCCAACAACAATACACATAAATAAACGTAATAAACTTTATAAAAACCCAACTATTATAAACAACCGGAATCATCCATAGAAACTATATACACATACACACGAACATAATAAACATACTTGTTCACTGAAATTCGGATAATTATCATGATATATTACAGCAGTATTAAACCATGAATCAAATATTGGTTGACGAATACTTGGACGAGTGTAAAACACCTAAACACAAAATAGACGAGAAAAACACTGAATTGAATGAATAATCTAAGCAACAGTGGATGATATACAGAGTAATCTCGCGAGAAGCATCAGTTCCTGTCGAGACTATAGATATGCTCTGTTGATATTACACAAATAACATGCATCATCGATTAAATAAGGTTTCTACAGACTACTTTCAACCACCAATTAAAATCATTTCAACTATGTATCTAGTTGCCCTCAAATGCCCTGGTACAGTTGAGGCTGCAATGCTGTGATATGAACACGAAGAAACAGCCACTGCCACAGAAGTCCTACTCCCTGCCTTCTCATAGCATTACTGTTGTTTACAAAATTGACAACACAAAAAGCGAATGTCTGACGAATCAAGTATGAACCCATTGTTGGTCCTCGGGCTAACATGAGATCGCATCTTCTATTGGACAAACATCAAACCCTCTTGTGAAAAAAAGATGTACATAGTTACGGTAAATAACAAAACAACTGTCGGAAAATAGTCCTAAGCCTATCATAGAACTGCTCAACCTTTATGATTAATAATCCTAAAGGTAAAAACGAATGTCTTTTACACAAATATAATTTTTCACATGATCTTTTTCATAGATTGCCACCTCTTTTAGTTCGTTAATTTACTGTACGATTGAAGGTTATGTTGATTTGAACCATCTAAACCTGTTCTGTTTAAATATCAAGGTCGTCCAGTGCTTCTACGTTTTCCATGGTAATCTAGTTTGAATTGATTTATGAATTCAATAATTATATCAAGTCTTACCTACACTTCGTTATAACAGGACGAATATTGAGAAAGTTGAAACGGAAGGAGCTATTTTCCAATTATTCTTATTATGAATATCCCTATTGCACTATTTATTAATAACTATGACGTTATATATACAAGTTTCCATTATTGTAAGCTTTCAGTGAATTGATTGACTATCGTTACAGGTTTTACTAGTCCCTAATTATCGCTGATTAATTATGGACTGTTTCTTCCGCCCTACACCATCTATGATTTCGTTGATCATAAAGTGTGGTTTCCTATTGGATATGCTATGTGTCCTAGTATTTTCAGTAAAAGTCTTGAGCTACGATCGAATTTAGTACAATAGAAAATTAGTTTTCTTCATTAGAAAGAACTCAAGGGTCGATAAGCGTTAAGGCCATGATTGCTATTCAATAACCAGTTAGTAAATTTGCTAAATAAATAAACGGTTCGACTGCGAAGATGGTACATGATATCAATTCGAATCTCGAGCCATGACAAATATGGAAGCTACTGTCAAAATAACGTTTGTCTTCTGTCTGCGTTAGCAGACAATTTTTGGAGTTACCGAATATGCAACATGACTGTCCATATTCGAATAGCTCTATAGTTTCCTTAATTCGCAAGTATCGTAGGCCTATCAGGACCTTCAATAGATGTGACCATTCTTGTCATGATTTAACCGACATTACATAAAAAATTAAATACCCGTATCACAAAAATAGCTAAAAATCAGAACCGCTAAGGAATCGTGGTTTTTTGTGATCTAATTATTTTAATATTTTGTTATATAAGAATAGCTTCAATAGGTCGATGTTTCTGTGAACAAATTATTGTTACGATTGAACCAATCATTCAAGTGATGTTATTCAAACTAAGTCATCATAACAAAAACTTAATATCGATGAAGTGATGATTTGTTGATTAAAACATTCGACGTTTACACATAAGGTTGAGAGTTTGAAACTCAGTACTATACTTAATTCGTTAAGAACAAGTTGGAGACATCTCTGTACAACACACACACACTGTGGCTGAAAGTTAAGTACATGCACCTGACTGTAGCTGCTACCTAAACGTGGTAGTAGGGAATCCAAACCGAAATGACCCGATGAAGTGAATAGCGTCTGGGAAACTCGATCCTTTAGATAATATCATGATAGACAAGTTGATTGGAGAACGATAATACTGAAAGCAACAGTCATGAAATACAACATCGAACCTATACTGTCAGCTCAACCGAAATAGAGTGATATGTTTCATCAAGAAAACCAGCATAACCAGAGATATTGCTTTCTCTCAACGAAAACACGAACATTTGGATTAAGTTGACTCTGAAAATGTCTCAGTCCACGGATTCTTATCTAGAAAGTATAGGGGTTTAAACTATTACAGAAAACCTATGCGCGAACGAAATGAAGATATCCTTTAGGCTTAGCTGTAACATTATCAAGTCGTTAAGACTAGACTAAACCCAGTTTATTTCCCAGATGCGTGATGAAGTATCCTTACCTTTTATTTTTTTGTATTTTAACACGTAGATATTAGTACAAGGAGGCATCAAATACATTTGCGCCACACAAATCTCATTCGATATGTGTGAGGGCTGTGATACTGCCCGGGTGCCCAAACGGAAGCAGGTGGTTTTTTTAGGGGATCACACCCGGAGCCTTCGACCTGAAGGTCTGATCCACAAGACAGTGGAGCATCGTAAGGAGATGCAGTCCCAATAATTGGTTCCCTCAGGATTCTGGAGCCAGCGCATGTGTACCATTGGTTTGGAATCAGGGTTTTTGCAACTGCCCTAGATGAACTCTCCATGTCCACTAACCCGGTTAAAGCACCGGACATTCGCTTTTCGTCCTCTCGATTTCGTAAAAAACACCCTTGGTGCGAGAAGGCAGTGAGAACTTCCCTAATAGAGACTATATACGTGTGGCCATGCAAGAGCATTTGGAGAGGGAGAGCGGACTCTCCCCACTCTCGGCCGTACCAGGGCATTTAGGGTGTGTGTGAGCAATCAGGAAACAACAACCGCTTAGATACTTCGACTAAATCTTGAAATTGCCGAATAGTATAAATTAAAACAAAATTTTTCTACAACACTATAACTAGTGATATCACGTCATAACGAGGAGTTACACTAATCTTATGTATTCAGAATCAAGTTTTTGTTTACAGTATAAACTTATGAAAATAAATTTATGTTTTCTTCTACAAACAAAGAAAAATTGTATAGTTATGTTCACGTTAAACTTTATAAACAATTGTTTGCTTCAATCAATGAAGGGGAAAAATGTCATGTTATGGACTTTGTTTTTTTTTAAAAATAATTTAAATGCATTCCATTTGCTTAACAACTGTGCAAATATTATTTGAAATCATTGAATTTTTGCAGAAAAATTTATAAAATGTATAGTAAATGTATCCTATAACCATTGTTGCTGAGTGGGATGAAAGATTCAATAGATGACCAGCTTCGAGATCATCAAGTCGTACATCGTGAGGATTGTTCGTGTACAAATTGAATCGCTACACTGCGAATCATTATTAAGCAATCAGTTGAATGGGATTCATCACCATATATCAACTTCCTTGACTATGAGGAAGCGATTGACAGCTGGGATATGAGAACATCATGGAACCTTCTTTGGTACTATGATATACCTCGGAAAAGGATTGCCCAAGACCTACAGGGTTGGATGGGGAATACTTGTGGGAGGCTCCTCGAAGAAGGGTCACAGGAGTAAATAAGTGAGTAACCATTCATTGTTACGAAATTTAAAAATATCCTCCTTTCAATGATAACTTATTAAAAAGTGACCGATTTCACATTTTATCTAGTCCTTATTGGTGATGTAATTCTATCAATCAAGTTATAGTGTGGTCATCAAACTACGTGACTCTTTAGTAATGATGTGCTTGCTTTTGAGCAAAAATGTAACATCTAGATCTAATGCAGAAAGATCATCAACATATTTATAAACATTCATACACGTACGAGTTTAAGACGGAACTACATTACATGGAAGAAACAATAAGGTTTGAGGTAACGCCTCAGCAATTTGTGCACAAAATGAATCTATCCAAATGGTTAAAAAGTTCGTGCATTATAGCTAACATCATTTTGAAATAAGAACTGAAAACATACTTTGTTATTCTGAATACTAACCCGGATTCCTAACAATATTCCTTACTTTATGTTCAACCGGATAATTGGTTGAGATTTTTCACGATCATGTTGTCCCTATATATTAGTCAAACCGAATTGAAATTGCTTTTAAGAGTGTATAGAAAATAACCAATCATATTTCAATTTATATTTGACTGTTAAACACTTGTCTCATATTTTAAACACTTCCCAAAAAGATAGGCACATAGTATGTGTGGTCGTTTATGGTTTATGTGCATAACTTGTGAAATTACAACTCAACAATATTTCGATGCCAGACGGTTGGCAGTAATCGATCGGAAACTCTGTATGACTTAGGTTCCACTTAGACTGCCGCTCGTAAATAAGTGCATCAAAAATCTTGGAATAACTGAAGCTCTCTAGTAAATTCTAACAGAGGCAATACAGTTACATATCCTGAAACATAATTACTGAGCTTTATGGACTACGACAAACCTCTTATTGAATCGCATCCCGAATATGCTTGCATGTTGGGATACGCGAGATGATAGCAACCGATGGTTAGAGACCTTGAATGACATGGCTCAAAATCGTTTGCAATAGCGCAGGTGCTTCTGTAAGTCTACATTAACCGTCTGCGAAGAAAATCACTCACAAAAACTTATTTAATCTTATTTATTTATTTATTTCAACACAAATATTATTACAAAGGAGCACCAAATATATATGCGCCATACAAATCACTTGGTTTATATGTGGGCTGTGATACAGCACAGGTATCCAACACGAAACAGGTGGTATCCACACACCAAGTCTTTGGTTCAAAGGTCTAATCTACAAGGCAGTGGGACGACGTAACGAGACGCAGTCTCATGGTAGCCGGTGACCAACAATAGGTTCATATGCCATTTGTTTCCTTAGAATCTTGAAACCCATGTGCATCATTGGTTTAGAATTAGGGTTTTCCCACTCCTCTAGGTGGATCCTCTATATCCAACGACATAGCTTAAGCGCCAGATATTCGCTTTTCTTCTTCTCAATTTCGTAAACAACAGTAATCCCGTGAGAAGGCAGTGAGTAGGACTTGTTACTTGTCCTCTAAAAATCGTTCACTTTATTAGTGTCATCTTAAGGAGTGAGCAATTTCGCTATTATTCTTCAGTCGCATCATGTTTGTCAACTTGAGGCATCTTAATAACTAAATTATAGTAGGTTTTACAGAGTTCTTGAAAGCTCGTAATAAAACAAGTTATTTGATATTGTATTTTGAATTTCGCATGATAACACAAGAGCAGCTATCTAACATCATATTGGTTCAGGAGAATAACTTGCTCCGATAATTCAAGATTGTTAGAGGAAATTGACGGCAAACCCAACATAACCTAGGCTTCGTGCTATTTAGAACTCGTAAGTAAAATGCACGTGTAATGTTGAGAGAGCTGATGGCTTCTCATGTATCTGAACGTGTATCACATAGCTTCACAGAAATGCTACCCCTGAGCTATTCGGACTGCGATTAACCTCCTGCAGGACTGAGCAGTAAGTACTATAATGTATGTTAAGTCAGTATTTTACTTTTCACATAACCAACTAACCTTTAACGCAGTAGAATTATCCAAATTATCATTACTTCGTAATTCAATGAAACATGATAAATTCCGAGCCTAAACAGAAGGAGAATCGAAAGAAAAAGAAATTGGTGATAAAAAAATAGAGAATAACAATATGCTAAAGCAATGTGAATACTTATGATACAGCCTAAATGATATGTACACATTTTATTAACCAGACCATAGGTTTTGAGCCTAGTTTCAGCTACAGATTTCTTGAAATAGGCTTCAAAGTAATTGATCGATTTCACTAATTCACATCAAAACAGAATGAACAACACATAAATAACAGATAAATTAAAATTAGTCGTAAGGTAATCGTGGAGTGGTAATTGTTTAGTAGTTAAAATAGTTGATTTTCAACTACGAGTTCTGATAATCCCGATGTCAAAGTGGAATCAGATATATCTGGCTAAACTAACTATAAGAGATTATTTTATATGTAAAATCATTTCCGCTTTTATCCCACTCTCATTCAGGTTGAAGTTTATTCTTGACCATTTTCTAGATAATTGAACCGTGTATCATATGACTAAACACCGTGACTAATTACCAAGTCAAATGCTTTTACTAGTATTTTAGTGAACAAGAACACCAGCGGGAACAATCGAATGTATTTGGACACTAAAATACAGGACATCTTACCAAAATCTGAGAACCACACTGTGAATAGGTAATTCGCAAAATACCAATCAATTGTCTCAGATTTCATTATTTCTTCATTTTCATACCAATTTCCTTCCGTTTCCGTTTTTTCCATTTCGATATTCCACTGAAATACATTCTCTTCCTGACTATCATTATATACTACTTATGTAGATATAAGTAGCTTACACCACAGTATTGATATATCAAGTATATGATTCAAAGAGCAATTTTGATCTGTTTTTCCATTTCCATAAGACCCTTTGTTTAAACCTAGTTGCTCCATGTACTCCCAATTAACTCTGATTAGCTATTAAGGTAATTTTATTTAAGCGCTCACAAAAGCTATACGACTTAAAGCTGAACGGAAAAAAGAAACATCACTGACTAGTGAACGAATTACTTTTGTAGCAATAAAATCAAACCGAAAAATATTTTCACTGATGATTTGTTATTTATAGAGAAAAGAAGAAACATAGAAAAAGGAATTGACGTTGAATTGACATTTACAATAGGATCAATAGGGAAGAATCCATAAATGTGAAGGAAACCAGGGTACACAACCTATGTACAGATATATAGCAATGAAGCTATTTGATATGATAGTGAGGAGGAAGGTAAAAAAGATGAATTTTACTAAAAACGTACTGATGGTCAATAGAAAAGTCTATGAAAAAGTAATAAATTAATTGAAATATTTCAAATGAAATCGACTGAAAAAAAATATTCTGATGATGTTTGAAGTACAAAAGGCATAATGAATCATACAAAACGAAGTATCAATATGGGGTTATGAAGATTGTTGAGTTTAGATTGATATCATGAAGGGATCAATGTTAGACCACCACTGAAAATCTGGAAGGCCGTTTTGTCCTAGCATCGGACTCCTCAGCAATGCACATCCAAGATTATGCACACCACACTCGAACCCAGGACCTATCGGTCTCATGCGCGAACGCTTAACCTATACACCAATGAGCCGGAATTCAACGGTGCTAATATCTAACTTGAACCAGTTCATGATATTTCGTGACCGTCCACAATTGTCTTCAGTGAGTAATTCCGTTATAACAGATACGATTGAACTCCACTGGTCACAGCTTCTCAATAGAACTTGAAGCCAGTCACTCGTGAGCACATAGTAATTACTCAGTGCTTCAAGCTTTCTAACGGTGGTCCAACATTGATCCATTCATGATAACAAAAAGAAGTGATAAAATTGTACGAAAACGTAATTACCAAATGACTAGTCAGAGACTGAATGCTCAGTAATTGCTTCAAAGTAGTTATGAATTTAACGTTCACACAGTAAGTGAAATCGAAAGCAAAGAGAATAACCTTGCATGACAATGCTAAGAAGACTCCAAGTTATCTCGTTTCTTGTTAATTAATTATTGTTTGTTTGTACTGGAAGAACCTCAATCATTTATGACTAGTAAATATCAAAGGCCCAACCATTTTCAGGAAGTCAACGAATATGTAACCTATTTACCAAGGCATAGGTAAATATATCAACTCGATTTTGAACAATGATTTATGCGTGAAGATTAGTGGTATCGTCCAGTTGCTAGTGTACTAAATTTACTAGAATGGGGTTCGAACATGAAATATACCAGTTGGAAACCGATGTTCAAACTTTTAACTCAGTGGTTAAAAATTATCATCTGAACACCCCCAAACCAATGATCTATCCCTCAAGTGATTTAACCATTAAGATGTGTACACACACGAAACCTATTCTTGGTTACCATGGAACTGTATCTTCTGACATTGCTCCACTCCCTTGTGGATTAGACCTCTAGATCAAAGACTCGGGGAGTGACCACCCCTCAAAAAGAAACTGAGTGATAACCACTTTGTGCAGCGCATATATATTTTGGTGCCTTTTAGTACTAAGACTTATTTCTTTGGATAACCAAATAAAACAACCCTGACTGGAGTGAATTAAATAGCTGAACACAACAACTACATCATTTATCTGATATGAAATCTGGCAACACAAATCAATACACATTTGTACTATCTTTCACGTTATAAGTTCGCATATTTTCTCACTTCACTGTTTCAGTCATGTAGTCCAGTTTACTACACGTATAAGACTCCTTAGAAGTATGCAACCACAAAACATTTCAGGAATTGAACCCGAGATATTATGAGGTCATAGTGTACATTTACTAATAGAACCATTGAGACGTTCCCAACACCACTAGACCTTCAACCAATAGATCTCTGTTTATACAATCAAGTGGTATTATAAGCCTAAATACCATCTAAGTATGTCTCAAAAACGACAACATAGCACTGAGTAAATGAGTTATATTTATCTATTTATTTGAACACCAAAGACATATGCGCCACACAATAACATTGAGACCAGTAGTAGTTATGATTGATATATGTGAGGGTTGTGATATTTCCCGGACACCCAAACCGAAGCAGTTGGTTATCTTAAGATGCCACACCCAGAGCCATTGACATGAAGGTCTGATCCGCAAGGAAATGAAACAACGTCAGGATATGCAGTCCCATGGTAGGCGATAACCAATAATTGGTTCGTACGCCATGTGTTCCCTCAGGATTCTGGAGCCAGCACATGTGTACCATTGGTTTGAAATCAGGCTTTCCAACTCCCCTAGATGGACTCTCCATGTCCACTAAGCCGGTTAAAGTACCAGATATTCGCTTTTCGTCGTCTCAATTTAGTAAACAATACCCCTACTGCGAGAAGACAGTGGGTAGTACTTCCCTGGTAATAGCTGTATACACATCGCCATATGAGAGCATTTCGAGCGGTAGAGAGGACTCATTGCACCCTCAACCATACCAGGGCATTTGGAAGCAAATGAGTTACAACATGTAGTTGAATAATTGAAAATACCGCAATGGATTTATTCGAGTGATTCCTTCAAACAAATCTTCCTGTACTTTAAAAGGATCTCTTTGAACTAGAAAAAAATGGTTATAATAAATAGATGATTGAATTTACCCTTGGAAAATTATGTTTCCCTGACATATTCAATGATTTTGGACATACATATAATGTATTAAAAAATGAGGTGAATGGTAATAATTTAATAGATGAACATTGTGTACTTGTTCCGTGTTCAAATTGAATAACAGATTGTTCAAGTGAATTTGATTGATTTTGAAGTGTGTTATTTAATAATTTTGGCAAATCATTTGTAATAATAAGTGAACTAGTTGTACTATTTACACTATTATTTGATAGAATAGAATCTCTATTATTATTATTTTTGTTATTAAGTGAATTCATTCGATAACTACCTCTTTGAAGACTTCCAGTATGAGAAGGAGTATTAGAATCATCTAAAAAAAAGAAAAAAATTGCAAAACATATTTGGTTGACAGAACCGTTTGGAGTCACGGAATTCTAGACAGAAACTTCGTATTAGTATGGAACTAATTAAAGCTGAGCACTCACAACCTTATCAGGGATTGAACATTCAGACCTTTCGGTGAGCGCTTGACCATTAGAAATCCTGGGTCGAAGTTTAATGTACGCCTCTAACCCCAATGAATCTGTGACAGAGTGATGTCAACGGTAACAGTTGCTTCATTACCGATATGTTTAAACCCTAGCAATTGGAATTTTTCACAAGAACTTGATGTTAGTCACAGAGTAAACTAACCGCCGTAAAACCACTTCAACACCAAAATTACTAACCACAGTACCACATGTACGAAAATTCGCAAAACTCAGTAACCTCAAACATGTTCATGAAAAGCTTAGGTAAATTTTTTTCTTCATAACTTTCTGATCTACTACGAAGAGTGACAAAACGTTAGAGGGTCAAAGGTTAAAATTGGAATATATGAGTGATTTAATTATAACACCAAGTATAAAATATCTATGAGGTGTTTGACTCTATAGACCAGTCTGCTTGTCAATACAAACTGGTTTGTATTTTAGATTAGTAAAGTTTCAACCCAAAAAGTTTAAAATCTTAGGTATGTCGCCCACCAGCCTCCCCACCGATAGGGAAGAGACTAGATCATTAACTCAATCATTCTACATTAAAGATGGAAAATATGTTGAAAAATTAAATCTTTATAAAACATTCTATTGAAGTCCGTTCAAAAAGAAGGATTTCGTAATTCGCCAGCTTTAAAATTTTAAAATTAGTACGTAAAGTTGAATTCAGACGTTGGAAAATTGTACAATTAGTGGACTTAATACTCAAGGCTATCTGAAAATCTTTCCATTATTATTCACGAATTTCAGTTGCAGCTTCTAAAAGAGCCCCCAAATGCCCTGATACGGCAGAGAGTTGGGAGAGTCAGGTCTACCTCTGCAAGTGCTCTCAAGTGGCCACGTGCACACAACCACTGCCACAGAAGTCCTACTCACTGCATTCTCGTGGAGGGGTTGTTGTCCACCGAATTGACAATACGAAAAGTGAATGTCCGTCACTTTAACCGAGTTAGTGGACATAGAGAGTTCATCCAGGCGAGTTGGAAAACCCTCATTCCAAACCAATGGTGCACATGGGTTGGCTTCAGTATCCTGAGGGAACAAATGGCGTATGAACCGGTCGTTGGTCACCGACTACCACGGGACTGCATCTCCTGACGTTGCTCCATTACCTCGTAGATTAGACCTTTCGTTCAAAGGTTACGAGTGTGGCCCACTAAGAAAACCACATGTTTTGGTCTAGGCACCCGGACAGTATCCCAGCCCTCACATAAATCGAATGATTTATGTGGCGCATATCTATTTAGTATCTACTTGTACCAATGTTTATGTGTTTAACTAAATAAATATTAATAAACATTTTAAGTTTAGATGGACTAGAGAATTATTGAAACAAATAGAGTAGATTCACCAGTTTTATCGTTTCATTCAACTATCTTTACACATTAAAATAAAGACATACCTGGATTATTAATTCCATAATCATCATTATACGATGTTCCTGATAGAGTTGAGTAAAAATCAAATAGATTTTCAACTTCAAGTATGATTTCATCTGACATAAGCGGTGGATGTGTTGATGGTATATAGAAATTATGAGAATTATTAGCTGTCACATTCAGTGTGTATGTTTCCAGATTTGAAGCAATAACTCCTATGATTTATTATCAATAGTAATAATAATAAATTAAGCAAATAACTAAACATAAATTCATTTATTAAATTCTGTAATATAATTTATTTGTAGTAAACCTATACAGTTTTCGCTTGAATCGAAGATTAGAATGTAAACCAGAGTCTTACTACTTAAAAGTCAAGTACGTAACCCATTGCCCCCAAATGCCCTGGTATGGCCGAGAGTGGGGTGGGCCCACCCTCTCTCTCGAAATGCTCTCACACGGCCACGCATATATAGCCTCTACCAGGAAAGTCCTATTCACTGCCTTCTCGCACCAAGGGTGTTGTTTACGAAAATGAGAGGACGAAAAGTGAATGACCGGCGCTTTAACCGGACTCCAAACCAATGGTGCACATTGGCTCCAGTATCCTGAAGGGACAAAGGGCGTATTAACCAATCGTTGGTCACCGGCTACTATGGGACTGCATCTCCTGACATTGCTTCACTGTCTTGTGGATCAGACCTTCAGGTCGGAGGCTCCGGGTGTGACTCTCCTAAGAAAACCACCTGCTTCGGTTTGGGCACCCGGGAAGTATCCCAGGTCTCACAAATCGAATGATTTATGCGGCACATATCTAATTGGTGCCCCCTTGTACTAATGTTTATGTGCTTAAATGAATAAATAAAACGTTACCCATTATTCAACTGGTCAAATACAAACTTATTCAATCAGTTTTCATCTATATCTTTTAAGTAGGGGTAATTAACACTGATAATCGATTGGTCACACCCAATAGATGTAGAATATAGGATTCGAACTTGTAGCACCACGTTTGAAAAATAAACATTATACATTGCATTACTGTTACTACATAGATACATAATTATCAAGGTGAATTAAGGGTGCAAAAACCAATGATGTTTGAAGATGCATTTATTCAGCACATACAATAACGACTGAAATGATCAAAAACGTGGCTTAATGGATTCCGAAGTTAATTTTAACTACTGAATTTAATTGGACTAAATAAATCCGAATTACTTTACTTCTATTAATCAGACCATAGTGCCTTAAAATATTAAGTTTAACTCATACAGCAGTGTACAAAGCTGAGAGTCATTCTACAATTGTTTTACTTCATGGGAATTTTATCTTAAATACAAAAGAATATTGGTAAATCGCAAATGAAGAAGATCAGTCAATTAAGAGACGGACTCTATAATCTTCAAACACTTTTAGCAATACTTCCGACAGTCTAAGCTATTACCTAACATCTCACATTAGGTTTTTCACGTTTCATAAAAAGTAGTAAATGCTTCAAATCTGTTGATATTAACTAGATAAACAGTGAAAGGGACATCATTTAACCAGGTGAACATGATGTACACAATCAATGTTCTAAGGTTTTCATTGCATCTGTGATGAAATATCATTAAACAATTGGATAAGTAAACTAAATTAACGTTTTCTTAAAATGATCATATCATTCAATCTATATATGTGGATATTTTAATCCTTATCCTACTCCAATGTAAATAAATTAAGTACAAGATTATTCTGATATGAATCATTAAAATGTAAGGTGAGACTATAAATTTATGAATAAGCCAATCAGGTATAAGATAATAGGTCTTGGATTTAGGCACGAAATTCAGTCATCCGTTTGGCTGAATAAAGTTTTGGCATTATAACTAATGTCGGTTGGTGATGAAAACCCGAAATTTAATTCCTAACCTTAACCATCAACTGCAAATCATAATTATAATTCCTTACGCTAGTTTATAGCCATCATTTCGTCCTAGTTATTAAGTGGACACTCTCAAGGTCAGTCTAGCGTCACTCAAAGGTCGTTCGCCACCAAATGCCCTGCTACGGTCGAGAGTGGGGAGAGTCAGGTCTCTGCCTCAACATGCTCTAACATGGCTGCATGTACACGATCACTGCCACAGAAGTCCTACTCACTGCATTCTCGTGGAGGGGATGTTGTTTACTAAATCAATAAAACGAAAAGCGAATATCCGGTGCTTTAACCGGGTTGGTGGATACGGAGAGTCCACCTAGGGAAGTTGGAATACCCTGATTTCAAACCAATGGTGCACATGGGTTGGCTTCAGTATCCTGAGGGAACAAATGAAGCATGAATCAATTATTGGTCACCGGCTACCACGGGACTGCATCTCCTGACGTTGCTCCACTACCTCGTATATTAGACCTTTCGTTCAAAGGTTACGAGTGTGGCCCACCAATAAAACCACGTGTTTTGGTCTAGGCACCCGGACAGTATCCCATCCCTCACATAAATCGAATGATTTATGTGGCGCATATCTATTTAGTATCTACTTGTGCCAATGTTTATGTGTTTAACTAAATAAATAAGATAAACAAAGGTCGTCCAGAAATTATAGTCTCACCAAACGTAAATTTTTAACTTTTCAGATTAACATACCACGATACATAGAAAAAACTAAGTATAAATAAAGATTTAACACTTACGTGATAAAGGTTTTGCATTAGGATCAATAGTATGATCAATTAGTTCACTCATCACGAATTCAAATCGTAAAGGTAACATTTGAGTTTTAAGAGAACGTTCAATTGTTTCAATAAAGAGTCGATCTTGTTCGGTTAAATAAGTTGTGACATCTTTTAGTATAGAATTATTATTAATCAATTTTGATGATTTTGATTTATTTGAGTCTGTTTTTAACATATGATTTATAGATTCTGGTATATGATAATGATTACTTTCATTTATACTACTATTATCATTATTAGTAGTAGTCATAATACTTGTTATATCTGTATACCGATCGTGATATGTATTATAATCAATTGATAAATGGGATAACATTTGTACAGATTGAATTAATCCTTGTTCAGAGATCTTATTAGAATCCATTTTGAATAGATGAATAAAACGATTTGTGCTGTTTACAGATCTATGAAATGAAATGTTGAATTTATTTTTTCAAATACAATAATTTAGTTATCAAAGAAATTGAAATTGAAGATGGTGGTTGGAGGTAGTCAACAGGTTGGTAGCATTCGATCTGCGCTAAGAAGGATCTGACATACATGATATTTATCATCACCCAATGATCAATCAAATGTGAATACATCTCAGTCCTATAGGAGGTCAATCGCGGCTCGGATAGCTCAGTGGTGACTGTGAAGATGGGTGATACAGGATCGAATCCGTCAGGTAACACCCATTCCCTCAAGATTAAACGTATACCTTGATGACGAGTTCCAAACGGCACGAAACACGGGTCAGGGTTTCCTGTTGACTACCTCCAACCTCCACGCAATGTTGAGTCACCTAGACTAGTGACCACATTGTAAGTTGGTCGATAGCATCCGATCTGCACTAAGCAAGACCTGATACACAAAACATTGATCACCACTCAATGATCAATCAGTTGTGAAATCGGAGTTTAATTTGTAAAAACACTCACCTCACAATAGGATTATCAAGTATTTTGGTAAGAACATAGGCATCATTCAATACAAAATCGTCATACATATATTTATATAACAAAAAAACAATAGTGAAAGCCACTGGGAGTCATGAGCAACCAGTATCTACAAACAAACATAGAAAGAAATCACCACTAAGATATTGATTTTCAATCAATGTAAATAACTCAATCCCGTACTAAGTGATTCACGGATTGATTAGGTCAGTGTTTATGGTTGTGTTACGAGGTGAACCGTGTTCTAATATCATGCGAGAGGATAAGTTCCCTTTGGACAGCAAGTACACAACTCTGATGAGTTTCAATTAGAATGAAACCCACACGTTTAGGACTTAGTGATGATTTCGTCAACCATCTAAAATCAAAATAGTGAATACGTTGTCGAATTAATTAGATTATTGACCAAATTTCAATGGACTTTATCCGAAGAATTTTAACAGTAGTTCAGATTAGAAAAATATGACATTGGTATTATTTATCTAGTGATCAGTTTAATATTAAGATGGCTTATCATCAGAACATACTCATAAATAAATAGCATTTCCATACTATGAACAATAAGAGTTATAATGAGACATTCATCACTGATCTAAACTTAATTGACTTTACAAGTTAAAATGATTTAGTACAATTTTTATACATTTAATTATTGGATATCAGAAGATTTGAAGTGTAAACGATAGTGCTATTGTTTCAACGACAATAATTAATCACAGTACTAATCAATGATCAAATATGAAGACTCAAAATATCTATGTACCACAGTTTCACTATGAAATAGTGATATTTAAAGTCAACTGAATGTATTAGTTAAATAACACTTGTATTGGATGATAATTGCAATTTGTCGAAGATTAACTATAATTGAATATACGTAGATGATTATGCCCCCAAATGCCCTAGTACGGTCGAGAGTGGGGAGAGTCCGCTCACCCTCGAAATACTCTCACAAGGACACGCGTATACAACCATTGCCACGGAAGTCCTACTCACTGCCTTCTCGCACCAAGGGTGTTGTTTACGAAATTGAGAAGACAAAAAGCGAATTTCCAGCGCTTTAACCGGGTTGGTGGATACGGAGAGTCCACCAATAGGAGTTGGAAAACCCTGATTTCAAACCAATAGTGTACATTACCTCCAGGATCTTAAGGAAACAAATGGTGTATGAACCTATTTTTGGTCACCAGGTACCATGGGAGGGCATCTCCTAATGTTGTTCCACTGCCTTAGGGATCAGACCTTCAGGTCGGAGGCTCCCTAAGAAAACCACCTGCTTCGGTTTGGGAACCCGGACATTATCACAGCCCTCACACGTATCAAATGAGATCTGTGTGGCGCATATGTATTTGGTGCCTCCTTGTACCAATATCTATGTGTTAAAATAAATAAATAAGTAAATGATTATATTCGGTGCCAACAGTTTAACCAGTTAATATACTCATCACAAGATATGAAAATCATGGATATGATCACAAATGAAGCTCTAAATAAGCAACAATGTTAGTGAGTCTAAAGTGAACAAAAATTGTTTCAATTATTCATCTTAAGAAAATTCTAAAAACTTGCCAAATAGTCGATCTATGCATATTCGTTTTATTTCATGATAATTAAATTAAGTCGAACACTGAAACATTCATGATTAAACAATTAATGCTCTTAAGTTGTTATTATTACAACAGCATATACATTCTAAGTGCTACTTCAGTTTGGGCACCTGGGTAGTGTCCCAGCTCTCACATGGATCGAATAATTTATGTGGCTCATATCTATTTGGTGCCTCTTTGTACCAATGTTTATGTGTTTAAATAAATAAATAAAACAAAAGGAAATTGGGTTAGGGGTGGTGTTAATGACCAGAGAGTGTGACCACAGTGACCAAGGGACAACTACTTGAGGTCGGCCACACAGGACATTTTTGTGATTAGTTTTCGTGTTACCTCCATATTGTTGGGAGCTTATCGCCGAAGACGCAAATCCGTGAGATAAGGTGAAGCGTGTACTTTTAGGGACGACCTTTTCCAACCCCACCCTTCCTTGTGGGAAGGCAGCATCGCTGTTACCCTGGTCGTCTGAAAGAAACACCTTAGTGCTGTCATATGTCTGTACAGACAGCAGGACTTCGCCCTCGAACCTTGGGTTTGCTGCTTATTACTTTTTCAACCGACTTGTCTGGCATGGTAGGACCTTGAGGAACGATCATTCCAGCGAGTATAGCTCGATTGGTTCATTACAATAGGTAAGCCTGACCACCACGTCAAGGTAACAGCAACAGTCCGGGCATATACATTGGTTTCATTCAAAAAAATAAATATTCCATATAGCTAACCTTGCACCCCATGCAAATGGCATACGATAACGACCAATATTACGACAATAATTCACCATTGATTTTTGTATACTTGAACCAGTTTTAATATTATCATTAGTATTATTAGTATTTTTCAAGTATTTATCTATTACTGTATTGATTGGTCCACTAAGAACTTTATCTACTCGTACAACTATATACAAATTATTGACATGACAACATGACGGAATTGAAAATAATGCCTAGATAAAAAAATTCAGTGAGAAAAAGGAAGGTTAGGATTAAATAAGTTTAATTACAGAACAATATAATGAGTATGAAACTTATATGATAGTTAAAGGTAACAGACAAGAAATTAACAAGCTAAAATGTTGCCAGAATCGTATGTTTGAAGTGAGTAGTAGCTTAGATCATATATAACACATTTCTTAACCATCTAAGTTAATGAAAGTTCCAAGACTAGACCATTTTCATTATCTCAACCTAGTACACGACGACTGATATCAGTAACAAGGAATTTTTTGAAAACACTCACAGTTAAATAACTGTGACAGACAATTATTTTCTATCTTCACTAATCAAACTTTAGAAATGCTTTATTCGCTAGTTCTATCATATTATAATCAGAAAAATATATCCTCTACAATAGAAGTCATGCATTTTGAACAACGCCAACGGAGTTTGAAGTATCCGCATCAGGATTTCTTCAAACAGCCATCTTCCATAACTTAAAATCTAATCATATCTTCTACTTTTACGGACAATATTCCGCAAGTATAGAGCAAAGTATAGTTGTCTACTTCTCGATATATTTACCATTTGAGGAGTAGATGGATGTCTGGCCACAGCCTAAGATGATATAAATTGGGAATAGCCAAGCAAATATCTTAAATTCATGCCCAGACAATCGATCAATAAAATCGAATAGACCTGTTCAACCATCGATGTTTAAAATTTCATTTGAATATCATTAATTATACCGTGAAAGGAAGCTAAATATGCAATAAATAAATTAAACATAAACAATTTGATAGTTGAATTCATGAGTCAATTAAAACTAGACCATCATGAAAAGTCTGGAAGCACTGGATGACTGTTTGGTTCTAGTATGGGACTCTTCAACAGTGCGCGTACAAGGTCCCACACACCACACGCGAACCCACGACCTAACTGTCGCGCGCGCAATCACTTAACCTCTAGACCATTGAGACAGCATCCAACGGTATTAATGTCTAACTTCAACTAATCCACGAAATTGCGCCACTGTCCACCATTCTCTTCAGTGAGTTACTATCTCACAACAGACCTGGTTGAACTCCACTGGTCACTGTTTCCCACTAGAACTCCATGAAATACCTCTTGAAGCCAGTCAATAGTGAGGATATGATGATGATTGTTAATAAAAGAGAGTTTTGTGTAGATTTTAGTAATTTAATAGTTGAATTCATGAGTCAATTAAAGTTAGACCACCATGGAAAACATGAAAGCACTGGACGGCTGTTTCGTCCTAGTATGGAAATGGTCATTATAGATTAAATTGTAAAAATCCAAATTCCTATCTTATACATACACCAATATTAAAATTTGTATTCATAATGTAAATAAAAAACTACTAATGATATTAACTTAGATGCCTTGCCTTACCTTTTTAACCCGTTATATCAATAGACTAACAAATTACCTTCAAGTAATTTATTGAATTTAGAAAACTTATCAATGTTACATAAAGTGAACTGTGTTGTGATCAACAGACAAGTTTTCATATCAATTCTGTTCATTGTACATAATGTGAAACTTAAACAAATTAATACCGTCAGTGAATATACGCTTAAGACTACTGAGTGTGTGCGTGTGTGATGTGGAAATGATTAGGTTAAGGATTACAACTATGATCGTTGTAATGAGAAAAATGTTAAACACGTACAGATGATGTACACCATTTAAAGTTGTACATGAATCATTCATACAAAATGAATGGTAATATTCTCCATAGATTTATATTAATGATATCTGTTCATTGATTACCATAGAATTAAAGACATACAAACATAATCTGTTTCTAATCTAATGTAATACAACTTATGCATACTGAACACGTTTATTACTACTGTAAGAGATTTGTGGGATTTGCATCGAAGTCTAACCTTGATAAGACAACCAATGGAAACCTGAAAGCACTGGACAACTGTTTCAGCCTAGTATGAGAATCCTCAGAACAAAGTGTATTCACGATCTAATGGGAATCAAATGGAAGGCCTGTAGGTGTCACAGAAAGCGATTAACCTTTAGACCAGTGAGTCTGAATCCAGTTACTTAAATTTATAAATTCAATCAATTTACAACATTACGCAATTATTTTACAATGTCATTAGTAGGTGGGTGCCTGACTCACGATATAGTTGGACTTCACTAGACACGGTTTTTCACTGAAATTCCAAGAATCACGTCTTAAAATTAGTCACCAGTGAGCATATGACTAAGTCAAAACTATAAAATAATGTACGTCGACTCAGTAGAATAATTGTTGAGTATTTGACGTGAGGTCTGAAAGTCTACGGAAGGGGTGGTTATAAATGGTGACTGCTGAAGAGTCCCATATTAAGAAAAAAACGTGCTAATTAAGGTCAATCCATGGTGTAAACTACAAAACTAAAAAAATCAATAATTCTGTACTATCTCGTGCTCAAGACGGCTTAGTTTTCCATTCTTGTTCAAAGTCAGTAGGTAGTATTGTGAAGTATGAAACTTGTATATTTGCTCTAAACTAAGAGTCATATCACAACTTTAAATGAGTATAGAGATAAGATGTGGTTTTTTAAACTAGATTAAATGTCAGATAGAGTCCTAACATGTAACCCAATTGTTTAAAATCGAATACACTTAATCATTAGACCACTGTTCATGTGTTAAATAAAGCAACAGGATTCGTAATGTTTCAGAAAGTACTATCGAATAAAGATACGCCAATCAAGAACAACACAGTAGACATACAAACCACTACGTTATAATTTCAAACAACTTAAAGTTACGCAGTTTGATCGTGTGTTGATACATGAATTTTTGAAAAAAACGAGGTTAGTCAGTCAGCAACAACGTACATCGGTCCCAGTTGCCATACCATATTAGCACACAGATACAATTGTCGATTCAAATCTCATAGTGGTAGAAGTAGTAAAAGTATAATCAGTAATCGAAAAGATTAGGGTTTGAAGATGTTATTCTTGAAAAACTAACGAAAGAAACTTATTGATTCATTCAAAAGAACGAAGATATTTCAGAGACAAAGAAAAATCTGACGACATCACTTCCTAGAGTTGTACAATCGTATTTCTAGATAAGGCAAAGTATGTATAGACCTACTCCATTGTGATCGATTCTCAGCCATATCACCCATAGTCTCCAACCAGTGGTTACGAGAATCACACGGACCCCAACCAAGTATACTGCATCTACCAACATGGCTAAGACTAGAAGTTAGTGAATTCGTGGACAGATGCCACATTTTGGTTTGGCTGCCCCTAACTTTCTTCCAACCATCCCCAACACTAGTCAGCATTGCGCGTCGTGGTAATCGATGTTCAGTGGTTACAAAATACAAACCAATTAATCACTTTCATGAAAACCAGTAAAATGAACACAAATTGGTCATTTTTAAAAGTACCTTCTAGTCAAAAAGAAATAAAACTCACACTCTTAGGAATATAATCTATACCTGCCACATACATTCATGTTATCTACGTAACTCTAAGGTTATCAGGGTTGCTGATAGCTATGAGACCATTAAGACCAAGATTGGAACCTCAGCCCATCTACTTTGTTTTGAGATGACTAATATTAGTAATCTCTTTGCTAAACACATAAAACAGTGCAACTAAAAGATGAGTACATAAATATGTACTTGATACATACATACATATAAAACCAACAGATTAAAGTTAAAGGATTTGAAGATAACTTCTGACTTTAGATTAAATAAAAAAAACTCCTGGTTGAACAATAAAATCAGGTTGATTCAAAGTTATACCATTGTAAAAGTACAATTAAACTAACAACCAAAAATGATCTACTATTCATTTAAGTAAATTACAATCAGAAAACTTCAATCGATCAAACTTTTTTTTTGAGTATATATATATATATATATATATATATATATATATATATATATATATATATATATATATATATATATATATATATATAACTGGTCATTGAAACCACATAACATTACTATGAACATTAAAGACAAAATATACATTGATCAATAATTCTAATGTCAATGTTAAGTAAAACAATTAAACAAAAAAAGAAAAAAAAGAACGGAATATAATAACTCACTGTACGACACTTATACAAACAATCTAATGAAATAGAACTTTGTGTTCCATATGGAGACATAAGATTATTATTTGGTGGTGGTGGTGGTGGTGCATGTCTACGTGTTGTTCGATTAGGTGATGAAATAATATTTGGTTGATTAGATATTGAATAATAATGATGATTATCATTAGTTGTTTCAGAATGTTGATTATTAGATGAATACCATGGTAAACATTTGAATTGATCTATTGGTAACATAGAATCAATAATTGATGTATTAGGATTCCAATAGAAATCTTCACTAACACGACGTCCATCATTGACATCCACAAGAAAAATAGTAACAAAATATGGTTCTGGCTAAAAGTATTAACAAAAAGTTATTGTAAGTACACAAACACATCAATGATTCATTTCTTTCCCTCTCTCTCTCTCCCTACATTGAAACAAATAGATAAGTGAAACAACAATCCCGTTTCGTTCGAATGTAACGCTTGATTAAATGTTATAAACTATCGAACAAGACCAATTTTGATAGGTCACTTAATCTTTTCCATGTCAATGAATAAAACCCCCACTGTTAGAACTCTTTGTCATGTCAAAATTACAATATAATTTAATACGAAACAATTAACTTATATTCCAGTGTACAAAACCACAAGAAAACTAAGTCGTAACAGCTCAGGTGTATTCACCTTTTGTTTTCACTCAGATCTTAAGATTCTGAATTCCTTATAACTTTGTATTACTTCACTAATTTATATTTTAACGAATTGTACCTTCGATGTGTAATCTTTTCTAGTAGTACCTCTACTACTCTAGGATTCATACCTTAACAATTTCATCTAGATATGATAATGGGATATAGCAACTTGAAATGTACACATCATATTTATAACAAACAAATGTAAATATATTTTCAGAAGGGGGTTTTGTGGAGATTTTAGTAATTTTATCATTGAGTTCATGAGTCAATTAAAGGTAGACTATCAAGGAAAACATGAAAGCACTGGACGGCCGTTTCTTCCTAGTATAGAACTCCTCAGAAGTGCGCATCCAGGATCCTGCAAGCCATACTCGAACACAGGACCTATCGGTCTCGCGCACGAACACTTAACCTCTAAACCACTGAGCTGGCATCCAATTGTGTTAATGTCTAACTTCAACTAATTCATGAAATTGCACAACCGTCCACTATTGACTTCAGTAAGTTACTATCTTACAACAGACCTGACTGAACTCCACTGATCATGGCGCGCGAGACCAACAGGTCCTGGGTTCGAATCGGATGTGCGTGATTGTGGGTGCGCACTGCTGACGAGTCCCATACCAAAACGAAACGGCCGTTCAGTGCTTCCATATTTTCTATGATGGGTTAACCTTAATTGGCTCATGAATTCAATGGTAAATATACTTGTATAAAAAATATATTAACACGTAGATAGAAACAAGAGAACAAAAAAAAACTTACATTCTCTAAATGGGAAGATGATGAATTCCCTGAAATTTCCAAATTAGCTTGAATTTTTGAATGTAAACATAAACATGTAGCTAAATATCGTCGATTACATAATTCAATTGTACGTTCAGGAAATGGTGAAAATGGTGAATCTTTCAAATTGCTAACTATTACATTATTATTTTCATGTGATGAGTAGTTCATTTTAATTTTATGTTGATTTATCTAATTTTGATAAGATAAAGTAAAAAAAAATAATAAAAGCATTAAAGTGAGACATGCGCCACAAAAATCATTCGATTTGTATGAGGGCTACGATACTGCACGGGTGCCCGACTCGAAGCCTAAAACCTAAAGGTCTAGTCCAAAACGCAGTGGAACAACGTCAGGAGATGCAGCCCAATGATAACCGGTGACCAACAATGGGTTCATGCGCCATTTGTCTTCTTAGGATCCCGGAGCCAGCCTATGTGCACCATTAGTTTGGAATCAGAGATTTCCAACTCCTCTAGGTAAACTCTTCACGTCCACCAACACGGTTAAAGCACCGGACATTCGCTTTTTGTCCTCTCAATTTCGTGAACAACAGTAATGCCGCGAGAAAGCATTGAGTAGGACTTCCCTTGCAGTGGTTTTGCGCACGTGGCCATGTGAGAGGATTTGGAGAGGGAGAGCTGACTCTCCCTACTCTCGGCCGTACTAGGGCATTTAGGGGCATACTAACTGATTACTGAGTAATGACCAATATCATATTTGTCAAATACTTAACCTTGATCGGATTATAATATGGCTACTAATTTAAGTGACTCAACATCGCTTGCACAAGATTACTTTTACTTCTTATGAATGAGGGCTAACTGATATAAAATTTGGATTCCAAGTTTCCCTTGAAATCATTTGATATTAAATCGATCTATCGAAGTGTAATTAAGATTAAAGCAGTAAATTTTTCAGTTTAACGTTTACGTAAGAAATCATACTATAGGATGTAGTAAAACAGCCATAAGATATCTTCTAAGGGTGATCAGTACCTCCAGATCAAAACATGGCACAAATCCATGAAGTCACTACTGACAACTGAACTGAGTCATGTTAGTAGGTGTAGACTATCTGGTTGGGATCTGCGAGATGATAACAACCGATGGTTAGAAACCTTGAATGCCATGGCTCAAAATCGTTTGAAATGGTGTGAGCAGGTGCATATACTCTTTGTGTTTTCCCAAATCCTAATCTTCTGAATTCTTCATGTCCCTTTCTTTTTTTCTCTCTGCAAATTAATTTTACTGGATTATACTCCTTGAATAACATCTTCGAACCCTAATCTTTCCAATTACTGTTTGTACTTTTACTACCTTTACCACTATGAGATTTGGATCGATAATTGTATCTCTGTGCTACTGTGGTATGGCAAATTGAACTGGTGTGCGTCCGTACGTACAAAATTCTACGTTGTTAACTGACTGACTGATGTTTAACACAAAAGAAACGTAATTATAAAAAAGGTACACTTCATTCTAAATAGTTTGACTATAAATAGTAAAGTGATATTTATGATAATACTGTGTATATTTAATTTCATCGCCTCCCTTTCATCTATACAGTTTATAATCTCTACAACTATCCATATGAATGACAATTAGAACAAATCACTTAGTGAATTTGACAAATGTAGTAATATATTGAATTAGGTCATTAGTTTTAGTCTAAATTGTTTAACTATTCAATAAATAAAAACTATTTGATATGAAAATGAATTGGAAGTTAAATCATTCAATAAGAATGTGACTTATTATGTGTATTTGTACTTTCAAGTATGAATACAGGGTGAAAGTGAAAGATAATAACAAACCAATCAAAATAACAAGGATAAGTCTTGAGTTTTTGTATAGTCATTACGGAATAAAGATGGTAATGTCAAAGGTACTAGATACTGAACTCACTCCGTGAAGATAATTTAGATAATAACCAAGGAAATCATATAGTTAGATCCTTAATCCTAACCCAAACTCTGATTTTAGCCCCATAACAACATCTAATTATGAACTCATCTATATTAGCTATTTTCTGCCTAAGAGTCGAAGTCATTTTAAGCTCATTCCTATATGTTTACCAAAACAAGTGCTATGAAAGGCTAGGGAGTTTTAAGGAATTTATGACCATTATTATCAAAAATTTGGAAGACAATCGAAATTTAGTTAGTGATACAATTTAGTATGTGATTGGGTGAAAGAGGTAGTAAATCCAGTAGACTCAGTAACCTACTGGAAACTTCAGTCAAATCATTGAGTCATTTCATTCATAAACCTCGATAACTATTAAAGACTATATAAGATGATATCGGTTAATATTTAGTAACTGCTTAATTGGTTAATCAAGGCACAAATCGTTCAGATATTAAACTTTTTGACAATATCAACGCAAGACATTGGTCCAAATTCAACCTGAGGCATCAATTTCGGATAAACCTTACCAATGACCGTTAACTGCAATGAACAAAAACATATTTAGGGACAACAAAATATGTATTATCACAGAATTACAGAGTTATTTGGTAAAATATGAACACCGTACATTCAGTACTTCATTTGCAAAATGTCCATCAATTGTCTCAGACTTTATTGTTCTTTCATTTCCCCATAACGATCATTCTCTGTTCCCGTTCCTTTCTATTCGATCTTCTCAACCTTCTGCTGCCAGGCATTCCACTTTCAGTTGATGCTACATACTACATATATCTATCGACACACACTACACAACTAGCACAAGACCAACATTTACAACTTATTAACTACTGGCTCTAACTATCCAATATCTTAACAAGATGAGCAGTGACGTTGAGTCAGTAAAATAACAAATGTAACAAATACAAACTGACAGACAGAATATGGCTATGACACTGGTTACTAATCAACAAGTCGAAGGTTTAGCAACATCAATTAAAAGTGAACTATTTTTTGAGTAATCAAATGAATATGAATGACTTTTATGTAATTTAGTCTTGAAATGCAAAAGAAACAAATGTTAACAGTGCTACTAAAGATCAATCAAAAGTCAGTCTCATGAATATTAACAGTCCAAACCTTTACTAGGAATTACAAGTAATAATAGTTCTTTATATCACCACAAAGAACACACAGCAAAATTTGAGTAGAATTACATAACACAACAACTGATGAGTAAGAAAAACGAAACTGTTATATTCCGATGAGAATAATGAATGGTAACTTTTGGGATCCATTTATGAATTAATACTATTGTACAATTGTTAAGTAATTAAACTATTTATATTCATGTTCCTCTTATTATAAGCTTTGTTTTCACCTATGAACTATTATTATACAATTTACCATTCTTGAGTTATGCTCTGTCTATCAATGACTATCTCCCACATTCACAGCCACGTTTGGTTAAACCTCGTATGAATGTGTATGTTCTATTTTATGGTACGATGTGGTCTGTTTGTTTGGTATATATAAACTCAACATGTTTGAATTACAGGATTCATATCACAGAAACTGAGATTGGTGTTCTAGACTTAACAACCAGGGTTAGGCGGGAAGCAAGACCGATAAATACTCTAGACTGCTCGTACTTGTTTTATGCGTCATTGGTCCGGTCGATAATTCACTATTCTTTAATTGACGGTATCACTGATAGGGAAACAAACCCACAAGTTATAACAAAAACCATATGAATAAACTTACTCGAACTTCTGGGAACAATGTGATTAATTTGATTCGATCTTTTTGACGTTGACGTATTACAAACAATTCTGTTTCTTGAGCATACTTGTTTCACAAAGAGAGTTTACAAGTAAGAAGAAAATATGTTAAAGAAAAAAACAAAATAAATCGCATACAGTACGTTTATAGAAGAAATTTAAAATGAATTCTTCAAAAGTTAACCATAATCAAACACACTTTTTCGATCAGTAGTAAATTTGCTTCGGAAGCATTGTGTGTTGGTTTTATTTACACAGAAAAGAATTGGATAATGAAGTTGTAAAATTATTCGGTAATCAGTTGGTGGTAGCCAGCAAGAAACCATCCTCGACTTAAGTTTCGTACTAGTTAGTACTACTTGATATGATATACCTTGTAATCTTGAGAGAGGTGATGCTCTGTGATGACTCGAGTTCTCGTCCACTATGCTGAGGTGCTAAGCGTAAGTTATAGAACTTGAAAATACTCTACATCATACAATGATTGCTACCTTAATTCAATATTGAATAGGTAACGACTTCAACTTGAAACTGTGACAACTGCTAGAATGCTGATAAGGCTCCATACATTAAAGCTATTGCTCGTGAATACTGAACACTATAAACTAGAATGGATCTACTATCTCTTGGACTTTCAAAACTTTTCAACGCCATAATCATAACTAAACAAATACTTACTAGATCATAAAAATAATGTTATAACACCAAAACTAATTTTTGTCTCAGCCTAATCTACATTCAGGTGAAATATCACAACAGCGAAATACCGCTGGCCAGAATTCACGTTAAAAATAGTTCAACCGCAAACATCCATTCGAAAGTTTAGTTACAGTGACTAATACTACTACTGATAACTATGTGGATTGGCGATTGGAACTGTTTACTTGAAATATTTTAGCAAACAGAATATCAGTTGTTTTACAACTTAAGCATACAATAAAAGTTAACCATTGATTTCAATAATTTCACCTTGTAACTAATGATAAGTGCGTGTACTTAGCTTTAAGTTACATTTTAAATATGATGGCTTGAGATAGTGTCTCGCTGTCCTAAATAAAGTGTTGTAGGATTCAAATTTTCAGTCTAGTAGTAGTCGAAAGCCAGATTTGTGAATAATATACATCAAAATCATGTGTACATTTGCATTCTGATCGTTTGAGTATAGGCGGAGAGTCAACTCTCCCACTCCAAATGCTCTCAAATAGCTACAGCTACTGCCACAGAAGTCCTACTCACTGCATTTACGCACCACGGGTGTTGTCTAAGAAATTGACAACATAAAAAACGAATGCCCAGTGCTCCAACTGGGTTGGTAGATATGGAGAATTCAACTCAGTGGGTTGGAAATCACTTATTCAAAAAAATGGTGCACATGGGCTGGCTACAGGATCCTAAGAAACAAATGGCGTATGAACCAATTGTTGGTCACCGGCCACCATGGGAATGCATCTCTTGACGTTGCTCCACCACCTTGTAGATTAAACCTGTAGGTTAAAGGCTCGAGGAGTGGCCCCCTAATTAAACCACTTGCTTCGGTCTGGGTACCTGAGCAATATACCAGCCTTTACACAAATCGAATGACGAAGTGTGGCGTATATATATATATATATATATATATATATATATATATATATCGTGCTTACTTGTAGCAATTTCCATGTGTTTAAATAAATAAACACCATCCATCTCTGCTCCGAAATTTGACTGGCTGGTAAAAGGAAGATGTTGATTTGTCACCTATTGTATCATCCAATGGAAAACGAGGCTCGTGTAGTGATGCATTTTTATTAAAGTTTTAGAATATTTAAACTGTACTTATCAGTGCAGTCCAGTACGTGCATTAAGTCCTATTTGACACTTGTCAATCGGATTTACCTCTACTCCAGTATTGATGTTCACAATCTGACTCTAGTCAAGTGTTCATCGTCTTATACGTCAACGCATTATCCATTAAGCTACTACATACTTGCTCAATAGGTATGAATATAGTGGTAAGGGTTTGTAATAAGATGAAACATGCATGCAGAATTTCACTGCTACATTAAAACTTGTAACTAAAAGTCTACATCGAGGTTATACGCTCAGGATGAAAACCAACCTACCCGTTGTAAGGCACTGCGCACTGAATCTGTATCGTTAGATTTGTTAAATAAATCTAGTTTATTACTTCCAGTGGAGTCTGAATTCTCGTGAAAATGTGTATTTAATTGATGATGATAACCTATACGTCGTCTATGATGTTCCAATTTTAAAGCTAACTCTATTGCATTCAACCATAGTTGTCGTTTCTCCAACACATCATTCATTCCAGGATCGAAATAAATAAATATTTCATCATTTAATAGTGAACTATTGGGTGTTGATAATTCATTGGATTGTTTAATAGATGATGGTTGGATAGAATTTAATGTCGGTGAAGACGATGGCACCGGTGACAATGATGATGATGATGAAGATGGCAATAATCTTTCTAAACGAATCCAATAATCACCAATTGAACGTGCTGATTCAATTGTATCTGTAGAGAAATGATGAAAACAAGATATACATTTGAAATGTATTTACATAATACACCGATGTCATTACGAAGGCAATCATATTTCCAAAAAAACTCTCACCCCTAATGATTGTGTTACACAACTTAGGAAAATCATCTTCATAACGTAAAATAAATTGAGCCAGACTAAATTAAATGAAATGTTCAGTAGTTTAGTACTGAAAATCACTAAGCTTTCAACTATAAAAACAAATATGATTCACTCTACTTATTTTAATTTAGGTAGATAGTTAGTTAGCCTCACTACCCCTTCGTATAGCTCATGGCCTAATGTACGAACATATATGGTCAGAGTATAAAATTAGAGTTGTGGAAATATTATAGGTCAAAAAATTTATGAGAATTATCACTAATGTTCAACATATACGCGTACAGCTCTATCACTTCTCACATATAAACACATACATATATAGTTTTCTTTAAGACCTACAAAACACTCCGAAATTAGTAAAGTATTAATTATCATAGATTTTCTCCTGATAGAGAAACTACCGCTAATAATTTGTACTATTCCGTTGTTGATGTTAAAGATGAATTGGTCAGTCTCAATCTGCACCAGTCAGTAATGAGCAAGATGAAAATCGGTAAGTAAGTACATTAACTCAAACTGCCATATCAACTTAACACAGCAAGATGACATTACCAAGACAATTCCCAAAGCATCCTGAGCCAACTGCCTCAATGTTGTCATGTGATCACAAGTATTTGCTAAAGTTGGATAATAACCAACAGTGGAATTTAGAACGAACATTTCGTCCTATTTGGGACTCTTTAGTCAGATATACTTCCAACCTAATGCTAATGTTTACGTTGGGACTCTAACCGAGCATCCACTAAGCTATTGGGTTTATTTATACAATATTACTCATAATAATAGGTCCTGGGTTCCAATTCCGCAAGGTGTGGTCTTGGACGCGCACTGCTCAGGAGTTCCACAATAGGACGAAACGATCAGCCGTCCAGTGCTCCCAGGTTTTTCATGGTGGTCTAGATTCAATTGACTCATGATCTTAACCATTGAAATTAATACAATAGCCATAAAACCCCTTCTGATACTAATCAACATATGCTTATTAGTGACTAGCTTCAAGATGTATTTCCTGGAGTTCTAGTGAGAAACAGTGACCAATGGAGTTCAACCGAATCAGTTGTGAGATAGTAACTCACTGATGACAATGGTGGATGTATCGCTTGATTTCGTGGATTAGTTGAAGTTAGACATTAATACCATATGGATACCGCTTGGTTCAGTGGTCACAAGTTTAGGCATTCGCGCGCGAGACTGATAGGTTCTTGGTTCGAATCTTGCGAAGTGGGATTGTATATGTGCACTGCTGAGCAGTTCCACAATAGGATGAAACGGCCGTTCAATGCTTTCAGGTTTTCTATGGTGATCTAGTTTCAAATGACTCATGATCTCAACTATTGAAATAATAATAATAATAACAATAAAATTTACCTAAATATATAATATTTTCATTTTCATAAGATGACGAATACACTTTTGATGCACGCCAATCACAAGGTGCTATAACATGTAGACCAACGAATAAATTTCGAATTTTTCCAATAGATTCTAATGAAGTTTTTTGTCGATCATTATCAGATAGCTCTTCAATTTGTATTTGTCTTAAACAATAATAGTTTGTTATATAATTTTTAAATAATGATTTTGTTTTATTAACATTTTTATTTATTCCAGAAGAAAGTAAACCTTCTAGTATACGAATATAATCTTGATATTGTTCACGATTACATAACATAAGTTGACATTCTAAATAAGTAGACTATCAAGTAATAAAAATAAAATAAATAAAAAATAAACAAAAATTAATAGATCCATCTTTCAACAAGTTCAATGATAATTTGTTAAGTGTTTGATTGAGATCATGAACCGATTGATGTTAGACTACTATTGAAAATCTGGAAGCACTGGACAGCCGTTTCGTCCTATCGTGAGACTCCTCAGCAGTGAGCATCCACGATCCTGCTGGCGGGATTCGAACCCAGGGCCTTCGGTCTCGCACGCGAACGCCTTACCTACCGGACCACTGAGCCGGCATCCAATAGTGTTAATGTCTAATATCAACCTCAACACCAATCGGTTCATGATCTCAATCAAAAAACTTAACAATCTCCACAGCCCATAAACTGATAATTTGTTAACATTGTCATGCATAATATACATATAGAAGACAAAGAAAATAATAATGTATGGTTTGATGAAGATGTATGTCAATTTAAGTTGTAATATTTGTTTCTATTATTAGCCTTCAAATACCCTAATACGGTCGATGGTAGAAAAAGTCAGATCTCCTTCTTGAAATATTCTCACTTGGCCACGTGAATACAACCACTGACACAGAAGTCCTACTCACTGCCTTCTCGTAGCATTACTGTTGTTTAGAAAATCGACAACATGAGAAGTAAATGTCCGGTGGGTTTGTGGATGTGAAAAATTCACATAAAGTTGGAAAACTCTCATTTCAAATCAGTGATGCACATGGGCTGGCTCCAGGATTTTAAGGAAACAAATGGCGTATGAACCAATTATTGGTCACCGGCTACTATAGGATTGTATCTCCTGACGTTACTCCAATGCCTAGTAGATTACACCTTTAGGTCAACGGATCGGAGTGTGGCCGCCTAGGAAAACAACCTGTTTCGGTTTGGGCAACCGGGCAGTATCCCAGCCCTCACCCAAATCAAATGATTTATGTGGGACATATTTATTTGGTGATTCGCTATTATTAAATATAATGACAAGAGAAAACAAAGGATTAGTGAGAATAAAATGATGTCAATAGTAGTTTTCAATTAACAATCACAGAGAACAGTAAACGAAAGCAACCCGATAGAATATGGAGTCAATGAAACAAGCTAACCTATAAACTATATAATGGCAAATCTAAATTCAAGGTGGTCATTTGCACCGAAACCTAAAACTAGATATTTCCTGAATTACTGGACCGTCATGCTCAGCGAATAATTACTATCCCTTCAGTATGTTACTTCTTGTTGATTTAATGAGGTAATTTGACTTGGACATATCCTGGATTCAAATACAAACTTAGTGAAAGCACGTTAGAACGACACTTATTTATAAACCAGAGTCAAGATAACTCAGTCCCGCAAATAAGTAACTATTAAGGAAATCTAAACGTTCGAAACAATATTTATTGCGTAAGACGGAAAGTAATGAGACTGACGTGGTACAGTTATAGCTTCCTGTTTGATCCCACTAACATAGTTAATGTTAAAACAGTCTAGCTCTGACAAAACTATGAATAAAGCTTCATGGAGGTTGAGTAGGATAGTTAAAGCAGACCTGTTTATAATTAGTTTTGGTACTATTTGCATTTTTCATCACTTCTTACAATTACTGTTATCGCCTGTAAAATTGTCGTTTAGAATGCATAACCTTTGACCTTCCATCCCGATTTGTAAACAAACATAACATGAACCATTGGTCATCGCTCACAAATACTCTGCTGCACAAATGGGCTGTGTCTAGTTTCTGGACAGATCAATCTGTCCATTCTTCTTAAACCACATTTTAACCTTGTTGCTTACTTATTGGTTTATTTATTCTGACTGTTTTCAGATGAGCGTATATGTGTTGACTGCTTATCCCATTCACCATATGCTTGTAACTTGTTTTTGGTCCGACTATATAAATATTGAATAACGCTTGATTAAATTGAGTTGGCTCATATGCCTTCTCCACCGCGCGTCATTTCGCTTCGCTCTCCCTTCTTCGCTTCCTTTGTTGCGTTTCTTTGATTATCAGTTCTGATCAACGGTCCTGTGAGGATTGCCATAATTAACTTGCATTATATGCAAAGTTGGATGGCGGTTAGCATTGGTATCCAGTACGCGCGATTCGTTCTATTTAGGACTCGCCAGCTGGATGTACCTGCACCTTAAAGTTGATGTTTACTTTGGGATTCGAATTCAGTACCGTTCGCTTCAAACACGATCGCGTTATCCACTTCGCTACTGAGTCCTGATAGCCTCTAGCTTGTGCAATTGGTACACCCAGGTGATGAGTCCTAAATAGAAGGAAAGATTAATGGGAAGATTGAAACAAACAATACCAAATTCATAGTCCAGTGAGTTTTGTATGTCATAGCTTAAATTGATTGTTCATAAAACTTTGATTTGATGAGTGAGTATATAATTAAGTAAATTTTATAATTTCATATCACCGAACAGCAATAATATGACATTAATGTGATAATGAGACCATGATAATTATTGTATTCATAATGTAACGATCCTCCAAATAGGTCGATGAGCACAGTTGATACGAAGACAAAATGTCTATATGATAATGTGATTCGAGCATGTCCATGTCACTGCTTTACTGGCTTCGCTGAATGTGTCGGACTAGAGATCGAGTTCTTTGAGCTGCTAGTCGACAAAGACAGCTGATCAATTCGAACTCGGGCTTACCACTTTTGTAGCGGTATAACGATGTCACCGATGAAGTTATCGATTGAGTATGCTCCGTTGAGTTGGTTCATCAAATGCATCGAGTGCATAAGATTATCATAGACCTAGTTTGTTGAGTTAAATTCGTGGTAGAGCTCATCACTTTAGTAGCTCTGTATCTGAATTCAGTATATTTCGCTTTAGTGAGTAACAAAATTAAATAATTCAAATACGACAATGGAGTTTGAATGCGTATATTACACACGACCGTTGATCGGAACAGATAATCAGAGAAACGCAACAAAGGAAGCGAAGAAGGGAGAGCGAAGCGAAATGACGCGCGGTGGAGAAGGCATATGAGCCAACTCAATTTAATCAAGCGTTATTCAATATTTATATAGTCGGACCAAAAACAAGTTACAAGAATATGGTGAATGCGATAAGCAGTCAACACATATACACTCATCTGAAAACAGTCAGAATAAATAAACCAATAAGTAAGTAACAAGGTTAAAATTTGGTTTAAGAAGAATGGACAGATTGATCTGTCCAGAAACTAGACACAGCCCATTTGTGCAGCAGAGTATTTGTGAGCGATGACCAATGGTTCATGTTATGTTTGTTTACAAATCGGGATGGAAGGTCAAAGGTTATGCATTCTAAACGACAATTTTACAGGCGATAACAGTAATTGTAAGAAGTGATGAAAAATGCAAATAGTACCAAAACTAATTATAAACAGGTCTACTTCAACCATCTCTTACAGGTTAAAATCGGTGGCAATATGTCTTGAAGTTCCCGCTCCTATCCACTTTTCTAGTCGAATTTTATGACATACCGTAGTGTATCACAATAGTCATTTCCTAAGGTGATTTGATTATTTGGATTATAAATCATGAAATGGGTTACCATTCACAGATTGACAAGTTTCAGTATTACAATTAATTGTGCAAATTGAATCGAAGCAATTGAACAGCATACGTTGTATTTTCAACGAAGTATACATGATCATCTATGAACTTGTGAGATAGTCAGTCAGTCAGTAACAACGTAGAACTTCGTACGTACGTACATCAGTTCGAGTTGCCACACCACCTTAACACAGATGCAGTTGTCGATTCAAATCCCGTAGTGGTAGAGGTAGCAAGAGTGTAAGCAGTGATCGGGAAGATTAGGGTTTGGAGATGTTATTTAAAGAGTATAATTCAGTGAAATGAATTTGGAAAGAGGAAAAAAGGGACATGAAGAATTCAGAAGATTAGAATTTGGGAGAACACAAAGAGTAGATGCACCTGCGCCATTGCAAACGATTTTGAGCCATGTGAGATAACAATACTGTTAGTCTGATTCAATCACTATAAGAGCAGTGTATTGAATTTCATAATTCCTTACTTAAAAGTTGAATTTTTGTGCAAATGAATTACGCCACCGTATGATGGATACTCAACTTTAAAAGTTTTAGATAACTCAATAGTATCACAGTAAGGTCTAGTACATGAGTGTATGACAGGATAACATCAAACTTATTTGCATATAAACCATACATTTTCAGGAATCATTGTAGATATAACTTACTGACAAATATGAGAAAGATAAAATACAAATACAACGACTTTGATCACTCATCTTAAACGAAACAACATATTAGATCATTCGTTCAAAAATTCAACAAATTGTTGATAATCCAAAGGACATTCTGAAATACACTTAACATAAATAATAATGATACGGAATAATTTCAAAAACGATTGATCGGTAGGTTCGAGAGAGAGAGAGGAAGGCTAAATCATACACTTACTGAAAACTTTCCATTTTCAAACTGTTTCCCACTAAGACTCAAATTTGTAGTAATATCATTGATTGATTCTTCATCAGTCTGTCCTATATCCTCTGGTTTACTGCCACGTTTTATTAAACTGGTATCTGTGTTGATTCTCTCCAATTTCAAATTATCTTTAGGTTGAAAATTTCCTGCAAATTGACTATCTGAACTAGAAGTAGCTGTTTCAGAAACACTTTGACCAGTTCTCATAAGGCTACTTGTAGCTGACCGACGACCACGAACTTGAAATCCTGTAGCTGCTCTTATTTTTGAGCCAATGTTAGTTGATAGATGATCGGAATCTGAAACATGATTGGGACTATCTTTATTGGATAATGACTGATCAATTGAGAACCAATATTGGGATAATTTTCCGCCAAAATCATCGATATCACTGTAATCAAAACAGTTCGGCTGTATGATAAAGACATGCTCATCAAAATTTAATAACATCAAATATATTAGAGATATTTCAAAATGATTGACTACGAAACGTTAGAAATGTTTCTTCATTGATGAAAATACTGAATAAGACAACTCAAAACTAAAGAAAGAGAATGTCAAAGCTTTTTCTGAGTGCAAAACACCATCCATTTCAAAGTTTAGTATACATACGAAATTGGTAAGGGTAGAAGCAGTCCCATTAGTGATCGCAGAAGAAATTCGAGACACAGCATATGGTTTGAGCACGAATTTATAGAAGTTAAATAAGCAATAAATTAAAAACTGAGGATTTAAAGATAAACAAAGAAGGAATAAACCTGCACTACTGAAACCAATTTGAGACATGTAACTCAAAACCTAAAATAACTGGCCGTGATGGTCTCATAGTCCTTAATGATGGGGTTTGCATCTACCAGACCAACACTCAGTGATTTGGTGGTCTAGTGCCATGTACCTGTGTGACTACTCTTGATTTTCTTAAAACTTATTCTCATTCTTTCCACTATTGTTTCGAGATAGGTGATGGTTGGGTATACGTAAAACGTTCTAACCACCTCAAAGGACGAAAGGCCACCAAATCACCAACCGAGTAGTTATATTTACTCAGTACCACAACACCCAACTTCAGAATTAATCAGTCGATTTACAAGCTATACTTCTATCTCAAGGCCTGTAAGTTGCAATATAGACTTTCATAGTGGTAAAATTAATCACTCGACCAGGTGAATTTGACAGGTCGAAATATGGTCTTTAGCACAACTAACAATAAAATCCACCAACTGTATTCGTGCTTTTTCCACACAATCTATAGCTGACGGATTCCCAACTACATTCACAAACTTCAGCCAGAATGACGTAAGGTCGAGTAATTAACCATAAGTGAGTTTATATTATTCCGATCCATAAACCACTAGACTAAATAAGTAAAATATCAGAAGGCATATCGTAATTAGTGAATTGTAATAAACAAACAACTGGGACATTTCCCCGATAAAATTGGGTAATTCATTTGTAATTGACCGAACTAATTTCTTTTAGTAAAGTGTACATTAGTTAGCAAGTTTTACACGAATATAGTTTTAAATCCACTCTCAAATATTATCAGATAACAGTGCGAATTCCTTCGTGTACGAAAGTGCTTTGTTACTATTGTATAAATTAAACATAAGAGTCGATAAAAATACTAACGACTAAAATGAACTATACATTAATCTTACATTCACAAAAAAACATGAAAATTCAAAACGGAAGACCTCACTTCTTAAATGGAAGCGAGAGAAAATTCCCGCGATAAATGGAAGATATTTGTTGAATATAGCTCCATTCAGTTGTAGCAAAAAATAATACTGCATGGCGTGCCAATGAATTTGAAGCAAATAAATCATGTTTACGTGCAGCCTCGGGAACAACACTGCTCAACGTTCGATGAATATGAGGAATTCTGACCACCTGAAATACATGGGTACATCAATATACACAAATCTAACGAGACATTATGAATGGCACACCAGTTTGCTTACGAACCTAATTTTTTGATTGGACAGACAACAAATGAGGAATACGAGCACGATCTACACTAATACATAAAGCCATATGAAACGAACGCATTAGCATGCTTGAAAGTTTGATAAATATCAACAGTACTAATGATTAAAAAGGATACAGACAACCGATTGTCACGATTATGTAATGCGTTAGTAAACGGCTGTTAAATAACTAGACTTTCCAGATTCACATGGTACACCTCAAATGTTTGGTTCGGCAGTTTGAGCTGATGTATATTTACACCAGAATTTACGATTATCATGACTGTCACTTCCCACTATTTCATATAACCCAAACTATTACAACAGTAGGAAAATATGCAACACATAGAATGAAAGGCCATACCCTGTGACTGACACACATAGAGCTACTTCTAAAGACAAATTATAAACGCCCACATTTCTTAGGGATACTATGAGGAGATTTTGAGAGCTATCAAAAGAAGCTGAGTTCCGAGGGAAATATTGAACGTCATTTACTTATATACATGGAACACACCTCAAAGAAATCCATACTTCCCTGTTCCTGTGAAAATACTTTAAACTCAGATTAAACATCTATCATGCGTTGCTTCACTGGTTTGCAAATAATTGGCAGTTCGTATTGAAGAGCAAAAACAGATATTTACCGCATACATATTAGACAAGTGAACACCAATTCAATTCAAGATTATCACAAATATCCCAGGTTTAAAATTGTGAAGACTGTACAAAGACGATTGTTCATTTCAAATAGACAAGTAGCTGTGTATCAGTATACTGGATGTATGGAAAAATCACCCATTATCAACTCCGTAGTAAAACATTTTGGGACTGAATAACTGTCTACAAAGTGGTATCCGACTGTCCTAACCTAAGACAAGATGAGATTTTACTATTTTATACATTTATTACAAAAAATGTGAGCTCCAAGCAACGTAAAAATAGAAATAATCATAAAGAATCACCTTCAAATCGTCTTGAGGAAAAAGTACAGTTTCTCGGTATGGATCATTAACAATGAGTGCCTTATTTTTTGTAACATATTCCTCGTACTCAATCGGCATAGAAATAGATGAACACCACTAAAGTAAATCAGTTTAATGATAACATAAGTTCAAACCATCTGCTCAGTGAGCTCATTATTTCCCAGTGACGAACCATCTTTGTATTTAGAGGTTTGAGGGTTGGGTATGATGTGTTGCGTGAACTTCCTTTTACCAACGCTCATCCTTATTGTGTTTAGCCATAATGCATAGGGATCTCCCAATCAAGGTAACGCAAACACTTGCCGATTGCTCTTCATTTCAATTCCCAATGCGTTTCGTGCTTTCGTGTCTAAGCCTTAGATAGTTATGAACGGAATACGGTGAGGTTTCATTCCAGGTAATAGTGTTTCTTGTAGCAGCTCAGTACTATTTCCTCCAAATGAATATCTATGTTTATGAAACTAAAAACGCTGGTAACACAACATTGACAGTGACGAATGTGTCAGTGTAGTACCTGCTGTTATGAGATATATTAAACAAACTACTTTGACTGACGGAAAGGCGAAATCTCCGTTAACATTAACGAGAGGGTAGTACCACCTGACATTGACATTGGTAATCATGTGTCTCTAAAGGAATCTGAAGATCTGGATAAGACCGTCACCGTTCCAAATAGTTCCAGTGCCCTGAGGGATGAAAAATGAACTACAATCCGGAGAAAACGAAACGAAAAGAGAAAAGCTGTAGGCGAAACGCAGGTGTTTGGCAAGTCACTAGTGGACTTCCATTGTGAGTCACAAAATGCACTACCAAAATCTGATAGTAAGAGAGAAACCCGCCCTGGCGTGACTGAGAAGAAGAATTTAATATCATCGAATTTTATTGTGAGCGAGTTTTCGGAGTCAAACGACCGTGATCCCAGAATTAGACACGCACATGATTTAGAGAAGCTGGAAGAATATATTCGTAGTATCTTACCAGATAACTCTGAAGGTCGGTCGACCCGGATGGATCGATCGAAGACGAATGGAATAAGTTTAAGGCTACATTCGTGTCCGTAACGTTACTGTTTATCCCATGGTCAGCGCGTAAGCTATCTTATTGCCCTCCATGGATCAATAAGGAAACCCGGAAGTTGTTAATGCGTAGGAAACACTTCTGAGACTTATTCTTGTTGACAGGCCAGGCATCATTTAAGCGTGAGTGCCAAATATTTCGGAATATTTGCAAGAAAACCATAGCTAAATCTCGTATTACTTACGAACGACAGTTGTTATATGATAGTCGCACTTGTCCAAAACGATTGTTTTCGTACGTTAAACGGCGGATGAAACGTAGTGTATATTGTATCATTTGTATCAATTTGATCTTGCCTGTAAACTGGCATTCTTCATGTAACAAACTGTTATTTGAGAATAAACTATTATTATTATTACCTTGTTACTGTTACACGAAAATTCAGATTTACTAGCTGAATCAGATCGGGCAAACGCTGAGACTTTTCAATTTATTTTAGCGAAGTCTACTCTACGTTTATTGTAACAAATACCCATTCACACCGAGATACCAGCCATTGAATCTGAACTAGTGACTGCGCAAACTGTTCTTCCGTTGATAACTGACCTCAAACCTTGTAACATTACGGGCCCTGGCGAGCCACATCCACGGCTGCTGTTGTAGCGGTAAATAAATCCCCAAACTAAATAGCTCAATAGGTTTTCGACATTGGATGCTGACCATATGTTTTAGTGGACTCATCTAGCTGAAGGCGCTCGGTCATGCATCCGCACCAGATCACGTGCTGTCACGCTGTGCTCAACAACAACCGCAATCACTAGCCAGATTAGATCAGAGATTCCCGATATATTGGTTATCGCCAAATACACTCTTCCGATCTCCTCGACTCTGTCTTTTGATTTCTCTCGGTGGGAACAAAGCAAATTAGAAGGTGTTATTGGTAGAAGCGTTGTCAAACACTGAATACCTGTATCATCATCATTGATGAGACCATCGTGATCTGGTACACCTAATTGCAACTGTGAGTCTGTTCCTTTTTGGAATTTTTATATATTATTACCTTATTTTTTTTAAACATTGTGATTTTTTTCGTGTTTTTCCTTGGATATATATATATTTTCAACTCGTTCATTATCGTACTTCATATTTCATCATGGCTGAACAGACACCCAAAGTACTCAAGCTTAAGACTTTGTCCCCGCCTTCGTTTCAACTGATGCCTTTCTGGCCCGACAATATCGAAGCCTGGTTCTGCTACGCAGAATCCGATTTCTCCGAGCACGGCGTGATCGACACACGTGCACAATTCCTCGCAGTAGTCAAGGCACTACCGCGCGAATTCAACAGGTACGTAACACCTAGTATGTTTACTAGTGATGTTTCTGAATCTTACGAAATCCTAAAACGTTCGATCCTTAAACGAGGAGACCTAACCGATCGGCAAAGGTTAGATCAACTCTTCAATAACATCGACCTGCAACACGGTTCTGCGACTGACATGTTGCAAAGAATGAGAGAAGTGATAGGCCTAAGGACTTTCGACGAAGGTCTATTTAAACAACTTTTCTTGTCTAAACTTCCTCAACAGGTGCAAGCGGTTCTGGTCTCGTTTCAGAACAACGCCTTAGACGAGCTAGCTGCATCTGCCGATCGTATTTTAGAAATAACGAAATCGTCTACTTCAGGGGTATTTTCCGTCAAAGAAAAGCCTCACGCGACTCAGAATGACATAACCGGGTTATGTCATACACTCACGCGTTATCTTAATCTTCGTAACGACCGTAGTCGCTCACGCAGTCCACGTAGAAGCATTTCGCGTAAACGATCTGTCTCTAGACCACGAGAGACGGATAACCCTGACTGGTGCTGGTATCATAACCAGTATGGGAAATCTTCCAGAAATTGCAGAAAACCCTGCAATTTTCCCAACACGAAAACGACTGACTCGAAAAACAATTCGGGAAATTTCCAAGCCGGCACGCGTTAACGGCAACCGTAGCCGGCGAACATAGCCGTCTGTTGTACGTCACAGATGTGACATCGAGAGTTCGCTACCTCGTCGACACTGGCGCAGAAGTTAGCGTTCTCCCAGCAAATCATAACGACCGGCTCCACGAATCAACTCTAAACTTACAGGCGGCAAATGGAAAACCGATCGCCACGTATGGCAAAAGGTACGTCTACCTTAACGTGGGTTTACGCAAACCCATTCATTGGATTTTCGTTGTTGCAGATGTTTCTATGCCAATCATTGGTATGGATCTTCTACAACACCATAATCTAATCATCGACACGCGCAAACGGAGGCTAGTAGATGGAAACACTAAATTATCCGTTTGCGTAACTTCCTTTTCTGGTTGTAGATTATCCCCAGTCACAGTTAAGCATTCGATAGACCCACTCTATCAACCACTACTCGACAAGTACCCTGGGATACAACAAGCTCAAACGAAACTACCGTGTGTAACCAGCAATGTTACACATCACATCACGACTACAGGACCACCTGTATTCTCTAAAGCACGACGACTAGCTCCGGAAAAGCTGAGGTTAGCGAAAAACGAATTCGATCATATGATAGACTTAGGAATCATATGACCGTCAAACAGCCCTTATGCATCTCCGTTGCACATGGTCCCTAAAAAGGACAGCAACGATTGGCGTCCAACTGGTGACTATCGGCGATTGAATGCAAAAACCATTCCCGATCGTTACCCGTTGCCTCACATTCACGATTTGACAGCTACCTTGAAAGGTACAACTGTCTTTTCGAAAATCGACTTCGTTAAAGCGTATAACCAAATCCCTATGGCTACTAACGACATACCGAAAACAGCTATCATAACTCCTTTCGGACTCTATGAATTTTTGCGAATGCCGTTCGGTCTAAGAAACGCTGCGCAAACTTTCCAAAGATTCATAGACGACGTCTTTCGAGGCCTCAACTTCGTACATGCGTATGTTGATGACTGCTTAATCGCAAGTCCGGACAGAGAATCACATCTCAAGCATCTGGATCTTGTTTTCGAACGATTACAAAAACATGGCATTACTGTAAACGTTCAGAAATGCCAATTCGGAACCGATTCGTTAGATTTCCTAGGACACACTATCGATGCTCAAGGCATTCGACCTCTTAGGACCAAAGTGGCGGCCATTCTGGATTACCCAGAACCGACCAACGTCAAGCAATTACGCACGTTTAACGGCCTGGTAAGTTTCTATAGACGCTTCATACCGAAATGCGCATTACTTATGAAACCTCTTACTGACCAACTTCGTGGAAATGCGAAATCCATTAATTTGGACGACACCGCACGAAAAGCATTCTCCACAGTTAAGGAACTGATCGCTAAAGCAACAATGCTCGCACATCAGGACACTGAAGCACCCATTAGTATCGCAGTAGACGCATCCGACTCGGCAATCGGAGGAGTCTTACAACAATGGATTAACAACTCCTGGCAACCCTTGGCATTTTTTTCTAGACGGTTGCTAGACACCGAATCGAGATACAGCACATTCGGTAGGGAACTCCTAGCTATGTATTGCGCTGTACGGCATTTTCAACACTATATCGAAGGCCGCGAATTCACTCTATTCACTGACCATAAACCGCTCACTTTCTCGTTAAGCTCTCCTTCTGACAAGTACTCTCCCCGTGAGTCTCGACAACTTGACTACATTTCGCAGTTTACTTCAGATATTCAACATATTTCTGGAGCAAACAATGTAGTTGCAGACGCCTTGTCTCGAATAAATTCCTTGAACAGTTTCCAAGGAATCGACCTTCTTAAACTCGCCCAGCTTCAAAAAGAAGACACTAATCTTCAGCACGAGTTATCGTCCACAACCCTTAAGCTACGCATCAAACAGATGGGAACAGGTAAGGAAACATTACTTTGTGACACATCTACAGGTAGAGATCGCCCAATCGTCCCGAAACATTATCGACGCAATGTCTTCAACACATTGCACAAACTTTCTCATTCAGGTGTTCGTGCAACCATCAAGCTCATAGCAGAACGCTTTTGCTGGCCTGGTATGAATAAAGGCGTGAGGGAGTGGGCACGCTCCTGTGTAAGCTGCCAAAAATCTAAGGTCATTAGACACAATAAATGTCCCTCAGGCTCATTTAAAACTCCCGATGCTCGTTTCGACCATGTTCATCTGGATTTGGTAGGACCTTTACCAGATTCAAATGGATACTCTTACCTCTTGATCTGTGTAGATCGTTTCACTCGATGGCCACAAGCAGTACCTATCAAGGACATCACTGCTGAAACAGTGGCCCGAACCTTCGTCGAACGATGGGT